AGGTAGTCATTGTAGATTGCAATTAATTGTGTTTTTATGTCGTGTCTCGATATTTTGCATGGGTTCTCTTATCACTTGTTTTACTTTTGAATTTTAAGAGATATTAGTAATCAATCCATGTGCCATATGTCAGTTGGTTCAAGTCATATTTGTTCTGACCGGGCAGTATGTCAATTTTTCTTAATGTCGAAATATTTTTATCATGACTTAATGATGGCCACCTTTAGTATCTTCGTTCTCTGCATTTAAAACACAATTGTCCTAACTTTTAACATGTATACGCTGCATGGCAGTAATTGATTTTTAAACGTAGATACTCTCTTCATCCCAAAAAATACACTTTCTCTTACGGTTTTAATTTCATAAAATTATTTTTTTTCTCCTGAAAAGTATTAGCTGAGGGGTCCCGCACGGGGTACGACTGGGTATGAAGTCTAACTCCACAAAACTTTAAGGTAATAGAGTTCCCACTATCTTTGCCGTAGCTCGTTGTCTGAGTCTTTAAGGTTTGTGGATTGGTTTTGTCTTTCCAAGCAAAACTTTTCTTCAAAATTTATGTTAAGGTAATTCATGCTATCTGGCATCATTTGCAGCTTATGTTTGTTCCTGCTATCAAAGGCCAGGATACAGATGAACAACAGAAGAAATGGTTGCCTTTGCCTACAAGATGTAAATAATTGGCTGTTATGCACAAAGTGAACTTGGTCACGGTTTTAATGTTCGAGGCCTAGAAGCCACTGCAATATTTAATTCACACACAGATGAATTTGTGATTCACAGTCCTACATTGACCTCTAGTAAAGTGAATAAGTTGCTGACATGTAGTTTAAGTCCATATGAGAATACAGAGAACTTGGAGTATATTGTTTTAGTTAGTTGCTTTGGCATAGTTTTGTTTGTTAGGGCTTTATTCTTGAACCTATTACTAATTCATTTGTTTCATGATTGTAAATAGTGGTAGCTTGTGGACTGGGTAAAGTATCAACTTATGGATGAACTGTTAAAACGATTTCTCTCCCATCTAATATCGAAATACATATTCAAAGCAATGCTCAACACAGAGTGGAGTCTTTCACTACTACTAGAACGAACTGTAGTTATTGAAGTTGAATTAAATATTCCGACATATCCAACGTAATCATGTATCATAAATTTTGTTCAAAGTGTTTCCTTTTCTATTAATTATCTCATGCATAATCGATCAAAATAATTATCCTATGTATAATCAATCAAAATAAATTATAACTCTGTACAATAAAATAAAATTCTATCCATCTTACAATACTCATTTACTTCATAAATCAATATTCCTATACATCATATATCAACACCAAAAAAAACCCGGGTGCGGTGTCCCTTCGCTAGTTATTATTTTTTATTTGAGAACCACTATATTGCCTTTTGTAATTTTAACTGCACGATGCCATTAAATTCTTATTAGGGTAAAACTTAGTTTTGGTCTCCAAAGTTTAAAGGGTAATTCTGGTGAGTCACCAAAAATTTTTATCCAACAATTTTACTCAACATCTTTAAATTTATTCAACACCTACTATCCATTTGACGGGAATTCCACTAAATTAACGGCTAATAACCAAAATATGTCAACCCTTCTATATTTTATTAATTTTTTACTAAAACTGCCCCTCCCCCCATGTTTTTTTTACTTAGAAACAAAAAAACAAAACAAAAATAATATTTGCTACAAAGTATAAAAGGTTTCCCATATTCTCTTCCCTCTTCATGTCGTCGGCAACAGCACCACCACCACCACCACCACCACCACTTTTTTCAAGGAAATGGAAATCTAGTTAAGAAATCATAAGTCGTTGTTACCGTCTTCAGCATTGGCAAATTCTGGAACAAACTTTCCAACTTTAAACAAAGGGCATAACAAACAATTCAAGTATGACTACCAGTAAACAGCTTCGTTCCTCAATAGCCACGTTACCAGGAAACTCTGTACCTTGTCTTTGCAAACAACCATGTAATAAATCTAACAGCACCAATGTTTTAGCTTCAAAACCGATGAAGGCAAAACACAGAGGCCAATTACTAGGTTTCTAAAACTGATTTTTCGTGCTGATTCCAGGCATTGATGATAAAGCTTGTCAAACTATCCACCATTATGATTCCAGCCACACTCTGTTAACCTAAAGGTATCTAAAACATTGTTTTTCTCTTTGTACCTAATCAAAGTGGACAACACAATACCCAAACCAACCCATCTCCTATACTGAGTTCTTGAATTAACTCGAAATAACCAAAAAATAAATAAATAAATAAAATGAAATAAAATCCTCATTCTCAAAAGTTTTCTACAATTTCATAAGTTATAATTTATCCAAAATAAGAAATGAGATTTGAAGATAATCTTAAGTTTTTACTTGATTATTTTTTATTATGTTAGAGATTGTCATAAGAGTAATATTGTCAATACACTCCAAGTCTATTAAATTAAACATAATATAAAATTTGAACAAAAAAGTACAACTTTTAATTATTTTTTATTTTAGTTTAGAAAACTAAAATTTATTTTTTATTAATTAATTATCTAATTTAAATTCTTAATTATTTTTATTAATTTAATTATTTTAATATTTTTATTCAATGAAATTTTTCCATAAATAATAAAATTATTCCAAATGTAACTCTGTTGACTTGATACTAAATCTAGTCAAAGGAACAAAAAAGTTACATTCTGAAATATAGAAGACAATTTTAGCCAAATATTAATGTAAAGGATCAAAATATGCATTTGGCCTAATATAAAAGACTATTTTCAAATTTTAGTCGTATTAAAATGATAATTCAATACATTTCTTTTGTAAACACTGACGACGAGGTTACAATATCCATCTTAAAATTTTTTAGGTTTTGGAAAAATACTGGATGTTAAGACTTTTGAGTTAATTTCGTAGCGATGTCAGTGGTAATATTGTTATGTGCACCCTTTCTTATATTCTACTCCCTCTATTCCAATTCAATATGCCTATTTAACCAAATACAAAGATTAAAAAAAAAGTGGGTGTAGTTTAAATGGTTAATTTTAGAGTAATTCATATAATTTATATATATTACTAGAGGATGAAAAACACTGACGTGGCGCAAAATTGAGAATCCCAATTAAGTTGATGTACATAATTAGATATTACTATTAAATATTAATAATTTTACGTTTTGACTTAGGATTAAAAACCTACATATTTGGTAATACAAAATCTTAATAAAAATCTAAAGATTAAGGATTTCCTCCAAATAATTGTTTTTTGTTTTTTTTTTAAATACAGTATGATATTCAATAACATATTGGTCATACGTAAAGTGGGAGGGTAAAAATTATTTGCAGTATTTTATAAATGATTTATTATTCTTTATTTAAATAGGCTGTAATTTACTCATATATATATATATATATATATCAAAGTTTACTGAATATTTCATAATTTTATAATATTTAGTGATATTTTATTACTTAAAACTTTTCAAAGTTTTAATTTTTTTTAATAAAAAACTCAATAGTTAAACTCCATAAAAAAAAATTTCTTCAAATTTTCAATTTGATCCTGTTTATAATAATTATTAGTATTTACCCTGTGTGTTACACGGGAAATATACAACGGGTGTAAAATGTGTTCAGTAGGCTGATGAGGAATTTATGTCTGTTAATACTACTTACAAACATGTGAACTTTTGCACCAGGAATGAGATTGATGCTACAAATAAAATTCTAAAAATTTATCACTATAAAACTTTCCTCGACCTTTACGAGTGATACTAAATTTAACATATAAATCTCCAAAATCAGTATGTAGATATACATAATCTCGTGGATTTCCTCTAAATAACGATGGAAGGCGACTTAAAAGTGTCTGCGAAAATAAAAAAATTATAAATAAGTGAAACTATAACCTAAAGTAGCATAACAAAATGAAAGAAATTTCGGCCGATATGATTACCAAACCTTATCGGTAACATTTTTTTGCACTGTGCACAGGTACTCCAAATCCATTGAGAGCTCCTGCACTAAACATACACACGCATTGAATTAAAAAAAAATCTATATGAAATCAACGAAAGATTTAAAGAAATATTAAATAGGGAGACATATCTGATTATTTTAAACTCTTTACCATCACCGAATTTAAGTTGGCAGATAATCATCAAAATCCCATATAAGATTTAAGATAGGAGTAAACAACAAATTGGACTCTATTTCATTGGAGCTTTTCTTATCGGATTAGTTGTTGGAGAAACTTAAAATAAAAGTTATTGTTCGCGATTAAGATTCGGTGTAATCATGAGTCAAATATTAAAATTACTATTAAATAACGATTAAATTTATTTTTTTACTTCCAACTTAGTTGAGATTCTAATTTGATGCCAAATCATTTTTCACCCTTTATTAATATATATATATATATATAGATAGATTAAACTTCATTAAATTTGTTACTATTTAACAAATCACTCACCTCCCTACCGAATACATTTTACACTCCCCACATATTGCCCGTGCAGCGTACGGGATAAACACTAGTATGCTACTATTAATGATTAGTGGTTAATATGATAAGATTGGAAGTTGAATTCAATTAAATGTCTTACATTGCAGCTATAATAGTAGGGGTATATTAGATAATTCATAGATAAAATTATTGTTAATGTCTGAAATTGGACTACATTTTAAAAAATCTCAAAAAGAAATGTGAGCCAATTGAATTGGGATGGAGAGTGTAATTAACTTAATTGATTTTCTTCTTGCCAAATAAAGCCACACACACTTTTACAACCTATAGAAGAATAATAATTTGATTTTTTGATTAAATCGTAAATTTTCTTGTTATTCCCTCTGTTCCAAAATTATTGTCCAATTTGAGTTTTTATTTTTAGTTTAAATTATATTAAAAGTGAAATCTCAAACTGGACAATAATTTTTGGGACAGAGAGTATTAAACAAAGATCATTACTTTCACTTGGTGTCTTTTGATACTCTGATTAGAAAACAATAAATCCAAACGTAGTTGTATTCATTATGCAAAAACCGTACTTTGACAAAAAAAAAAAAAAAACTAGTAAAGGAAAAAATGTTAACGAACAGTAAATACAGAAAGGGCAATTTCCCTTTCTACGTGTAACAAGGATCAAAGTAAACTATTTTTTCAGGTCAGGCTGCACCTCGAGAGCCTTTTATGAAGATCAACTCATCCTACTAACAAATTAGAAATTTACAAAGCCCAAGCATATATATCCCTCCCAACCCACTAAAAAGGGGGGAAAACAAATCAGAGTCTGACAGTGCTATATGGCAAATGCAATGCAGGAGTGAAAAAAGCCATGGAAGATCTCTTTCGGACCAAAATGTTTATTGGATGAAATGGCAATTTCCTAGAACTGCATTTGAGAAGAGGTTTTTGTTGACACGGTAAAGACAAGGAGCTGGAGTAGGTCATCATGGGATGATTCTCCCAAAAAGAATTATGCTTCAAACCGCAGCTTTCTCTCTGCGAAACGCATTTCTTCTCTTTGACAACAGGTTGCAAACCTGGAAAGACAATGCTTGATTCTGGATCTGGAACCTAAAAAGTTGAAAAAAAGCAGACTGTTTGCAGTATGTCCTATAGCATACTTCTGAGTAGTGAGTAACACATATTTAATGATCCCATGGAACATTATGAGGTAACCATTGGACAAGAAAACAAGAAAGATAATGGTTTTAACCAGGTGCTCCAATATCCTCTTCTACCTTATCGTCCTTGCATCTCTTGAGGAAACAGAGCTGATCCCGCAAATGCAATACCTGTCATGTTTCATCATAAATGATCAAAATGATCTCTGATTCCAAATCCAAAACAAAGTTATCAACAAGATCCTAGAATCGTGCATTCAGAAACCATCTAACGCAGAAGTTCATGAGTATTAGTTATCAAACACTACTAACTTTGTATATTCAGAAACGGCGGCAGAAAAATAAAAATCCACAGGCACAAATTTTTAGCTGTTCTGGATAGCTGTTTCTGGATACAAGGCTCACAAATTATAGCCGATATTCATGGCTGCAAGCAAAGATAATAACATTTAATCTAAAACAAAACTGCATGCATATATAGGCATCCACTCTTTTGAGACCTAGATAACAACCACCAGGAACATATGTAATTGCAAAATCCACTTGAATATATTGTACCATGATGATCAATATGTAAACTGATAGGAGAATAACTGATGAGTTGCATTAAGTAGCATGTGTCAGGATATTACCTCTTCTTGAAGCATAAGAGGGAGATTCTCCACCGAAACAAGACTATCTATCTCCTGAAGAACCTTCTCATCTTTGATTCCCGACCATGTTTGTGATGGCAATGCCAGTAAAAGAACCGTCAGAACATCATTGCTTTCTGGATGCTTCCCATGGCGACTATCAGAACTAGAATTACAGCAACTAAGGTTGGCAAGAGAAGGGACAAGCATATCAATTTCTTGCTCCCCATTGCCATTGACCACCTTTCCAGAAACCACCGTAACCGGCCGATTGCCATTAGCTCTATAGCATCTCACGCATGTCTCCTGGCAGCAAAATCTGTCCAGCGAGCTAAATTTGCCAGCCAGGAGACCTGCTCCTTGGCAACAGACATTTGCTGCAATATTCGGTAAATTATCTACATGACTAAAAGTTGGGTTGATCCGGCAGGTTGACTTTTCACAACACAGAAGATCAGTGACATGCTTGTAAAGACTTGTCTCCTGAACTTGTTTCAAAACCTCTTCCTGGAAATACAATCACAAATTTGTCAGGTAAACTTAACAAATTCCATGAGCCCGAGAGAGGTGGTGTCCAAATACTAAACAGCACTATCCACAAACCACAAACCAAAAAACCAATATGACAAACAGCTAATGACACAGGAAATTAACAAACGGACCTTAACAGCAACCCTCCCTCTCTCCTCTTCGCTTAAATTTTCATTAGCATCCTCTTGTCTACGAACTTCTGCAACCCACTTAATAAAGTCTGAAAAGTTAGAAGGCAGAGATGCGAACACACTAGCGAAAACATCTTTTACGCCCTTCAGATCATCTGATGTTAGAATCACCGGAACTTCCTCGGTCAGGAACTTGGCAATGCTGACCCAACTCTCATGTTTACAGCTCTGCATGAATATCATACGGTATCAGTTACTTCAGCAGACAAAACAATAAGAAAGCTGGAGGAAAATTTGTGTTCCACAAGTTGAATAACAGCAATTTCAGCGACCACAATAGTAGATATAAGGTGAAATATTACTGACGAAAGTCATTAACAATGAACATGGAAGAAATGATGTTAACTGAAATAGAATACTGGTGGTGAATTGTTCAACGTGTATATGCCATGAGAAGGCATCCTTGAAGGCGAGAAAGAACCTATCTACTTGTTGATTTTAACAGCCAAATACAAGCATAAGAGCAAAATTGGTCATACCAATGTGTACAGCAATGCCGGAGCTCTGTGAAGTCTAGATATCAGCATGAACCTACAAAATTTGAAATTCAAGATTTAAGATACAATACAAAGATACTAAATGAAATGAATTACAATAATTTAATAACTATTATATATGATTCTCCACTAATTAAGTCTAGATATCTACTCCAATAGGAAGTTATTCAGCAAAAAATTAACCAGAGTGTTGATCCTTTATGGAGAATTCAGATCACTAGAGAATGCTCATAAAAAAGATAGACAGACTGAAGCATTGGACAAGACTAAACCTCCACAAAGCTCAGTGTCGAACTACCGACACCTTTTCTTCACATTTTTGCTTATGGAATTCACTGAATGAAGAATTTTCTTAACATTTGTCCTCGAGTCTCAGTGAGGTCTACAAACACTTAGCACTATTTCCTAACATGTCCGCAGCATTTATTGTCCATGAGACACAAGATACACTGGGACAAGAACTTCTATTTATAAATGAAGAGCAGAATAACTACCCTCTGTGCAGTCCAGTTGCTTCATCTATGGTATTCATCGCTTCCCAGAGGAGTGGAAGTGGAACCCAATGAGGTGGATATTTAAACCGTGCAACATCTAGAATTAATGCCATATCCCTGCCAGCATGATAGCCGCCAATAGGTGAAAAGTGACCTGTTCCAGTCTACACAACAATTAACAAAAGATTTCAATCGGTTCTGCAGAGGAGAGAAATACAGATAAGCACATTGAATTTGTTTTACTAAGCACATTGAATCTTTTTTACTATTTAGAGGTTAATTTAAAGTAACGCAATCAACTGACAAGTAATTATGCAATCAATATGATAATCTCTACAGAAAACACACTCAAACTTGTTTCTTGATATGTTGCTTGCACTATTAAGTAGAAGGAAATGATAAGTATAGTGACAAAATAATGGGGGAAAAAAAATAGCGACTGATGAAATCATTTTTTTACATCAAATGTTCAAACCCAAAGAACTCAGCATATTCTGGTAAATAATTAGACCTCTAGGGATTAACACACGAACGGTCAGTTTGGTTGCACCTATGAACAAATCTCACCATTGAAACCCAGATGGTTGAAAAATTAACTCGTCAACAATAACAACATCTTTTCCCGTAGGAATCGATTCTCGCCAGTGGATATCATGTTTTTAGCACACAACAAGCAACTAAAAGAGTTGTAATATACGCATCTTCTGAGATAATCTGACTTTGTTAACTACTAGAATTAAATGTCCTAAGCATGACAACTAAAAGAGTTGTAATATACGCATCTTCCGAGATAATCTGACTTTGTTAACTACTAGAATTAAATGTCCTAAGCATGATGGAGTAATTAAGACATGTGGAATTAACCACGTACTAATGTTGAACAAGAAACTGTGATTACGTGATAACATTGCCAAGTACCACTCAACTGACTGAAAAATCAAAAGAATTTCAAACCAATGATAAAACACTAGCAAGAACAAGAACAACAAAATTTCATATGTACCTGTCGGAAAGCACCCCTATGATATGATGAAATCACATGACAATTATCTGAAGTGGAACATTGGATGACATATTTACGAAAATCATCAACAGAGCTCTGATGTGCGCGAAAAGCCTCAACTTTGGCTCCAGCACAACGAGCCAAACAAGCTACCTTCCCAAAGGCAATACCATTAGCTTTGACTTTCTCCAAGGGCTCACAACAGTCCAACATAGATTCATCAAACCATCGCCAAGGCCCTGAATTTTCATTAAGGTGTAAGCACATGATAACACGCACAACAAAGTAAAAGAACTTCCAACTGAAGGAAATCGTAATCATAAATCAAAGAACCAAATGAAGAAATATGATGAAAAAACCTATGGAATTCATGAAAGGTAGAATATGTCAAGGGTTATCATTTACATCACCCAAAAGGGAAAATAAAAAGGAAAAAACACATGCACACTGCATAAGTTAAAGAGTGGCTGAATACAGTAAGTATAAAACTTCAGTATGGGCATGCTGGGGCAATGCACTATCATACACTACAAACCATTAACTGCAAATGGGGTGTGGAATCGACCATAAGATTAATTCTGAGGAACTCAAGTATTTGTCAATAAGAAGGTATGCAAAGCAATTGTGTGTAAATCCAACATTAACGAACAACGAATCCTTATAGCAGCATTATAGTTCATTTGAATTACGCATAGGTTGAATCACAAATACATGATACATGTGAAGTCAAAAGAGTATTAACCTTTCCATTTTCGACCCGGATCAATAGCAAGGGCATTCAAGACCATGGAAAGGCTAGCCAAACCGCAGTAAGCAGGTTCAGATTGAGTCTGAAAATAAGAAATCAATTTAAAGAAACCCTCCATGGTTCCATTTTGAATAGCCTCCACAAACAGTTGCTGCAATTCAAAAGCATAAAAGATTAAATAAATAGCAAAAAGCACGTGTTGACAGCAGGTAATCAAAACCGGAAGAATCAAGTAGTTCGGTGAGACTGAGAACGAGTGCATGTCAGTTCAATACACAGTAATGAACAAAAATAAGTAAAAAAAAAAAAAAAAAAAGTGCCGGTAATAAAATTGAGCTTAGCCTAAAGAAAGTCATCAGTACAAGCAAACTGAAATTAGCCATAGAAATTCCAAAAATCATATAGAGAATAGCCCATCAATTTCAAGTTTCAAAGTAATACAACTAAGTTCTCCTCGGCTAATTATCCGATTCTACCGTGCTCACAGGTTAATTACACACAAAACAGTAAATGGCAAAGCAGGAACTGGTACACAGAGACTGGGGGAACAATTTCCGTCAAATCAACCAATAAATTTACTAGTATAAACGTCAAATTCCAATGGTCAATCAGCCAATTTAACATCACCCAACCAACTACCAACAATCTATATAAATTCAGTAGAGACAATAAGCTGGTTCAAAAAAGGAGGAAAAACCACAAAAACAAAATTGAAACCGGCGGTAATAATAATACCTTTCCCTCGACGGAAGCAAAATCAATGGCAGGAGGAGAAGGGAGGATACGCCTGTACAAACCCGCCATCGCCATATCTTCCTCAGCCTGACGTAATCATCAATTGGGGGGAAGGGAGCCTTTTGAATTATGGTGGTTTCTAGGGATTGGATTTCTCGCAAATTTTTTTCCTGTGATTCGGCGGTATATTACCCGCGTAAATTACCTGTTTCAAATGGGGAAGAAGTTCTTTGTGGAAGCAGCCTGCGCTTTCGGATTCTTTTTTGGTTTCGCCTATCTTTTGACTTTCGGTTTAATTTTCGAGTTAATTAACCCGAAAAGAAAAAGCAACTAGTAGATAAAATACGAATTCGATTCTTTTCTTCTCCTTTTATTTTTCTTTTCTTTTTATTTTTTCTTTTTTTTTTTTGGTTTTTCTTCCTTTCACTTTCAGTCTATTTAACTAAATAAATATATATTTATTTATAGCATGTGAAAAATAAGGCTCTAGATTTTGTATAACACTTTTTTAGTTACTTTCTATGCATATAGTGAGCACGTATATTCATCCTCCACAATTTTCATTTTCATAATTTACTTTTTGCATCGTTATTTTAGTTTAATAACAATTTTAGGAAACTTTTAGCAGTGAAAATCAATATAAATATGTTTTAGCCCAGAAAAAGTGTATCAGAAAGTAAAATCAATGTTATTTAGTTTAATAAAATTTTGAAGAAATAAAATCTGTATTATAAAGTACTAACCAAATAAATGAATCAGAATACTTCGCCCCTTCTATAATAATTGACTTTAGATAACTTGCACATAATTTAAAAAACACTTATATTGGTAAGTAATTTATTAGAATATCATCAACTACACCTATTAAAATAAATATTTGTCAATAATACCATATTTCTTTTAAGTGTAAGTTTTGAAAATTTTGGACAAAAAGTCCATCGAGCTCATTTATTTTAGAATTTCTATTTTTTGCTAAAACCACATTTATTTTAGAATGGAGGGAATACGGTATGTATTAAAAAGAAGAATATACCTTAGTGGCTATTTGTTTTCACGATGTGTTTTTTACTATATCTAGTATTGTCATTGTAATAATTAGATTAAATGTGATATTTTAATAGTAAACGTTTCAAATTTAGTCACTTTTCATTTCATACCAAAAGATTCGGAGTCATCAACGTATGCAACAAAATGCACTAAAAACCACAAAACAATAGAATGAAAATACACCAAAATCTGGTCCACAAGAATAGAAAAGGAAAAGTGAAGATTGTGATGGAAGAACATAGTAAGACACGGAAACAAAAAAAGAAGAAATTAAAATAAAAAATCCCAGATCACTGAACTGTTGAGAATAAGTGGATTTTTATTTTATTATTTCCATTTACATAATAAATATTAAATGGGCAAATCTATTTTTTTTTACAATGAAAGAGGTCGGAGCATAAATACAATAAATTATACTCCCTCCGTCCCATAATTATTGTCCAATTTTACTAAAATGAAAGATTTTATTTTTTATCAAACTTAACTATATTTTACCTTAAACAACTGAATATACCCATATATAAGTAATTGTTTAACCACTAAGATTTTATGGATAATATTTTTTACTAAGGACAAATGTGTAACTTGATCCATAAAAAGTTAAATTAGATAATAATTTTGGGACAAAATTTTTTGGGCAAAGTAGACAATAATTATGGGACGGAGGGAATAATGCTTTACGAGTATTAAAAATACCCATGAAGTCATGTTTCAATTATCGTCCAATCTCTTCCGAGAAACTAATTCCACTATACAATCGACAACAAAGTTAGTTTCTCAAAAAGACAAATTTTAAGACAATGATAAGGCTATAAAAGTTACTCAAAATTCAATGCTAGTTATTTGTTTGATATAGAATATGTTTCATATATTTCTTCAACCCCGAAATTATTATATAGTTTGAATTTTTATTTTTATTTCAAATAAACTGAACAATACTTTAAGGATAACTTTGTTTCCAAATGTGTGAACTTGTTTAGCCAACATTTTGTTTTAGTTTTTGTTTTGGTTTTTGATTTGAGTTTGAGATGTGATTTAAAATATGGTTTCAGATAAAATTTAAAAAATTATTTGGGTGATATTTTAAATAAACTAATAATATTTTTAGATCACCACCGAACTATCTCCACCATCAGCGCCACTGCCGGACCACCGGCGGCCGGTCGCCAGTGGGCGGTCCGGTGGCGGCAGGTGGTGGTAAAGGTGGTCCGGTGGTGGTGGATGAAAATTGTGTAAAAATAATTTTTAAAATATTTTTTAAAAGATAAATTAAAAATTTGTTTGGATAGTTTTGAGATTTATGTTTGAGAGATATTTTAAGAGGTAAAATAAGAAAAAAATGCAAAATAAGTGTTGGACAAACAAGCCCTTAATCTTTATCTCCCACTGGCCACTATGGCTCCGGCACTTCTTTCAATGGGCCTAACAAACAACTGGAAAACAATTTGATCCAAAAATAAAGTTCCTCTTGTTGATCAAATTCAACCCAACAAATACATATACATTAAAGATCAAAGACAAACAATTTATTACTTTTGACAAATTCAAGACACAACTTTTTTACTTGCAGTAAAAAAGAGCCGTAATAAAACCAAATAGTGCTGCTATTTCACATGGCATAAACTGCAACAAGTGTAAGCTAACTTCACGGGCAAGCCACCTTACACACTGTTTGGCCCTCACAACTGACTTGTACAAATGTCCTTTTTTCACCCCAACAGCCATTTTCCAGCTTTTTTTTTTTTACCGCTCATTTGACTTTGATTCTTGCTAATGTTACACTTTCTAAGCCATCAGACAATTCCATCCAATCCAGTCAAAGATTTCAAAATCAAAATGGTAAAATTCAAAAGCCACACAAAGTGGATCCGAATCATTTATTCGGGTTTGGGCGGGGGAATATGTAATGTAACATTGGAATTGGACTAATTTGCTGGAAAAGGAATTCGCATGTCGTGTCATTTCCGGAAATGTTATTCCTTATCCAGTGGGATACGGCCACGTGTCACGTATATGCTGAACTTAATTTTGGGGGAAGTACCCTAATTATAGGATTGAGTTAGGACTTAGGCGTCGCTTTCGATGAAAGGACAAATTCTGGGAGGGGCGACAAGTCGGCGGCTGCCGGCGACTCACCTGTCGGCTTTTTGACGGTCGATCGTAATAGCATTTGTCCGCAGGTTCATTTGCTGTTTTGCTTTCCAGTTTTCCAGTGGGGGACCTTTTCTTTTACTTTTTAACCCATTTTTCTTTTTTTTAAAAAAAAACAGCTGCTTTACATTTCTTGCCTAGCTAGTAGTAGTAGCTAGCTAGTAAAAGTTGAGACTTCTATTTTGTTTACAGTGTAATTATTAAAAGGATTAAAAGTCAGGGAAAAAAGAAAAGTGGGTGATTATGGGAATCATGGCCGTTGGATAATTTCGGCGTGGCGTCGAGATCGGACTGAAATTGAAGGCGATTAATGATGCATTCCTTGATTCCGACATATGCATGCATGAATGATGGTTGTTAGTTCATGGAGCTATATAAGCTAATTACTGTGCTTTTAGCTGTCTAATCCTCATAAGTTTGTCGCATCATGAACAAACTAATCATGGATTCCCACACAGTATTTGATGGGATCATAAGAACCTGGGATATTATTCTCACTTTGATTTTTTTTTTTTTTTGAAACATTTTTTGATGAATTATTCTTTAGTCTCACCAGTCACCATCCACGTTTTGCCAATAATTATGTTATTTACACATTCTTTTACTTTTAAAATAATTGTCTTGTTTAACAGGTTAAATAGTCTTTCTTATGATTATGCATAATACAAAGACAATAAAATCATTAGAATGCAGTTGAATAGGTTGTACACGTTAAAAATATCTCTCGATAAATCAAATTATTTGCAACTTGTATGTTAGCAAGTGAAGTAATTTGTACATTACATTGTTTGTGTGTCGCATGTATCAATGTAACAAAGGATGATTGTTTACTATATGACAAGTATGGTTGACTAATTTCATGCTAAAAAATCATGTACAAATCCACGAAGATCCGTCGACTGTGAAATGTCATGTCAATGCAACTCCTAATCCTGCACAATAAATTCACAAACTAAATCTCAAATTCAAAAGATATTTGTCGCGATGGCTCTGAATGGGAAAATTAAAAACGTAGAGTTTTTTATTACCTGGGAAACACCATAACAGCAAACTTTCTGTGCCTTGCTTTTTTAGCACAAAAACATGCAAAAAACATGACGAATCCTCAGTCAACACTCCAAAAACATTTAGGAGATGAATTGATGAAATGAAAACCACAATGGCATCTCTCACATGACTCATGACCATGATAATTCCACCTTTTCTTTCGGCACATATATATTTACACATACTCACACAGTGGTAGTAGTTATTAGTACTGCTTTTTCCTCTGAACTCTGCTGCTGTACTCTGTTTCATCTAACAAAAGACAAAGAGTGGCCTATGGTAGTAGAGATAGGTAAAAGAAAGAGAAAGAGAGTGAGACAGGACTGAGTTCTGAATTAAAGCAAAAAAACCTCTGAACCCTTTTGTCCTTTTTTGATTTCTTTTTACCTTTTATTTCTCTCTTTCATCTTTCAAACAGATTTGAAGAATGAAGACAAACATCCTTTCTCATAGTATTATTTTTAGTCTAGTCTTCCCCTTTCAATCCCTTTCCCTATATTAATAACCCTTTCCTCCCTCCATCAATCTTCATTCCAGTTTACTTTCTGCTGTTTCTTTCTCCCCTTCTCTCTCTCACATACTCACACACTGGTAGCTTTCACCTTTCACCACACCCCATAAAGTTTCAACCTTTCCAGTTTCCAGCCATCTTCTTAGAAACACAGCTGGTTAAAAACGTTAATGGCTACGAGAAATTTTGTCCTCACGCTGGTGTTCTGTGTTTTCCTGTTTGGTTTCGTGGTTGCGCAACCGCCGCTTAACAAGGCGGAGCAAGAGGCGGTGTACGGAGTTCTGGAATCCATAAACTCGGCGGTTCCATGGCGGTCAGTCTTCCCGGACGATTTCTGTTCATCAGCCCCTCACGGCGTCGTATGCGATTACTTAGATGACGATCAAGGTGGTGTTTCTGCGCATATCACGGAGCTCAGTTTCGGTTACGTTTCGGACTATTCACCAAACCCACTATGCGCCCCGAATGCCACACTTAACGGTTCGCTTTTTTCACGCTTTACGCACCTCACAAAGCTATTCTTCTACAGATGCTTCAATGGAAAAAGCGTGTCGTTCCCTGATTTTTCGTCTCTTGGGTCTTCTCTGGAAGATCTTGTGTTCATTGAAAACCCATCTCTGGTTGGGTCTATCGGCAGAAATATCAGTAACTTAAAAAGCGTGAGGAAGCTGATTCTCACAGGGACTAATGTTGGTGGAAAAATCCCAGTAGGGATTGAGGATTTAACAGGCCTGGAGCAGCTCACGCTTTCGAGGAATAATTTTTCTGGTGAGGTTTTTGTTAATTTTGGAAAGTTGAAGAATCTGAAGGTTCTTGATTTGAGTCAAAATCAGCTGGTGGGCAATGTTCCTGGAACATTGGGAAATGGGTCCACTGAATTATTGAAGCTTGACCTGAGCTTTAATGGGTTCTCTGGTGAAATCCCAGAAAGTCTAAAGGCTTTAAAGAGCCTCGAGTTTTTGGATCTGAGTTACAATCGTTTTGGCAACTTCGGTGTGCCTCTGTTCTTGGGAGAAATGTCCAGTTTGAAGGAAGTGTACTTGAATGGGAATTTCCTGGGAGGGCGTATTCCAGAAATATGGAAAAATCTGGGGAGTATTTTGGGTCTGGGGCTCTCGAACAATGGTCTTGTCGGAAGTATCCCTGCTTCAATGGCTGTGAATTTGAGAAATCTGTGTTACCTTGGGCTTGATAACAACAAGCTGGAAGGGACAGTGCCTGAAGAATTTAGTTCATTGGAGTCTGTGAACGAATTGAACTTCGAGAACAACAATTTGAGTGGTAAAGTTCCTTTCACTGCAAACTTTGTGGCTCAAATTGGGACGAAGCTGAAGTTGCAGGGTAACCCAGAACTCTGCGTTGAAGATGAGCTGAAGTCTAATCAATTCAGTGTTGCAACAACTAGCTTGGTTCAACTGAAGTTATGCAACAAGAAGCCAATTGTGCCCCAATATGCCATCTTCCATGGGGATTCTGCGCCTCAAGCCCATAATTCTCATTTATGGCTTCTGGTATCTATTGGGTTTTTACTCCTGTTTTCCTTGTAGGTCTGCTCAGAAAGAGTGAGTTGGTAGTAAAAACAGCATTGTTGATATGAAACTTTTTGACCCTCAACCCCACCCATGTGTAGCATCAGTTGAAAGTTAACATATTTTGTCTCTGATGAGCTGAACTGTAATTGAGGTTTACTGCTAATACTACAAGAGCTACTTTTTGTTCCAACAGTTCAAATTACAACTTACTGCAATTCTTTTGACTCTATGAAGTGAAAGTGATGTACCATGTTCTGTTTCAATATATACATTTTTCTGGAATTTGATCTCCCTAGAATCATTCTTAGAGATGCGGTTTATATACTCTCTGCAGACTGTTTGAATGAAAATCAGGGGGGAATACAGAAACATTAAAGCATTCTTTTCGTCTGATCATCATACAATTGCTGTACTAATGAGATCAGCAATATAACTCAAAGCTTCACAAAAAAAAAAAAAGCTAAAAACTCTACAATGATTGTCATATAAAAAATGAACGATATCGTATACACTACTAAAGAATCTATGAACATCAAAAGGGAAAACTTTTGTTTCAGTTGAGTATGTCTCTATCTACCCAAATCAATGTCAAGATTAAACCCGAGAAGGAAAAAAGCACATTCTAAAAAATGCCACTAATTTCCTTCTCTTCCTCTTCTATATCCGGTTTCAAACTGGAGCTTTGAGAAAGATCATCTTTTTTCTTGGGTTTAAGTTGTCCTGAATGAGTAGAACCGGATTCCGATGTATTGGAACCACCGTCTCCACCACCACTTCTCACTCTTGATCTTACCGACCCTGATCCACCAGCACTCATAGAATCCTTTGACTTCTTTCTTCGCGATCTTTTTGGGATGTCTGGTAAGTTTCTAGCGGGAGAATCAGAACCAAGACCCGGGTCCTGGATTTGCCTACTGGATTTACCACCTTCAGCTGAGTCCTTTGAATGATGCTTTCTTGAATGCCTTGATCGTTCTTTCTTGGGGGAATCAGATGAATCGGTGCTGGAATTGCGTCGTGATGATTTCGCTCCTTCCGATTGATCTTTGTTCTTACCTCGCCCACTCTTTCCATCTAACACCCAGCCATAAAAACAGAGATGTTATATGGAAAATTCAGCTTTTTGGTATTATTATTAAGAGAAGAAAAAGCTGGAGTGGGGAAAAAACCTTCAGAAACCCATTTAATTTCAGGATTCTCTTTGGGATCTCCAGGCATTCCCAAAGGTGCTGATTGAAATGATGTTGGTGATTTAAATTCTTTCATCTGCACAGAATCAGAAAGCAGAGGCAACATTTTAACAACTTACTTCGGGCTAATTGTGGCAAAATTTCCAATCACCAATCCAGAACTCTAAATTAAATTGGACATTGAAGAAGAAGATTGAGAACCATGTTGTTTGATCAAATAGAAGAGAAAAAGGGATGGATACCCAGCTAGGCGAATCAACTGATGGACCATCCCAACCAATATGAGCAACGTGCTTTACATCTGTGGGGAAACCAATTTCCATTTCCTGTTCTTTCTCTTCATCTGCATCGCATTTGTATATACATTGATATAAAAATGATGAATTTTCATACCCATTTGGGTAAATTATGCAAAGTTGAGTAATTTGTAAACTAACCAAAAATCTGGGATATGTATCTAAGGCCCTTGAGAAGGCCTTTCATCTTGGTCGACATCCTTGCCCTGTTTTTTTTTTTTTAATAAAATTTTTCTTTAGAAACGATTCAACAAACAATATGGCATTATTATCTCCTTGTGTTGATGATCAATCAGAAGAGAATTCATTAATGTACTGCCCCATGGACTCATCAATCCATGAAAGCAAATCTTATGGGACACCTGATAGGAAAGATTTCCCCTCAGGTAGGAAGGAAACACGCACACACGCACTGGATTGAATAATGCAGGGGAATGTGGGGTGAAAAAAGGAAGAAAGAAAGAAGAAGAAAATCTGGCAATGGCGGAAACAAATTAAAATGTGGGTTGTGTTTTAAGGAAAAAGGTTAAATTAATTAAACATTTGAAATGGTGGAATTATGGGAGGGGAGTCAATGGTGAGAAAAGAGCTTAAACAGTTGCAGGGGAAAATGCTGTTAAAAGCAAATCTCTCGTTGGCTCAATGGCAATGCATGCTTCCTCCCTATTATCCGTTAATCGATACCAGACGCTATTCGAAATTTTAGGAGCCACTACTCTGATTTCTGTTTTACTTATTTCTTTTCGTTTCTTAAGAGAAAAACAAATTTGAAAATTCTCAAGGGAAAAATAAAGTAAACAAGCAATTTTAATAACTACTACCATGACTAATGTAGGAATATTGGACTGTGTGTTACAAAAACAAAAGAAAAAGGTAAATCAAAAAAAAAAAAAAAACAGAGAAATAGGGTTATAACTATGTAGGCCTGGCAAAACAAATAGTGGTACTACTGGTCCTATTTTGTTCAACAATTGTGCATGTTTCTGTGAGACATTATAACTTAGGTGATATGCCCGCTTTACTTAACTTCAATTTCATAGGGTTGTAAGTTGAGGTTATCGTTTTATGAATTTCTGTATCATTTGTACGGTATATATATTACATAGTAACATACCGTGTTGTTTCTGAAAATTGTTGTCTAAATTTTATTATGAATTTGTTATATATCATGTGCTGTTGTGTTTAGAATCATATTTTCGTGTCGAAAATTGACACTCGATGAATTTTTGTTTTCTTCTTTTCTTTAAGAAAGTTCAGGCTTATAAATGTGGTACATCTCAGCCAATAGTCTTAATCCAATCCAAGAAGATATACAATCAGAAAAGAAATTAAACTGAGCTGAGAAAAATGAGACAGTGAATGCTTGAAAGATTAAACCACTTGTACTATATTAAAAGGTGGAATAGATGTCATTGCATTGTGGTAGGAAATGTAATACTCCCTCCGTCCCAAAATTATTGTCCACTTTGAGATTTCACTTTTAGTACAATTTGAACTAAAAATAAAAACTTAAACTGGACAATAATTATGGGACGGAAGTAGTATAGCTAGCCAACATTTAATAATGAAGGAAAACAAAGAAAGGGAGAAGATGATCATCCCCATAAGATTTATCAAGACAGTGCTAAATCTTTCTCAAAAAAAAAAGAAAAAGAAAAAAGAGACCGTGGCTAAATAGAGAGATGATCCCTGCCACACCAATGTGCACTTGTTGGCAGGGGAACGGACATCTTCGCCGTCTTCATTTTTCATCGGCGCAGCCCAATCTATAGGCCTTAGCATGAGTTGATCATATCTCTTAATTGATTTGGGACAGCCTTCCACAACCACAACACTGATGCCTTTGCTTTATTCCGAGTGCTGGTCAAAGAGTTTCCGGTCTTTCTTCTCGCTGGCGCTCAGCAGGAGTCAGTTCTCGCGCCAGATTTCTGTCGATATGAGCTTGTTCCCGTTCAGCAGCTGCGTCTCTGGATTCTGTACTGCTTCTGAAGCAGCAAAAGCAGTTGCAAGTTTCCCTGAACTAGAAGAAGCCCTGTTCAACAAAGGAATCTTCTTCTCATCCCCATCCATCCAAAACCCTAGCTCTCTTTATGACTCCCCCCCCCCCCCCCCCCACACACACACACACATCAAATCCTCCGAATTGTCCTGATCGTCTAATTTCCCACCGATCTTATTGTGATCCTGATTGGAATCTCGATATTTCCGGCTGAATTTTTCCTTATCCGAAGCCCTATATCCATTGTCCCTAACTCCCCGTGGAACCGATCACCGTTACCTCCCCTAAAATACTTTATATGTAATTTTGGAAAAGAAGCGGAAATTGGAACAGCTACAATATGGATTTATTCGGTGGTGTTCCCAATTTCGTATTTTCGTGTTAAACATCCAATCCAGCCGATGGAGAAAATTGAAGAATATATAACTGTTGCCAAAAGCCGTTAAAGTCAGACCGCTTACCACTACAACTAACCGGAGTTAAACCCACCTATTTGGGCTCAAGGTTAAGCTTCGGTCATCATACGCAATTCAACAAAGCAATATTAAGTAAATTCTTCAAACTTTACTACGTCAATTGAAATGAGAAAATATGAACACACTGGGACCAAAATTATCGAGCGCACTTTGCGTTACAGCCAGCGTCACAACTGATGTCCCCTTTTCTTTAAAAGGAAAGATTACCACATACGAGTACAAGTAATAAATTATTTTGATACAAATCATAACCAGGAGAAAACTCATCTCTCCCAGAAGATCAAATATGCAACATCCACCTAATGAAGAAAATTATCCTAGTCCCCTACTAAGATAAGTATCATCAGAGCAAGTAACACAAGGGCAAATCTTGCGCGGAGATAAAAGAAGATTTTGATGGAGAAAATTTGCAAAACTAAAAGGTAGAGCACTTTTCATATGGATGCAGATCCCACAAGGCCACAACTGGTTTCATCCTGACTCCTGAGCTTTAAGATGCTTTGAGATCATCCAATCCAACGCTAGCCTGTTAGCAAAGAACACTTATATCATGAGATAAAAGCTAATTACCACTGGAAAAATGTTAAGGTAACAAACAGATGAGAGAAATCCTGTCAACAACAGGCGCATCGTCCCAAAGGATTCTTACCAAGAATTTGTGGTTTTCCTCCAGTAAGGGTGAAAAGGTACTGCAGAACTTTTCCATATCGGCAACGACATCGCCAGTGCCACCTATCACATCCATAAACTTCTGCCTATCCGGAGCAAGCTTCATAGCGAGCTGCAAATGGATGCATCACGAAAGAAAAAGATGATTAGCCACATCAAGTAAATTAATGTATATGTTGAGAAGCAGTAAGATATTTTACCGTACAACTGGAACTTGCAAGCCATCCATGCCACTTTTTCAATGTTTTGGTGTAGGAATCAGTGCAAGCCTGAGACATGGTCCAGTCTGGGTGATCCACTAAATCACGGAACAATGCCACTAGGAAATCCATGGCCCTGGATAGTGAACCAATAAACACTTTAATAAAGAAGTATAAACTTATAATAAAAGCCATGAGTCAGCAGGCTAATATCAGGGTAAATCAATTGAAAGACTTACAAGTACTGAAAAAATACCTTTTAGCTTGGCTAAGGAAGAAGATGGAAAGTGCAAAGAACATAAATTACCTTGTCAACCAAAGAAGACCATTAGTGCAACTGGATGAGCCTTTTGCTGTCTTAGCTGCAACCTCTACTTGTACAAAGCTATACAACTGACTAAATTGAGCTGGATCGGACAAATACTTGGTTTCTAGCCTCTACACATAAAGAAACATGAATACAGTGTCAGAGAATTCAGTTCCTGAATGTAAATAAAAGTTAGAAAGAGAGATCCATTCTATTTTCTCTTCTAAAATCAGTGATATAGAAAATCCTAACAAAGTTCTAGGAGACTGTTTAAAGTAAAGACTCTTCATTTAAAATGTATAAGGTTTAACACATGGCCCGATATTTTGACAGTTGCAAGGAGGACAGTGCAACTCTGGGTTGTTTACAGGATCCTTTCTAGTTCTAGCATTAATTTCATGGTACTGGAATATAAGAACCTGGTCTGACAGGCTGATTTGCCCATATTGCACGAAGCTTTTAGCACGAAAACAACAAGAAGGTTGGCAACTTCAGTCACTGAGAAAGATGATAATGTGCATAAAATTTTCCAAGTCTTACCGATATGTTACCGCCAATATCAGATTTGACAAGTGCCAGAGCAGCTCCAAATTTTTCTGACATAAAATACAAAACAAATTATGAACGGCCCAAAATGTCTCCGGCAAGTCATCATCTTGGAACAAATTTGAGCAAAATGGTTGGCAATCTGTGTCTAAAACAGGTGACTCGATGTATAAAAATAAACTGTGAGTGACTACTGCCAACAATATTATGAGAATGCAGCAAGATTGATAAGCTTGAAAGAATCATGCCGGTTCAACCTAGACCTTTTATTTTCTTGCCGATGGATTGCCTCCTACTTCAAATGAACAAGAAACAAAGAAAGTCTCTCTTTTGATCCAAAAGGTGAATAATTAAATCCAACAGTTACAGATAACACAAAGCTCAGACATCGAACTATATACCAACCTATAACAGGTAAAATGAGCTTGCAGACTTCCAAAAAGGGCTTTGTAAGCATTTCTCCTTGTTCAGACTTGACATGCTTCATACCGTCTAAAGCAGGTGTAAACACCGTGGTCCCTTCCATTTTTGCCTTTCGGTCACTGCATCAAAGCGCCAAACTTAGAACCCTTACATCCCCACAGCATTTTCTCTAATTAATCCAATTCCGTATAGTAAAAATATCAGTAAAGCATCAACAACAACTAGTGATGTGTGTGAGATCATCTAAACAGATCAAATCGAATACTGATATGAACAACGAGGATTATATTCCCGCGGCAAGAAAGGGCGAGGCGAATCAGATGATGATCTATTCAGCAAACATATGATACGAGGAAGATAGTAATCCAATCAATGAATAACTCACTAGATCATGAGAATTGAAGCTACAGTGAATCTTTAATCAAACCGAGCAGAAAAAATGAACATTAAAAGTAAACTGATCAGTTCAATTGACATCCAAAAACAGCAGAGCAATTCCAAAGTCGATAACTTTTAGTAAGAGAAGAACAACCAAATCGTGCAGAAATCAATGCTGAGAACATACGAACGATCATCTAAAACCAATGCAATTACGGCGCTGGAATGGAATCTGATACCAATCTCAACAAAAATCAAGCTAAAATTGGATGCCAAAATTCGCAACTTGAGATCTAAAACGCACCTTTAGTTCCAGCAGAGGAAAGTGATGGATATTTTTTCTGGGTTTGCTTTGGGAAGACGCTGTAAAAAATCTGTGCTCTCTCTATATATATATAAGATACGGTGTGCAACTGTCACGGAGAAGACGACGGAACTATTTTTTCTTCTGTAATCTGATTCTTTCTTGATTTCTGGTCAAAAGCAGTTCTCTTTTGGATTTTCTTCCTTGACTATTTTTCTTTTACCCGTATTATTACATCATCAAATTAACGTTGTAGTATTTTTATTTTTTTTTTTAATTTTGGTTACTGGGAATAGCATTTCGCAAATTTTACCATTAGTTTTAGTCCTAGATTCTCAAAGATTTTATCCCAAAATTATTTATTTAAAAAATTTTACATTATTGTCTAGTGTACTCATATTCTCACACTAATCTCCATTTAAACTGAGATTAAAACTATATATCTTTGTTTCAAAAAAAGGGAAAAAAAAAATGTTCCTTGTTCAGCCATCAAATATCAGAACAATTCTGCGGGGGTTTCTATATGTTAGAATTCACACTGCTCAAATTGTTTTTGGATCAATTATTCATCCTTTTGGCAATATAAATGTAAGGAGGATGTACTTGCAATTCCATGGCCAAATACATAAAAAAAAAAAAAAAAAAACAACGGCATAAGTACTTGTGCAAACCTTAATACCCAACACCAAGAAGAAACCCAAGAAAAAAAAAAAAAAACAATGTCGCCTTAGTTTATAAAACATTTTTCCAGCTAGAAATTGCATGTTTCACGGCCAATACATTGCATGATTCAAACCAACACACTACACGTCTACACGTTCAAGCAAAAAACCGACAAGAAAATGCAAATGGTATTACACTATTACAAATGAATGGGATAAGAAATAGTGGATTTTTTCCACGCTAAGTTACGGTCAAAACTTTATGTACAATCTCAATGTAATTACAACCAGGAAAATCTCGAAAGAAAAAAAACGGGTGTCGGAAGAAAATCAAAGAATAACTTGCACCACCGGGTAGTATAAACACAGGTGCAGGAGGCAATGAGGAAAGGTCACTCGGGTGACAGAACAGCAAAGCTACCAACGGCTATGATTTCTTGGCCTACAAAAACAAAGAGCAGTAAGAAACCTTGGGGAAAAGCTGGCACCGAGAGATATAGTCTGAAAGCATTAAGAATGAAGCTTGCCTTCAAATACTTCCTATGAATTTTCAGCGCCTCCTTCAAAGCCTTTTTTGCATCCAAGTTTCCAGTTAGTTCTCCCAATATCTAGAGACAGTTGAAGCCTAGGATGTCAAAGATTGGTACTAAGTAGACATGAAAACGAAAGAGATATACGCTGTTCTGTACCTGAACAACATCGTCTAAACCCTTGGCCTCTTTGAGAAGTCGCTTATTCTTGTTCTCCAGTACACTAGCTACCAGAAAGACAGCAAGAGCACTTTTCTGCTCTGTCCATCCAGTTTCCACATTTTTCCGCTCAAATTTGCCATACTGCTTTAACAGCTTACTATTGATCTTTTGACCATCATGGTTACTGTCATTGGAAACTAAGTCTCGAGATTCCTCGTATTGTACATATATATTGGGGTTGTATTCCATGGCCCACATCACCTATATCCATAACAGCAAGAAACAATTCCAAATCAGAAGTCTCCGACACATTTTTCTTAAGAAATACGTCAACAAGTGCCAAAATCCTGAGTCATTCACAAAACAAAATATTGGGTTCCAGCGGCTAAAATGCAATGCCAGCTAGTCTAGAACAGGAACTCTATTTTGACCAGTGAATTTTCTAAGATAGCAAAATGTGCAGTTAGCTCCTTACCTCCCATAGATAAAGTGAATCAACAAATGAGAACTCTCTCCTAAACAGTACCATCAGCATTCGAAATGCAAATAAATACTCCCCACCATCTAGATCCTCTGCCAAAAGATCAAATAGGAAGAGAAGTGATAATATAGGGGGAGAGAGTAAACAAGCCAGTTCCATAAACCAAAGCAAGGGCACAAAGTTTCCACAACATTGGAATACAGACAGGCAACACAGAGTAACTGTGGCAGAGTGACAGACAAAACTGAAAAGAATAGAGAAGTAAGACCTTTAAGCACAAAAAATCAGTCTTTTTCTTATGTAATATGCATTTCTGAACTTCCTATAAACTGCCATGATAAGTTTCACTCTTAAAGTCGTGATGAAAAAGAAACAAGAAAATGAATTTTCTGCACCTACATATAGCAGTAGGTATATAACCTCTGTAGTTTCACTCATAACATAATTAGTTACTTTGTCTCATAACCTCTGCAGTCTGTATCTTAGAAATCCCAGCAAGCTATATGACATGTGTTGCTTCAGAAACCTTTCAAATATCTTCACAGCATATAAAACTTAAGACCTATCATGCAAAGTACTTATTTGGGTACTCAAGTTCACAGCAAGACCTAGAAGAAAGTGGGAAGTGTTCAGAAAGAATCAGTTTCCAATACCAAGATGCTGGTGTAGCTTCGGATCAATTGCTTTAATGATTTGAGCGAGAGTACCCAGCTGAGATTGGACTCCCATAGAAGTTGCACTGCACCTAAAATTTTCCCTCTGTCCAAACACAAAAAAGAACAAAATACATGATTTGAAAATCCACTAAGCAAACAAAGAGCAGCAAAACACCAATCTTTTTCAGAATTTGCATATAAACCGTGAAATGGGATTTGGCACACATTGATTCCTGTAGCCTTCACTGTCCAAACTTAAGTGTCGAGGACTTCCATAACAAATTGCGAAACAAGAAAAGAAAAGCATTCAAGATAAAGCACATGACATATTGCAGCAGGGTAAAGATGGAATACCAGTCTGCGCATTGCCCGCTCAAAGCACCAAAAGGCATCTGCTTCGTTTTCTAGAAGAATAACTATTGGAGAACATATATCGCTCATTCCTGCTCACAAAAGCAAACAAAAACAGTATAAGATTTAAAAGATTGTAATACAAAGTACGAGAAATGACCATAATGTACCTTGAACATAACCAATATCTCCATCAACCCAAGAATATACAGCAAGAACGTCCCAAAGTCTTGCTTGATTCTCTAGATTTTCATAAAAAACCAGAATGCGATCTGTACGAACAACGTCCAGACCTACAGCATAAAAATCTTTCAGCATGTTTTAGGGATGGTTCCAAACCATGTAGACTACAAAAAAAGTAGCACATCTCTAAGTCAGAACTGGACTATATGGTGCCCCAAACAAGTCAAAGAATGTCCAGAACAACCAAAAAGTAAATTAATAACAATGCAATGAAGCTCGCATCTAAGAAGTAATTATTTAAATAGGTAAAGAAGGCAGACACAACATCGTCAAATCAACTTAAATTGGAATCAGGAATCTCCAGGAACTACCTAAGCATCACTGCCCCACGACAATTAAGGACAAAAAAAAAAAATGAAAATGCAAAACCAATCCGAATCTGAGTACTGACCAATTTGATTTAGTCCAACCTTCCAGTGATACACTTTCTTGTCGGCGCGATTCTCATCACTTGGCATGGCACCAATATTATCTTGTGGATTTCCATTCGCTGAAGCTTCTTCTGATGGTTGACTAGGATCAGATACTATAGCTTCTGTAAGCAACTTTCCACTACCTATAGTAGGTTCCATCTGTTTACATTCAGCTTTCCATGCAGCATACTGCTCCCTGATAACAAATTAGCATTCAATCAATTTATTTGCACCAAAATCTTATTCATCCATACACGAACTAAAAAGTAAAATTACACATGATTTGCAGCATCATCTGAACATAACAAGATCAAATAAATTCAGGAGGTGTGGAGGCAAAGAGAAAGATGAAGATGAAATCTACTTTGAAAAGCAAAAGCAAAACATGAAACTCATACAGAAAGATTGCACAACAGGGAAGAATAATGCATAAACAATATTCGAACGAATTGAAAGTTCCGTGTGACTCACTATTCTCATATGCAAAAAGCACACAATTTATTTTAAATTGTTTACTGAAACATCAACATGTTGAGTAATTCCTCGCCTGGATAATATTATTGCAAATTAGATAATTCATTACCTTCGCCGAGTTCTTAGTTCATTTCTTTCCTCAAATGTGCTATCGGGATGATAACATCCCAACAAGAATTCCCAGACTGCTCCTTTGATTGATGGATGAATGCCCTACTTTTGCAATTATAGTAAATAACCAAAGTTACAGGAAGAAAACAATAAGCTACAAGGCTCATGTAATCAAGAAGCAAACTTCACAATTCTGAAAATTCCTATAATAACTACTTTGACATTGATTTTGAATGATAAATAGGTAAACTCAAGTCTAAATCTTGGTCACTTCGTTTGTGCCATTTTAAGTGCATTTGTAAGAAGTTAAGTTACACACTCAACTTACGACAAGGCTGATCGAGTTTATTCAGTATTTATCAGGTCTGAAGATTAAACCGAAACAAAATAAAGCAGAAGTATAGTCTTTACCCCTCTCTGAATCCTTCTAAGAACGCCTGCTATATCCAGACGGCCCTCTTTATCAAATGCAGCATTCCACCTTCTTGAACTAAGAGTTTTACCAACCTATAAGATAGGTACAGAATATCTCAAAAGCGTTTGATAGAATTGTCGGAAGAGAAGATATGAATTCAAATGTTAAGTAAACGCAGAAACAAAGACCCTCACCCTAATGAAGATACCCACAGAAAATTTCAAGTGACCATTAACTCCTGTATTCTACTCTAATTACACCGGTTTATGGTAACATTGATTATATAAAATATACGACTTTTCAGCTTCTCCCATTAATTAGAATTAGATAGAAAATGCACAAAATGTTTGAAAACCAGTTGGAAAACTTTTGGAAACAAGTTAATGAAGTCGGAATAATTGGACGAATCCTAGATCCAACAATTAATACTCATATACTTTTATCCAGCTAACAAATCACAGTTGGCATACACCTATTGAAAAACAAAAATGTCAAACAAAAGGAGAGAAGTTAATGCTGCACTAACCCTTGTTTTGAAGCGGGTCTTAGGGACTTCTGCTTGATATTCCTGTCTAACAGGGAAGTAAGATTCCAAATCTTCAGAAGATGAACTCCACATTTTCGTTAAACACCCACCACCTGATGCAAGAATGCAACCAACAAAAAGAGCTCAATAAGAACCGTCTTAATCAAAATTGAGAACAGCAGAAACTCGGAAACAGAATACTTTTCGCGGCATGGTAAGTCAGCAACCGTTAACTATAGCTAAAACTTCCTAACAACTAAGTAGTATCATAGTATGGGTAGTATTATACCATCACTAATCCTCTTTCCGAATAAAATCCCCATGTTTCCTGCACATTGTTATTACTCAGGAAATCGAAATTTGCAGTTTGCAGTGTAAACCCAGAAGATTCATTGATTTACAACAACAAAAACGCCATATTTAACAAATTATACGATTGGCGTAATCAAGAACAGAGAGACAAGAGATCCAACGAGGTCGTCCAATTGGAAGATATCGAATCACATTACAATTTGCAACAAAAGAAGGCTAAGATAGAACAACAACCCGCAATTTTCCAGATGTATATATACATACACAGAGATTATGAAGTGGTCAAAGATTTCAGTACCGGTAAATGACGATTCAGAATCCGGGGAGATGGAAGGAAAACAGTAGAAGGGCAATAAAAAATGCTTCTTCTATGATGAAACCATGAGAGCTTTTTTACTTTGAAAATCACAAAAAGAAGGAAGATGATGAAGATGTCGGGGAAATTTAAGGCGTGCAGCTAGGGAATTTTGAACGATCTCCCACACCCAGAAATTCTCTCCCAATTAACATTTTGTTGTTGACATGTGTCCTCCTGCCTTTTTTTTATTTTTCAAATTCTCTCGTCAAATTCTCTAGGTATAGTAGTAATTCTACTTCGGTTTTAGGTTACTTTTTTCATAGATAATAGTGGAGCCAAAAATCTAGAACATAGTTAAAAATTAAAATGACGAAATATGGGAAAAATAATCTTCCCCCCTCCCCTCCAAGGAAAAACATCCAAAATCTATCTCAAATTCTGGTTTTGATTTTGGCTGTTGCAGTTTATTATGGATTAATACGCTACGATTAGTTGTAATTAAAAAATGATATTTTTAAAAAAATTTCAAAATATTAGAACTTAAGACCTGTAATTTGATTGGATTGATTTATAGAGATCGTCATTATTATATAAGACATGGTTTTGGAAAGATGTAATTGATTTGATAACGATTCAAGGGTGGAATAAGATTTTTAAGTTGTTAACAATATACATTCCTCCTATCTATACTATATATATATATATTATACTAAGAGAGAAATCAGAGAGAGAAAATAAAAAAGAATTCTAAAGGTGCCACATAGGATAAAATTCTATGTGTCATTTTTCTAATGGTTGAGTCAAAAAATATTTACAACAATTATATTAATAGTCCTTCAAGTTTCCTATAGTTAAAAGTTTATCAAAACCTAGGTGTAAAATGAAAAGTTAGGAATTGACAACGGATAAGAACTAATCAAATTTAATACACGGGATTAATCAACATTAATGTACTGAAATTTTCCCCCCGTCAAATCAAATACAATTCAAAAAAATAATTCCCAAAATAAATTCCAAAATCACCGTTGAATTAATTTAATTCACCGAAAATTTGTTTTGAGCATTAATCGCTTTTAATTTGACTGGATTATATAAATTGTTAACAAGTATTGTACCCGCCTCCTCTCTTCCATCTCATTGACTAATTGATTCTTTTCCAACAAAACCATCGTTTCTGCCCAATTTCATCAAGTTTAGTAAACTCATATTAGAAATGGAAAATGTCAATTCTTTTTAGACTTCAATAACTATTTGATTTTGGTATATTTACGTATGTTTGTTCCAAATTCCATGATGCAATTGTGTTACGTGATTATACTTTATTGGATTAAATATGAATCATTAATTTATAATTTGATCATGGGTTTTTATTACTGAATTTATGATTTGTAGTGGAAAAGAAAAGAGAAGCGCAGACGAGATAGGGACTATTAGCAGTGGTATTATTTATCAAAAAAGTTCTAAAAGGTGTTTTGCAAAGAAAATTTTTTAATCAGTTTTTCTCATATTCTACTCAACCCCTATTAACTAATTTGGTTTTTTAATGTTTCAAATGGAGTTTATTACTAACAGATAATTATCACGGTTAAAGGAACACAAAGGAAAATATTTTGATAAAAGACAAATTGTCTAGCCTGAAATACAAGCGATAAAACCTTTTTTTTTTCAATCATTATTAGTAGACACAAATCGTAAAGTCTGTAATGCAGCGATACAACATGATTATGTCAATCGAGGAGCAACTTGAACTAAATTCAAGCTGGGAATGCCAAATAGTTTTTTCTTGCCAAATAGAAAATTTTGTGTAATTATTGAATAATTCTTCATACTTTAATAAAATTTTCCTGCGGATCTAATGGATAAACTCATCCATTAATCGGTTTGATTTCAACTGTGTCTTGACTTCTTATCTCTTTATTAATTGTTTGAAAATTTCATATTTGAGTATTTCTAACCATTCAATCATTATTAATAACTAGTATTTTATTTTCAATTAATTATTCCTGAAAGTTATAGGGTTGCATGATTTTGATGATAAATTTGACCAGCCATTACACCATGATAATTCTTCTTTGAATAAAAAATGATTCTTTTCTTTTCTTAATAAAAAAATAGTAATACATTTGCAAATGAAATCATGTATTACGGAGCTTATTTTATTTTCATTTTCCAAGAATATATATACATATATATATGTTATTTTCCATGTACCACATTTTCTTTATTCAAAATTTTAATATTTAATATTTTACCATACTTACACATATGATATGCATGTATTTATATTTTTATAAAAAAAAACTTACAGAAATATCTAGTTATATTTTATAAGGGTGAAATATAATTTCGTAGATACTGCTATATATATTCCTCCTCCTAAGCTCCTACCACGGTTATTCGTCCTTGACAGGTTTAATTTATGTTATCCGGACTCTTCTATTTAGAGAGAATACCCATGTCGTGTCAACACTGGTGCGGGTATGAGTGTCGGATGTGACATTTTAATCTAAAAATGTTCAAGATTTCTAAAATATTGACGAGTCGGACATTCAGATCTCCGCACCCGATACGACACCCGTATCCGAGTCCAGGTAACATATGGTTTAATCAGTCGGCTATTTTTTTTTTTTTTGGGTCACGGTGTTCTTCCGATGGATAGGATGAATCCCAAGGATTTAGTCGCTGAAATTCTGAGAAAGTTTCCGACAAAATCTCTGATGCGATTTAAAAGTGTGTGTCGAGATTGGCGATCCATCATAATGGATCCATGGTTCAACAATACTTACCGGAACGGTAATCACTCATGTCTCCTCTGCTCGGAGCCCCGTGTGTTGTCCTTGTATGACCGTACGTTCTTAAAGTACATCTGCCTGGATGGAACCAGTAGCCCTCAAATGATACAGGATCATCATGTCATTCATCAGGGCCGACAGATGAAAGGATGTACGAACACCGTGAATGGTCTAATATGTTTCTATCGGGATGTGGAATCGTGGTTGGGTTTTGGATTCCGGTCAACAAACATTACAAGTTACTCAAGATATGTCCTCGTCTTCTTGATCACGTACGTAGAGATTCTCACCATCGGAGTTGATCCTTCATGACATTGCGCCCCTTTCGTTTCAAGAAGCTATCAATTCTCGCAACACGTGCGCCGTGCTTGTGTGGGATCATTTGTTGGATGAGTTGGGATGAACGTCTAATTAAGGGTTTCCATGTGGCTGAAGAGAAGTTTATTCACACCCTCGGTCCCTCTTCTGTACAGCTCTCACTCCAAAAGTTTGGGCTTCGAGAACCATCATCCATAATTATGATTACTTCAACGACTTCCGGCCCTAGTATGGTTATCACGATGCCTTGGCAGAAGTCCCGAACCCTGTTGGATAAGGTTTTACGTTATGACTTGCCAAATGGGACTTGGGTTGAAGCCGCGCTACCGGAACTTCCTCGGCGAATTTCCGAGAGAGATTTTTACCGCGTCTTCGATAGGATCTTTCATCCTTGCGTACTTCCCAATGGAAATATGTTGATATATGATTGTTTTGGAGTTTGGTGTTTCTACCGACTTTACTTGCTTGATCCTTCACAGTGGGAGTGGGAAAGCATTGTTACAGAGACATACCAATCTCTATATGATTTGCATCCACCCAGAGGCTGGTCATATTTTGAGAAAAAGTTTATTTCACTGGCCCGTTTGATTTCATGCAACATTTAAATATTTTTTAGTGTTTTTGTAGTTGCATTTGTAGTAACTTTTAGAAATTTGTATCGAGATATTTCAATTCAAATGTCTGTTAGTTATTCTTTCTTCTGTCCAAATAAAATAATGTATACTGAATTTTCAAATTTGTATTAAAATAGTACAAATATAAACTACCCGATTTCCATGTTGTAAATGAAAAAATTTAATAACATAATCTCTAAAAGGTCGACTGGTACGATAGATTAGATTAAAATTGAACAGATTTCCTTATCTCAATTAAGTGATTTTAACAATATAAATTAGTAGGGAAGTTTATGTATTAAATTGACCCTTTTTTTTTTACACAATATGCTAAAATACTATAAAAATTAGTGAACGTTAAACTTATTTCTCACACTAAAAAACCTGAGGTGAAAAATTGGAAAAACAAAATTGTTAAATACATAATCCCAACATATAAATATAAAATAAGACGGTGTATATTGTTCGTCGACTTTGTTGTCAATGTCAAAAGTCCGACGAAAACCTTGACGCAAAAAAAAAATTGGTAAGAAAGAAGCATTTGCTAAATGCATCTTCTATACAATTTGCCAAAAAAAAAAAATCATTGCTTTTTGGAGATTTTTTTTCAAATCACGAATATATTCAACACATTTAGTTTTCTTTTCGACATAATTATTTTTATTTTATGTTATTAGGGCCATAAATATGTACTAGTATAGATCTTGCTCAAAAAATTTTTAAAACTACAACTAAAATCAAAATAATTATCATTAATTCATTTAATCTTCAAACTCTCGAACCATATTATAAATGAAAAATTTTAATGATAAAATCTCTAAAAGGTTGACTGATACTATGTATTACTCCCTCCGGTCCTTATTATAAGGCATTTTGATTCCGTCCTAGGTTTCACCTAGAATGTCTTTTTAATTGGAATAAAAACCTTAAAAATATTTTATAACAATTAAGAGAACACAACGAATGTAAAATTATATTTTTAACGTTTTTTTTTCAATTAAAAATACAAATCCTTGTAGTTCATATTTCTATTTCTTTCGCATCGTCCAATGACTGGGCTACTGCCGATTGCGCCCGAATCACCCTCATTCGGTGGTTGTTCAACTTGTCTTAAAGCTGCTACAGAAATTTAGGAACTTGAAGATACATTGTTGAATGTGAAATATTCTTTGAGAAGTTTTGATATCGAAATACCTATAAAACCCCTTCAAATTTGCTTGTTTTAGGCATTTCAGTTTCCTTGGTGTTAACCATTTCCCCCTTCTGATTTGGGGGTCTAATGTCTGGACTCATTTGTTTGTATATAACTCATTCCTTTTCAAATGAATTGTAAATAGATATAAATGTATACACTTGGAGATCAGAAATGATGATGTATGTACTTTTTTTCTTCATTCAATGAGAACCAATTTTGTTCCTCCTAAAAGTTGTTTTGTACATTTCGTTGTATCCCAGGTTTTCTTTACACCAAGCCAATTTAAAAAAGACTCAAAAGGGTGAAGATGAATTTTGGTTTATCATGTGATAAAGATTTGAAATCTCAAAATGTTGTTTACAGTTAACACTGTCAACAACTCCAAAGTGGGCTCATATAGTGACTGTTGATTTGTTTGTGATATCTTGTATAGAGCTTTTGCATACAGCTTACACAACCTCTACAAGTTGTACAGAGGTTGCATACTGCATATGCAAGCTTTGCATTGTCTAGTAGTTCCTTTTTTCTGTTGCGACTTTTTCTGATAAATAGATTGAAACATTTGCTTAATTTTTACAAAGTTGGACTAAATCGACACAATCGCGCTGTTCATCGCAATCTAAGATTTCTCATCCTTTTGTTACATTTAAACAACTGAGATTTTAGGAGTTCCATTCATGTACACACTATCGCGTTTCAAAAAAAGGTTTGTTGTTATTAGTCTATTCTTTGTGAGTTACTTCAAAGATGATGAATGACAAGCAAAGCAGTCAGAAAGTTGCAGAAACTCTTGTTATAGTCTGTCGATGACTGCTTTTAGAGCCACAGCTGCAAACACTTCATGGATGGTTAACTTTATATTCAATGTTTGCAAAGCATCGTTCTGTTCGCTTTGAGGACATAACCCAGGCTAACTACTAATTTGAAGAGAGATATGGGGGTTAATCCCACATCGACAACTGAAGCCAATGATGATCAGTATATAATACTCCCACTTTGCCGCTTCAATCGCCGAGCTTGGTAGCGCAAGCTTGTAACCCAAGTGGGGGCTGCGAGTTGTTGGAACATTGGTATGGCGCAGATGGTAGGCTTGAGGGTGCTGTTACTTGGCCCGCCCGTTCCAAGCAGATAGTTGGGCTCTGTGGTTTGGGCGAAGGTCTGGGTCACTGGGCTCCTAAAGTGGAGGGAATCGCACAAGGCTGGCTTCACAGAGCAGTGAAAACTTCCCGCTCCCTGCAGTGGAAGGATCACGGGCTGGTGCGTTCTCTAGTCGTTAATGCCAGATGGGCCTTACTCAATTGGACCAACACCTTTTTGCCATTTCTTCCACTTTCAGTTATTTTTTCTGCTTGATTAAATTTTCCTTTTTTCTTTTTTTGTTCACGAACACTGTAAGGATACAATAGCTGTCTTCTTTTCTTTTTTTTCTTTCTTATTTTATACAATAGCTGTCTCGGAATAGATGAAGTATTTTTCTGTCCCAAAATTATTGTCTAGTTTGAGATTTTATTTTTATTATAATTTAAACTAGAAATTAAAACTCAAACTGGACAATAATTATGGGACGAAGGGAGTATTTGTCAAGGATGTTTTCAAAAAAAAATTTTAATTATAAAAGAACATACGATAGGAAGTTATGAACATGGACGTTGAAAATTTCAAATCCCTAACAAGAAAAGAGTTGCGTACCTCAAATATTTATATCGTTTTGTACAGTCACCTAAAGCCATTTGGCAGGATAATATTCTGTGACTTGTTGCCATCATCTTCTCCTCTCGCTGAAATAAAAAAATAATAATAATACCAAATAAATATAAAATTTACTGCCTTACTATTACCACCCTAGATGAGGCAAATATAGTATTTAACATTTCGTAACTTTAAAAGTGATTTGTCTACATGCAAAAAGTCCATTTCTACTAAATTGATGTTAGTGATATAAACTCTCTTCGGTCTTATAATTAAGGTTCCGATTTGTATTAGTTTATGCCTCATGACCGTATCGGAATGAGTATTACAACTAATAATGTAGTTTCATATTGTGGCGGTAGCGTCGTACATTGCTAAATCTTTGATATAAACGAGAGGAAGATTGTGCTGGTTTCAGTTGATTAGATCAAAGTTGCACTAATCATTAATTGTACACTAGATATCCTATGATTCATTATTATTCGATCTTAACTAGTACGTACGGATAATTCCAAGTTTAGAATCCCTTGTTTTTGTTTATTTAGTATACCAAGGGGCGCCAGATAGTTTTGGTTTTCTGGATTTTGGTTAGGGTTCTTTATCGATGAAGGCAATAACTAACTGATAAAATTTACGGAAGTTTCAGGCATCCACTATGCTTCCTATTCTGGAGACCGAATTGCAGTTCTGGTAGCTGTCTTCAAGTCAACAAAAAGTCCACATATATAGTTGAATGATGAGGGTTAATCTAACTCGAGTCTAAATTAACCAACTAATTAATGGAGATTATTTTGCGTGTAATATATAAGTATCTGTTTAACCAAACTCTGATATATTATTATGTGTAACTGTGTTACTGTATTATACTCTCTGATCACTCTATATCTATATCTAGAAGCATAATTCACAATGTATATTCTCCTCAATTTGTAGGTGATCAACAATCATTTTTCCTTTGATGATCGAAGCACCATTGCATAAAAAAGGTTTCAACTTCCCCCTTTTCTTTGACGAAGGAGAAGAAAAAGAATAATGCCAAGATTATAACTATGTATCAGCCAATTCGTGGCGAACAAAAATAATTTAGGTATAAAATAAATTTGAAACCAAACACAAAAAAGATCACTATATAATGTACACTTGATCATAAAATATATAATTTATTTCTTAGCTCAACCTTTGCAGGAATACTGAACAAATAAAATAACGAATATTTAACTCTCATGGTTAGAACATTCCAAATCTTAATGAAAAATGACGAAATTAATTAATTATTATGTTAATGATCTTTATTATATGAACAAGCTCACTCTTCCAATAAATAAATAAATAATTAGTAGTATACCCGAAAGTATAACTATCTTATAGTTTAGCATTACCATTACGTTGCATGTATCAACTACTGGTCTTAGTAAATTGTTAAAATCACTACCAAATCGACGTGGCTTTTCCCTTGGAACCTAGCTTTCATCTCCATTCGTTTATCCCATTATGCCGGCCACCCTATTAACTCCATTATTATAGACTGTCCTAATCATCAGCTTACCTAGGTCACTATTTTTGTTTTATAAACTCTTAAATTTTGCTCAAAATCATACTCCTCCTCTTTATTTACATACATTTTCCAATTCATCCATGCAACTTTATCAATGGCCTGCAACTTTCCACTATAAGTAACAAACATTCCATACATATAAAAAATTCAAATAACACCTTCACCAAATTTTATTAATATTCCTCTCAGTTATGTTCAAAGGTGGTGGATTTGACATTGTTCATAGCGGAGCTATTGACATCATGCAACCACCCCATGAACAATGGGGAGATTACCCCAACATTGCATTTCCAAACTACTCAAAACCCATGAATAATATTACTGAGAAAACCAATCATGAATTTGTACTTCCTCAGTGGATCGAGCATGTCACAAAGCAGCTTATAATCGAAGCCCCGGAACCGGAAACCGGGTTATCATCATCATCACCATCCACCTTGCAGGCTCAAACGACAACAACGGTGTACGAAAATAGTACTAACATAGTTCCAACCCTTGTTGGTGACTTGATGATGAAGCCGAGAAAATCAGCAAGAAGAAGTTACGATCATAACGCGGGGAATAATGATCATCAGCATCATCAATGGTGCCTTGATGATGATGATGAGCACGATCACGTAGATGATGCAATTATAAGCACTACTAAGAGATCGTCGCCATTAATGGCTAATGGCGACGATCAGAGTTTGAGCTTCATGACAATACTAATGGAATGCGCAGTGGCGATTTCGGTTGATAATATCGGAGAAGCTCACAAAATGTTACTTGAGCTAACTCAAATGGCAACACCTTATGGTCCATCCTGCGCTGAAAGAATTGTGGCTTATTTCTCTAAGGCTATGGCAAGTAGGGTTGTGAATTCTTGGCTAGGGATTTGTTCACCTTTGATTAGCCACAAAACGTTACATTCTGCTTTCCAAGTCTACAACAACGTTTCACCTTTCATCAAATTCGCGCATTTCACTTCCAACCAATCCATCCTTGAGGCATTCCATCGTCGCGAAAGGGTCCACATCATTGATCTCGATATCATGCAAGGCTTGCAATGGCCGGCGTTGTTCCACATCCTCGCGACGCGGATGGAAGGTCCCCCTCACGTCAGGATGACGGGAATGGGGACGTCCATTGAAGTGCTGATAGAGACAGGAAAAAATTTATCTAATTTTGCGAAACGCTTAGGGATGTCCTTTGAGTTTCACCCGATTGCGAGGAAATTTGGGGATGTGGATGTCTCCATGTTACAAATTAGAAGGGGTGAAACTGTTGCGGTGCATTGGTTACAACACTCAATGTATGATGCCACTGGACCTGATTGGAAGACAATGAGACTTTTACAAGAAATATCGCCTAGGGTTATTACATTGGTTGAGCAAGAAATATCTCATGGGGGGAATTTCTTGGACAGATTTGTGGGTTCTCTTCACTACTATTCCACCATTTTCGACTCCCTTGGAGCTTACTTGAAGAGTGATGACCCGAATCGCCACCGGGTAGAACATGACCTTCTTTACAAAGAGATTAATAACATTTTGGCTATCGGTGGACCAGCAAGGAGTGGAGAGGATAAATTCAAACATTGGAGGAATGAACTGTTGAGAAATGGATTCGTGCAAATTGGGATGAGTGCAAATTCTATGGCACAAGCCCAACTGATTCTCAATATGTTTCCCCCATCTCATGGGTATAGCCTTGTTCAAGGAGATGGAACACTTAGGCTAGGGTGGAAAGATACGAGTCTGTATTCAGTTTCTGCTTGGACTTCACCTCATTCTAGATAGTCATGATGTAATCATAAAATTTGTCGCAGTCCTTATTTTGCCTTGATGATTAAATTTTCTTCCAGAAAAAAAAAAAAATGTAACGCCTCAGCAGTTAACTTCTGATCAACAAGAATTTGTTCATTTGCTACCATCACTGAATTACAAAATGAAGAGATCATGTCATTGTCTCGCTTACTGTGCAATATTTGTCTCATTAGTGAAATGTTATCATTTTAGTTTTTATTGTATATCGTACTATTGCTTAAATGCAATATGTATATAACTAAACAAATAATCTAGCTGCAATGCGTACTAATAATATTAATATTTGTCTGTTACAGCCAGCCACGAATGTTTTTTTTTTTATTATTATTATAACGAATTCAAGTCTTCAGGTAGCATCAATTTGCCCATTACCGCAAGCAGTTGCGCGGCTTACAGATCGATGCTTATGGAATATTGTGGAAATTAGCATGATATTATTCCCTATTCTGTGGGAGTTGGAATATCATGGGAATTTATCATGTAATGGAACCACCAATTTAAAATTACTGATCTTTCTTGTTCCCGTTGTTAGCAAAAGAAGATGGACCCATGTAATGGCTGCTGATGAATAATTAATCCTTTGAGCTCAACTTCAACTGCAAGTCCTTTTTAAGGGTAACATTACAGTTGATTGTTAGCTGGATGATCAATCTAACATAGTTTACGGATATATACGTCCCATCGGCCAACCCCACAATGAGGTAAGTCAAGATTTGGCCAACCTCAAAACTCATAGAAATAAAGTGACAAAAATTAATAATACTCTATGATTATGTAACACAGTACCAGTTATCCGAACACTTTGAACTCTAACATCATTCTTAAACGGATGTAAAGTTTGATTAAGAAAAAATGTTAACCAAAATGATTGTGGTGGAGTGGAAAGGACTCCTCTATCTTTAATCATAGATTAACCGATAGAATTTTGCAAATATGAAAAAAAAAAGTTTGTTAAAAAAGAAAGATGGCGATGGAATTTCATTAGCTACTTCCTCTCAGTAGACTCCATTGTGTATAATAATTAGTTTTTATGCGCCAAAAAAAAAAAAAAAGAAAAAGAAAAAGAAAAAAGAAAAAAAGACAGAAATTGATGAAATCTGCTGGAGTCCTAAAAAATTTATCAAGCTTGTAGATGGAATTGGGCCCTCAAATGAGGCCCAGTATACCTGGACTGACCGGATCTTTAGAAATAAACGTGTTATGAAGTTAATAATGTGAGGGGGGAATTACTCTCAATCCCATTATCCCACAATAATGAAGTTTGATAAACACTGTCAACTTAAAGGGACCACGAAAAAAGAGAGTTGTCGTCAAAAAAATAAAGCAGATGAATTAAACTTCTCACTAACAAATTAAAAACATGTGTACTAATTACAATTGATTAGTAATGACAGTTGTATTAATTTAAAGCATTCGTGTGAATCAGTTCAAGCCTAATGAGTAATCGAAATAATAATAAATTAATGATGTACTAATGCATCACAGCAATAATATTAAGATGCCAACAATATTTAACACGCGTAAAGTTTTTGAGGAAAAAGTAAAAGAGATTACACGCAAAAAAAAAAAAAAAAAAACGAAAGAGATAAAATAAAGTGAAGATGAAGAATTGAGTGTTATTATGGTCCACCAACTCCAACAATCAACGTTATGCTACAGCTGAAGAAATTATGCCTTGATTAAAATATTAACAAGTGCATCAAAGTTAGTATCAAAATTTGATCTCGAGCTCTAGTAGTATCAACTCAAACAATACCATGGCATTCTTTTTCTTATCCTCCTCCATTTTTAGGTTTGAAGAATCTTGAGTGTTTTATGCATATTGAAGCCTGTGACTTCCAATTGGGGTCTTGAATATCTTTATCATGGCAAGGTGAAATGAATTACGGTGATTTGTAATTTTTTTTTTAGATTTTGACATTTTTAATGTAAAAAATAAAAATAAAATCGCATGTGTATCATTTAATCGGTTGACATATCAAATTACTATCAATAATTTAACATATATACAATATTATTAGTTTCAGAGAAATTTCTCGCTAGTTATTTTTTTCCGTATAGTTTCGATGCAATTTTAATACCTTTTAACCTAACTAAAGTCATGTATAAGAAATATTGTAAAGAATATGGTTGCACATCAAATATAAGACAATAAATTATTCTCTCCCTGACATTTTAATATTTTATTTTAATGAATTGAAATGATATAATAAATGTGGAAGGTTAAAATAAAACGGAAAAAAAAATATAAACATGGATTCCTTTATAAAGATATAGATACCCTTAGAAGTTAGAAGTAATACTACTACTTTTATTAGGTGATGATGAATATTTTTCAAAAACACATGACCTAATAAGTATGATTAAAGTTGTGATATAGATTTGCGGTATGCACGTTCACAAGTTGGGTAAGCAAAATGACAACGAACAAATAAAATCAAAATTGTTTAATGGAAAATGACCCAAAAATCAAAATCCCGAGGGTGAAGGACGTGTTTAGTGCCTTTAGGCGGCCGACATTTAGGACACAACCCCAACCCCCCCGCCCGCCGGCTTCCATCAGCTCCGTAGACCGTAAGTACTGCTTACTTTTACTTGCCACAACGGAAATCTCTCTCTTTTTTTATTTCTTTAATTTTTTTTCCATATGTAAAACCAGCAATATATGCACTTTTTTTTTTCTGTCTTTTGTTTATAATTTATTATTTAAGGTTGAAATAATTCAATAATAACAAGCGTTTTTTAGGTCTATTCATTGTTACGGGAAGAAACTAATTATACAATGCATGGCTTTTTGAACCTTTTTCTTTTAATTTTGATTTTTGTGATGTGCAATCCAAATTAAATAAGTATTATTTACCTAAGTGGAACTAGGAATGTACCCTTCTTAAAGGATAAGGGAAAAATAAACTATCTTTTACATTCAAGAAAAACGCAAACGTGAAATGTCAACTTCTTAATTAAATTTGTTTCTCTCTTTTAAGTGATGAGAAATATTTTTCAGCAAAGATTATATGGATAATAAAAAGGTAGTCAGAGTGTCCAATAAACATAACCTGCTCTCAAATTGTGAAATCTGTTGTTATCTACAATTTGTTTTTGACATTATTTTTCTATGTCGCTTTTTAGAAGATATATATATATATATATATTTTGTAAAATATTGTCTCAATCTAACTGTCGTCGTATTGATGATGGAGGCTTGAAACTTGAACGCTTGAATTTCTTAACATTTTACAAGCAACTACTTTTTTTTTTTTTTTTGAGAAAATACAAGCAACTACTTTTGACAGGTAAAAAATTCTTCATCTCCTCAGCACTTATTAAAATTAGTTATTTTACATCAGAGATTAATTATACAGTATTTAAAAAAATACTTCATCTGTCCCAAAATATAATAAACATGACATTTGTTGTAAAATAAAACAAATATATTTGCGGTGTTGATGAAGAGCAAGTATGGTTTTTCAATACAAACTGATATCAATAAAGAGCAATGTATACCAAACATTATGATTTTAAATATATAAATTTATAATAATAAATACTAAAGAAGAAGGATAAAACATTACGTAGTTCTAAAATTCGAGAATAACGTGACTTTTCATGAAATGTTTTTTTCACAGGTTCCTTCGAAGCAATTTGTAAGGGCTACAATTATTAGTATATGTATGTTTTCCAAACACAAAAGTCAAATGTACAATTTTATTATTACTTTCTTCACGAAAGGATTTTTTTTTTCTTTTTCAAAAAAGAAACCCCTAAAGATTAGACCTGATAGAAGAGCTAAGTAACTACTTTTGACTACTTTCCATTTTACATTTTCACTCATTTTACCTCTTAAACACAAAACCCAATGGAAAAAAAAAACATCATCCAAACAACTTTCTGATTTACATTCTAAATTCCAATTTGAAACACTTTTTGTTAGTGTAATGACCATTTTAGAGCTACAAACAGTTTAGTGATAAATTTGGCAGGATTCCGTTGTTGAGTAATTTTTTTTGAAAAGTTCTTTTTTGCAATGACTATAATTGACAGTATTTAATTGTTTAGTGATGACTTGTACTTGATATTTCAAAATGTAGTTCAAAATAATTTTTTTCAAAACCAACATCCAAACAACATTTTTTTTTCCCATTTAGTTTTCAATTTAAAACATTTTCCACTTTTAAGTGATAAAATGAAATGTAAATTAACATTCAAACAAGTACTAACTTTTTTTTTCCAAAATATAGGAAATCCTCTTATGAATTGAACCAAATCAACATATTTTTTGAACTACATGCAGTTTCATTGACATGAATTTGAATCAAGTAAGCAACCATATTTTCTTATATGATATTAATATTTCAATTATATATGTTGGTTTATCTGTGAATGCAATATTTTCCCCTCAATTTAACATCCAAATAAATAAAAAATACTAATATATAAATCTCAAAAAAGAAAATTTACATAATAATTATGGAGAAGTAAAAGAAAAGTGCAAAAAACAAAATAATACTAGCTCCACCTGCCTTGCCTTTTCCTATCCCCCACCAAAAACAAACACACACACACACACACACACACACACATCTTCTTCTTCTTCTTCTAAATTCTAATCAATCACTCCCCTTGTTTTTGCTCTTTCTATCCCTTTTTTTTTCTTTCTTTCTCTCTCTCTCTCTTTCTCTCTCACACACACACACACAGGGGGCACTTTGCTTTTCCGCACACACAGAAAAAATCCATTATTTTCTCCTAAAAAATAAAAAAAACACTCTCTTTCTTTCCGACTTTGATCCCTCAATTGCCGCTCATTTTGTCCCCCCCTTCCCAATTTTCTCATCATTCTTTGATTCATTTTTTATTTTCCAGAAATTTTTAGAAAAGTGAAAATTGTTTGTATTTTATGTTTTTGGATACACACTGTTTTGTTTTTACATCATACATTGATTGCCTCTTTTTTTGTTTTTGATCAATGATGATTGTAATTGAATTAGGGTTTGGAATTGTTGTCGCCTTTTGAAGATTTAGGGTTCTTGTTTCAATATAGGATGTAGTTGATTGCGGATTGGGATAACTATATATGATTTTCAATTCTTAGTTGTTAATTGGAAGTATCGGTGGCTATATCGGTGTTCTGGGATCCGTCGGCGGCGGGGGTTCATTTTTTTTTTGGTGTGGAAATAGGAGTTGATTATCCGGTAGTTCCTCCGGCAAAATCTCACCTTTGTTTGTTCGGTCGAGGTGTATTCCGGTAGCTATCCGAGGACCGAATAGCTGGTCGGAGTTGGGGGTATTTTTGTACATTTAGTATTGGGAGGTAGGTTGTTGAATCACCATGGATCATGTGGTCGGTGGGAAGTTTAAGATGGGAAGGAAGATTGGGAGTGGTTCCTTTGGAGAACTCTATCTAGGTATTGTTAAAATCTTTTTGGTTGTTTTTTTTTTAATAAAAAGATTGTATGCCAATTTAATTTTTGCTCCATTTAATATTTGTTATTGCTCTTCCATTTAAAGTGTTTTGAACAGGAAGTTGTTCTTAATTACTGATTTACAGTTTGCTGAATCGATCCAGGTGTCAATATTCAGAATGGAGAGGAAGTGGCTATCAAGCTGGTATGGTTGTTTCCTTTTTTTTCCCCCCTCCATTGTTGGTATTTTTATTGCTGAATGAGCATTGGAAACTTTGTTGTTTTGAGTGATACACCTGTATTTTCAAAAGAGAAGCAGTACGTCTTACCTGTGATGTTCAATATAAACTGGTCCTTCAGGCTTGCATTTTTAGGAACTTTGAGCATATGTGTAGTAGCAGAAATAATAATAGCTTATCGCAGCCCTTGGTTGGCTGAATTTCTGATTTATGATTGAATTCGAGTTTTAGTTTGATATTATTTTTTCCCTTAAAACAAATTACGAGACATGATTCTAAATTTGTAGTAGATAGGAAGCTAATTACTGATTTAAGCTCTTTGGACCCTGAAAACTTGTAATGCCTCATATTATAAGTGCCCGTGCTTGATAGCACTCCAAGCATGAGCAGCACTGTTCAATTAGGTTACAATTAAAGGTTTCTAAAGTTGATTGTTTGGTTACCTCAAAATTCTATAAATTTGTCTTGAATATCTTTTTTTGGCCCAGTTGGATTCTTAACTAGTATTTTCACTGTTATGGGATAACCAGGAGCCTGTCAAGACCAAACATCCTCAACTGCATTATGAGTCAAAAATCTACATGCTTCTCCAAGGAGGAAGTAAGTCTCTATCTCTCTCTGACTAATACTGCGGCGTCCATATGAAAATTACTCATAGATGTTCATGAAAGAGGTGGAAGTTACTTTCTTTTTTTCTTCCTCTGTGTGCGTGCGTGTGTGTGTGGGGGGTTGAAAAGTAGTAATGCGTGGATGACAAATATATGTTTGAAGGGGAGGAAAATTTGGCATTATTCTTTTATGGTCCTTTGCTTACTGCGTTTAGTGATGAAATGGACTGATGTCTGTATGAAATCCATACTCTTTGCTGCTCCGTGTCCTTTAGGAAGATTAAATTTACTAATTTATTCGTATTCTCTTTAATTTGCATTCTTGTGCAGCTGGGGTTCCAAACCTTAAGTGGTTCGGAGTTGAAGGAGAATACAATGTCATGGTTATTGACCTTCTCGGGCCAAGCTTAGAGGACCTCTTCAATTATTGTAACAGAAAGTTTTCCTTGAAAACAGTATTAATGCTTGCAGATCAACTAGTAAGTTCTGTTTACCTCCCACTTCCCTGATGTTTTGTTATATGTGGCTCCTAGTTTAGGCCATAATTGGTTTTTTGCTTATGCAGATTAATAGAGTTGAGTACATGCATTCTAGAGGATTTCTTCACCGTGATATCAAGCCTGACAATTTCTTGATGGGCTTGGGGCGTAAGGCTAACCAGGTATTCTGTCTAATGTTTTCCAGAACTGATGCACTAGTACGAAAGATAATTTCTCCGAAGTCATCAAGTAGTTGTTCTTTGTCTGAGCAAGGCTAGGGTGATTTGCATGAAGTTGTTTTCCTCTTTGCAAACCAAAATAAGATGGTACTTTCTGGGTTTGGTATGCATGTTGTTTTTCATTGTCACCGGGAAATATAATAATAGTACTAGAGATTGGACAAATTCATAGGAGTTCTAGAGATTGGAGCCTTTGATATACCTATTAAATTCACCGGAGTAGCTTCTAAAATGGGCCTTTGTTTTATTATGGGATTTTAGCTTGAAATTTAGCTCTCCATCATTTGATAAGTATACACTCTTTTCAAACTGGTTGTTCGACTGTAAGAGTTTTTTAAGATTCTTTTTCATGTTCCTCTAATAGCTTGGCCTCTATGGAAATGTAAAGAACAACATCTGGTCATAGATCTGCATAATTGATATAATTTTTTGATTCATGGGTAACAGTAACAGATACTGTCACATGACAGGAGGTTTAAATCCAGTTTTGTATTTCTAATTTCAGTTGTCTGACGTAAGAAAATGAACTGTGTCTGTCACGTGATTCTATTTTCTCGGGAAAATTCTTCTGTGGTGCCACTTACATCTGTGTCAGTTGGATTTCATATGCTTTTATTGGGTCCTAAGAGTAAGATATTTGCTGTGGTCCATTGATCGCAGGTTTATATCATCGACTTTGGTCTTGCCAAAAAGTATAGAGATTTGCAGACTCACAAGCACATACCTTACAGGTATAGTTTTTTTTCTTATCAATAATTTCTTTTTGGAATCTGGAACCCGTTCGTGCATTTCTTATATGTAATAAATCAACAATTGCATGATTTTTGTTAGTACTAGGTTGCTGGGCACTGGTCTTTTTTCATATGAATGCTTACTTGGGAGCTTCATGTTTAATTGAATCAGTCAAACCCTTCTGGTGGTGAATTCTTTTATATGAGATGCCAGATGGTCATTCTATACTTGATTGTAGCTTGTAGAACTTGGATCTCTTTACCCTTGCACACTGTTAACCTTTAAATTTCTCCAGTCGTGAAGTATCTATGGTTTCCTCTAGTAGATTAGCTGGGATGGATTGTCTTTCAGATGTTTTGCCTTGTTTTGATAATTTCGTTAACATTCTGATTATTTTTATTGTTATTATAATTATTTGACACCCTTGAAGTGGGATGGAATATCAATTTCTAGAACCTGATTTTGAAGCAAGTGGTATTTGTTTAGTTAACTTGCTGTATGTCTGGAGATTGTGAAATCTTTTTGTTGAGCTGATTCCTATTAACTGTTTTATGTTCGCTATGAGTATTACCTTGGATTTTGTTTGTTTCCAGAGAGAACAAGAACCTCACTGGGACAGCGCGATATGCCAGTGTTAACACGCACTTAGGAGTTGGTGAGTTCTGTATTTCGACATTTTCTTTTCAAAAAAAAAAAAAAAAAACGTTTCCTTTGTTTGGGGTTCCATTTTAATTAACGCATCACTTTTGCTTGTTTTATATAGAACAAAGCAGGAGGGATGATCTGGAATCTCTTGGCTATGTGCTCATGTATTTTCTGAGAGGAAGGTTGGAATTGTAGAAGTTTATACTTTCCTTTTTCTACTTGTTGTTTCTTCTTTCTTACTGTTTTTTTTTTTTGTTTTGTTTTCGTCCTCCTGAGTCAGCCTTCCTTGGCAAGGATTGAAAGCTGGCACCAAGAAGCAAAAGTACGACAAGATTAGCGAAAAGAAGATGTTGACACCAATTGAGGTGCTTCTGCTGAATTACATTACAATATCTTGGGCACTTCGTCATTATTTGTGTTTCCTTGCATATGGTATCCTTATTGTGAAATTTGATCTTAATGCGATTGGTTGATCACCGACTTGACTCGATAGCTAATCTTGTGGTCCCTTTTTTTTGAATTTAAACTTGTAGCCCATGTCTTTAAAGGGATATTATTTCATTTTCCCCGGATCTTGTGAATGTGCGACCAAGTTTTTGCTTTCTTTACCATCCTTATGGTCGCATCATTTTTAACTTCCAACCTTCATTTCCTTCAGAATGATTCCTTACTCCTGTATTTTGTATTCTTTCCATCTGTTAGTTTTACCGTGATCGTCTTGTGTAATAGTGACAACATACCCTGTTAGATCGGTAGTCATTTCTGCTTGCCGTTTTGATAGTTGATAATAATAGGTGAAATTCTACTGTGTCGGTTAAGTGAGTGATCTCTTTTTCCCCCCCTTTTGGTTGTTTTCAATAGGTGCTTTGCAAATCCTACCCATCGGAGTTCATATCATACTTTCATTATTGTCGGTCATTACGTTTTGAAGATAAACCAGATTATTCATATTTGAAGAGGCTGTTCCGGGATTTATTTATTCGTGAAGGTATCTCTCATCCATATCATTCTGTTGCTGTAGGTTAAATTTGAAAGCAACTGTTTGCCTCTTGTTTTGAGATTTTGATTTAAGCAGTAGTGGTATACAGTACTTTTCTGCAATTTTAAGGGGTCAGCATGATTTCTTTATATTGAAACGATTGATGCTACAGGTTACCAATTTGATTATGTTTTTGATTGGACTATACTGAAGTATCCTCAAATCGGTGCGAGCTCTAGGGGACGGGTTAGTTCTCCTGAACTTTTTGTGATTTTTATCTTTTCAGAAAAAGTCTTATCAGTTTTAGCCTAAACACAATTCATGTCTATTTACTCTGGGGTTGCATGTAGAATCCTCCCACTGGAAGCGCTGGAGTAAATGCTGGTCCATCTGCAGAGAGACCAGGAAGGACCTCAGGTAAGTTCTGACGAAATATGGCATGGATCTTGTGCTTTTGTGTTGGATTTGTTCCTTCTGTTACATGATCTTGTGGCAGATTACATTACATCTCGAAGGACCTATATGTATGCTTGGATGGCTTTTCTTTCATCTTACTTTTTACAACTTTCATTTGGTTGTGAATCCAGTTGGGCAAGATATTAGAGATAGATTCTCTGGTGCTGTTGAAGCTTTTTCAAGACGAAATGCTACCAGTTCTGGTCGTCATGGAGAGCACTCAAGGCATCGGACCTCAGAAGATGTACCTTCTTCCAAGGATGTGGTATTTTTCTTTTCCTTTTTCTTCAAGTTTCCTTTGGCTGCATCTCTCTCTCTCTCTCTCTCTCAGTTCTTTTATTGTCTGTAACTACTCCGGGAACAACCCTTTTGTTGATGTTACTGTTTGTTAAATGGCTAGAACTGGTGGTATATGCGCCTGGCAATTTGTCGTATAAATTTTTAGTTAGGCGAACATCATGTCTTATGAGTCTTCATGGTTCTTTCCTTCAGGTTTGGACGTGTAGTTGTTCAATATGACCTGCTTAGCAATATATCTTAGTTTTTCTGCATGTTTTGATTATGAAACTGACGTCCTGTTCTGTGTATACAGCAACCTGACTCTGAAAGAGCCAGGACCTCTCGCAATGGCAGTTCCTCAAAAAGAGCTGCCATCTCAACCAGTAGACCTAGCTCCTCTGGCGAGCCATCTGATGGCCGTTCGAGCAGACTAGTTTCAAGCAGCGGTCGCTTGTCGACCACACAAAGACTTCAGCCTGGGGTTGAATCAAAATCATCATCTTTTTCTCGCACTGCGGCAACTAAGGGCTCTCGAGATGACCCTCTCCGTAGCTTTGAGTTCCTCTCTATCCGGAAGTAATGGATGAGTTTGTAAAAAGGAAAGTTACTTCCTCATTGAATAGAGTGTGCCATTCTACTGGGGGAATATTGAACCATCGTGCTCGGCACTCCTGTAAATGCAAAAGGTGTCTTACAAAGTAACGCTCATCCGACTCCTAATGACACTCCTATCTCGTTTTTTGTTCCGAGTTTGTAGTTGTTGTCATCGCATGTGAGACTCGTCCAAAAGATGAGGAGTCTTTGCAATGCTGGAATTTTCTTATGTATGAGAGGTTCTTTAGCCGAAATAAATATTCTTATGTATGCAATACCTTGTACCCATATCTGAATACCTCTGCATATGTATTTACTGTGTAAAATGATAATTGGATTCACGAATTCAAAATCATCTTAACTATGAAAGTTTCAGAGGTCTCGTCCTATGTGAATATAGTCTGGCTATCAGAGAAACTACAAAAGTTTCAAAGGTTAGAATTTGTGTTATTTAGCCTCTCCCTATGTGAACATTAATTAGCTTGGTTATGGGTGAACACTTCAATTACGTCAGCTTTGCGTAAGTCTTTTATTGCAATTTGAGATGCATAGACACGCAGCTTGTTTGAACTATATGAAAGGAACCTACTCTGCAATCTTCACCATCATTTCCAACCAAAAATTTATCATACAATTATAACATTTATAGGGTGTAAACTGGAATGCCCTGACAAAAGGGAAGAACAACTGTTGCGGTTAGAAAATGGGATCAACTAATTACAAAGAACCACATGTGGGTTTGTGTACAGAACATCAGTAAGCCCAGCAGACTGAACTTAAGGGTTTCTGAGAGCCGCCAGCCTTTTCTCTAGATCATCAATCCCAGAGCTGCAAGTCCAAGAAAGAAGATAAATTGATTGGTAAAACTGAAAGAAATGAGTGGAGCAAGCATTCGTGCACTAATGATACGTTCTTTTACAACAAAAGTATGGAATATACATAAATGCAACGAACCATAACACACCAGTTCAATAGTGCAGTTCGACCTTAGTAATACAAGTGCATCAGCACCTTTCCCTAAAGGCACATGTAGAGGACACAACCTTAGCAGTAGAGCTTATATATAGATGGTCTCTCTGTCATAAAGACCATCTATGTGAATTCTCGTATATCTAGAATAGCTAGAGGGATGTTCAGACTACTACCTCAGATCACCAAAAGGAGAGCTACCACAAAGAAAAGTTAACTTATCCTCAAAAGGCATTAAAATCTAGAAATTTTTCAAATTAAGGTTAGGCAGACTTCTTAAATTATGCGATATCAGATCCAGATTTTCTAATCTGAAGGTGAAGCTCCGGGCAAGAAGATACCTCAGTATAATTTACTTTATCCCATAAAATACATTGACAACAATCTTTCTACCACTTGAAGCGATGTAGTAACATAATGCGGTAGAAAAAACAAAATGCTGTTTTTCATGTGATCTAACCTCCACTAGCACAAATGATACATTTATGTTTATTACTTCTGAAAAAAATAGGAGACTGTAAGAGTGACTAGCTAAGGAAGTGAACCTGCTGACATCCTCAGTGTTCTTCCCAGCAATTTTTCCCTTTGGAGCCGTTGACAACTGAAAAACAATACGACATCCAGAATCAAATAAGGAACTGACGGGGGCTCTGGTTCCTGGATGGCTGGAGACAGGATGTACTAAAAGCAAATTCAATTCTTATATATAACTAGAAGAGCTTGAAGAACAAACCTGTGAGGCAACGTCAACACCGATTTCATCTAGCACCTGGGGGAGTAAGATCAATAATACATCAGCAAAACTCGTACCAGATAGATGAAATTGGCAACTGGACACTTATTAATTCAACTCTAGCTCAGACAAAACTACATTTTGGCTAACTATCTATTACTGGGAAACTTAATTTTTTTCACGCCATCGATATTCTTGATATTTATATTCGAGATTCTATTGATTTGTAAAACGCGAGATTGCAATGAATAACAATCAGTAAATGCATTGCCACACCAAAAATCAAAAGCTATGCTACAGTACAATTATTCACTAGCTCCACCTTGAATAGCAGCTTTACTCACTTGAACATCAACAAAAAAGACACGTACTTTGACTTATTAGTCCACCAATCTCAGATCATTTGGGTACCAGAATAGGTTGTTAAAGTTAGTTGAATCTCCACCATAAGATGGAAATATTATCAGTTAAAATGATCAGGAATGCCCCACGCCGGCAACATTGAGAACACAGAACAATTAAAATGACAGCCATACAGCTGATAAGCTGTAAAAAGCTTTCTTCTTTTACAGCAACAAAAATACAGGATAAATCTAACCTGATTTGTCAACTCTTCGGTTTCATCTTCAGCTTCATCATCATCCAGAACATCATCTATGGTATCTGACATCATCTCAGTCTAGAAGAACCAAAAGTGAAAAATAAGTTCCTCGGTTATGCAAGCAATGGCTACGAATTATGAGCAATATGATCTGAATTCTGAATGCAAATTTACAATCTTACAGTCATATCCATCTGTGCAGATTGCTTCTGGAAATCGCGCATCACCTTCATCTGCTTTGCTGGGTCCATTTGCTACAATGATTTCAAATTTATAATCATGTTACAAGTCTCTTAGTATCCCATAAACATATATGGAAAGTGCATCTGTCTCACCTTATTCATTGATGACATAGCTTTTGTAGCACCTTTGATTCCAACAGCAACTGAAGATTGGGCTGAAACTGCCTGAAAACATTATACATCCAGCTGAGGAGCAAACTCCATATGACTACAGACCATACAAAATTGTCATAATGTCATCTAGGGACGAAAGGCCATCATATGGTATAGCCTACCTGAGTGTGTGTAGCAATGCCTCTCATTTGAGCTCGACTACCTTGCAAATTGGCTATTTGCTGTCTGAGCCTAATCAATTGACGGGCTAGAATTTTAGTTGCAGCCTGTAAATATAATGACATCAAAATAAGAAAAAAAAAGCTCCCCCCAGTCATTTTAGGCATACTATTTGAGCACGATCACAAGAATTGTTCTAGCAATCAATTAGTCAAATCAAGAAACAGATAATGATGAAGTACTAATTACTTAATTGGCCGTTTCAAAAAAATAAAAAATAAAAATTACTTCATTGGTACTGGTCAAGTTTACAAACCTCATTGCCAGTTTTAGCACTTTTCTTTATCTCCGCAACAAGCTTTTTTTCCTGATTCATTCACAATTTCACACGCAAACTTCATATGACTTACTTACAAATAGATGCAGACAGAAAATCAACAGGAAAATAACGGAATTCGAGGCTTACTTCTAATTGCAAAGTATTGATTTCTCTTTCTATACCTGAATAAACAATTCCAGAGCATTGCAATCATTAATTTACTACAAATTCAATCAACATTTAAAAACAGCAAGAAAAAAAAAACCCTTAAAAAACGAAATCTGATCAGAGGAATACTGTAAAGAGGATGCTAACCTCTGGTAGCATTGGACATTTCTCGTTTACTCTGACGCAAAGCCTCTGCCAAATTTAAAAAAAAAAAAAACGAAGTGATCAAACAAAAGAATTCAATAAGCAAGGACTAACTGACACAGGTCAAAGGATTGATGAATAAAAAAAAAAATTAGACACAGAAATCGGAAGTGATTGAATTGGTAAAGAATGATCAGATTCTGAAGAAAACCTTTGGCAGTAGGCTTCTTTGAGAAGATGTTCATGATTTCGGTTTGCAAAGAATATTGTTTTCCGGTTGTGGAAACGCAATTCGGAATTCAACTCCCACGGGGTACCGAGATCGGAAAAGGAGAAGTCTACGGCGGTGGGAGGGCGACGGTGAGTTTAGATAAGGGCGGTGCTCCGGACAAACGCGGGCGTTTTTTGAGTTGCAACTTCTCACTATTTTACGCCAACGTACGTCGGAGGAAGCTCCTACCTCTCTTTAACTCTTTGAGAGTTTTTGCAATGAGATTACTTAATTAACCTTTTGACTCAATGTTTCTTCTTCTTCTTCTTCTTTACTTGTTTATTTATTTATTTTCTTTTTCTTTTTCATTTTTCCTGTTATTAAGAAAAATACATCTCCCAAAACATAAGTACTCCCTTCGTCCCATAATTATTGTCCAATTTTACTAAAATGAAAGATTTTATTTTTAGTCAAACTTAACTATATTTTCTCTTGAATAACCGGATATACCCCTACATAAGTAATTGTTTAATCACAAAGATTTTATGGATAATGTTTTTTTACTAAGGACAAAGTGTAATTTGATCCATAAAAAGTCAAATTGGACAATAATTTTGGGACAAAATTTTTTGTGCAAAGTGGACAATAATTATGGGACGGAGGGAATATATGATATTCTTATGCATCTGCATCCATCTAGGGGGAAAAATTTAAAAAAAAAAAGAAAAAGAAAAAGAAAAGAGTCATGTCTCCCGAATTATAACATCGAAATAATTTTCATTTTTATTGCATGATTTTACGATACATTAATTTGGTTTTACAGATTCGATCTTCGTTACCTTTTTTTTTTTTTCTTTTTCTTTTTGTATTAGAGGCAAAAGCAAGTCTATATGTTGTTGGATAGGTTGACTTTTGGCCAAATTGAAGTAATTTGTGTCTTAGGGATGGGAATGTGGTGGCGTCCAATAAGCAAATATATAGGTTTGTCTATGAGTTATATGAATTATGTAATTTTGATTCTGTTTTAAAAATATGTATAAACCTTGACTTGGAAAAATAAATACTCCAATGATGTAAAACACAATCTCAAAATCACTTGAAATGTTAAAAAATCTATATAGCTATACCACATGCACTTTACTGATGAACGAGTTATTTATTCATTGATGATGATGGATTTTTTGTTTATAAAAAAACGACACACCAAATTCCAGAAAATCATGTTTAACAATATTTTATTTCCAAACTGAACCTAATACTCCATAAACAATCAGATCAAGCAACTGATGCAATATCAATATTCCAGATTGCCAATATGGACAAAAAAAAGGGAGAAAGTACTTGATTTAATATTTAAAGACAGCCTAGCCCGTAAGAAATTGTACAAAATGGGCTAAAGCCCAATAATGGGAAAATCCTAGCCCCCGAGCTTAATTCTAAATTCTGATTAAAACCCTACTACGCGGCAGGAGTCAGCAGAAGCCAAACCCCGGCGCTCTCTTCCGGTCATCCCCACATTTCAACACCTTAATCAGGTCGAAAAAATGGTGAGTCCCCTTTGAAATTTCTCGCTAATGAGCTTTTATTATAATCATTTTCTGTCTAATTCTATGGTTTTTGTCGAATAATTTGCTGGTTGATTTTTGTGTTGCAATTCCTCGGTGTTAAGCTCAGATTATTATATTGTGAACAAAATGACTTCAGAATTCGTGGCGGAGGAAAGGAGTTAGTTTATTAATGATGTCGATTCATGGAATGGTCTCGTTAGCATTGAATTTACTGTGTTCTTTACGTGCTTTTACAAATTGATTCCCCGTTACAATAGCTCTAACTGGGCTGGAAATGGGCTTTTAGTTTTTGTATGTGCTAATAGGAGATACAAGACTTGAAATTCTGATATTATAACTTTCTTTCGCATATAAGAAAACCATAACATGTTGGATGTAAGCTAGTAAAAAAATTTGGGTGCCAGGCCAGTTCTGAAGAGACCTCGAGTCTTTAGGTTTTTATCTGGAGTTGTTATGCTAAATTTTCTGGCAAGGTAGCTTGATGTGTTGTACTCCCGGGATGGAATAAGGTCCTTTTGTGAACCTCATTACCATCCATCCAAATGTTCTGCTATCACTTTTAAACTAGTCGGTTAGTATCAACTGCAGGCAAAAGCCTAAAATTTCAATGGGTGCAACTATTCTAGCTAGGCTTCCCAGGAAAATCAAACTTTTATTTGAGCTATGTATGTGACATTCACACTAGGCTTTTGTTGCTATGGAGTTGTTAACGGCGCATATAGAAATGCTCTCCAAATTCTTCACTGGTATGAATAATATAATGCGTGTCTTACTTCTCAATCTTTTTTTTTTGGTGGGGGGGGGGTGAGTATATTATAGAGTAAACTGTTGCTTTTCATTTCCTTGGTTATGCTTTGATGCAATGTATCACTGGTGTTGCTAAGTCATAGTTACATACAGTTCTACCAGGTTGTTGTTAGTCTTGTCTCTATGGTATTTGTGAAGTATTTGTCAGAGTTTCTCTTTATCTGTCTCTTTAAAATAGTGATGAATCTTAATGTAGAATGGGGTCTGATTGGCCTTTTTGCTTCTAATTAAATCAATTATCTTTGGCTTTGTGTTCAATTGAGTTTCTAACTTGACCTTATTAGGCTCAAGCTATTTGAGCATCTTTCTTTTGCCTCGTACTGCTTCATGTTTGTTAAACAAAACTTTTATTGGTATAAGCTTAATCGTGGTTTTCCGTTGTTGTCTTTAGGTGTTCAAACGTTATGTGGAAATAGGAAGGGTTGCCCTTGTCAACTATGGTGAGGATTATGGAAAACTGGTGGTTATTGTGGACGTCGTTGACCAGAACAGAGTAAGTAGTTGAGTATTATCTGACTGATCCTTGATTTGATGGGTAATTGCATCTTAATTGAAGATTCGTGAGGGCTGGTCTATTGAATGATTTCTTTTATTCTTCTTTTGATGACTGTTAAGTTCTATTTTGTGTTAACATTGCGATTTAGAATATCTTTACTTTTTAAGAAAATGTATTTGTGAACATCTAGATACAGGTATATGGGTCCAGAAGGTTCATGTAATGCTTTTCTTTATTGTTTAGGTAGAGCAGGTTTCTTGTGTTTTCTTACTAATGGAATTGTATAGCCCTTTTAGATTCTACGGTTTTGGGGGACTTGTGATGGTATTTTTCATTTATGAAGTTTGTAATTGTTAATGTAGATGCTTCTGTTTCTTCATCTGTGACTATTACACTGTCCTTTTGATGCTCGACAAGTACTGGAAATGTGTTTGAATGTCTTACATCTGTTGTAGGCTCTGGTTGATTCCCCCGATATGGTTAGGGGGCAAATTAATTTTAAGAGGCTGACCTTGACGGACTTCAAGCTTGACATCAAGAGGTGTCCTAGCAAGAAAGATTTGCTTTCTGCTATGGATGCAGCTGGTATGTGTACTCTTGTTCCATATGGGAGGCATGTGTTGTAGTATGTTCTGTTTAGATTATACAGAAGTCTAATAGGCTGTGTTACCAGATGTGATAAACAAGTTTAACAACAGCTCGTGGGGGCGCAAGCTTCTTGTCCAAAAGAAGAGGGCAGGTCTGAATGATTTTGATCGGTTTAGAATCATGCTGGCAAAGATCAAGGTTTGTGTTCTTCTAGATGTTGAATCCCCTTCGACATGAACTGGCAATTAAATTAGTAGATAAGTATGAAATTATTGAGGAACTTTCTAGTTTATTGTATTTGTCTTTCTTTTATTTCAAATGTTCAAACTCACTGTCTTGGGAAACTTGTTAGATATTGTGTTTTGGCTTTTGTGCTAAAGAAGTTTTATGATTTTGCAGAAAGCTGGGGTTGTTAGGCAGGAGCTTGCTAAGTTGAAGAAGCTGAGTTCCTAGAGAGTTGGAAAATTGTTCTTGTTCTTTCGTTAGCTTCTGAAACTTAAAGACCTTTAATCATGTGTAGCTTATGTGAAGAGAAAGTACAACGTTTGGATCCTATAATACGACTATGCATGTGTTGTTGTCATTTATCATCGTATGGCTTTTTCTGAATCACGGAAGTAATTTGCTTTATACTTTTAATATTCAAATGGATTTATCAGGATTTATTTGTGGGTTTTCCTTGTTATATTGGTTCCTTTTCATTTAACATTGCCATCGAGACTAGGAAATTTGAATGAATGGCATAAGTGGCGTTTAGATTGTAAAGCAGTAGAGCACTTGGAAGAGAAACTAATTATTGTAATGCAGTATTTGAATGTCTTTCATCATTTTGATGCTCTGAACTTATAGATCATGGTTATGTTATATAGCTTGCATTAGATTGACTAGTGCTCTGCAAATTGAAGAGATCTTAGAACCCCATTTGTTAGTATTGTTCTACGCTGCTCTAATTAGCTCTCCATGATGTCTTGAGGCCTCATTATGTATCTAACAGGGGGTGTGTGATTGTTAATCGTACATTTTGACGGTAGTGATTATTCAGATTCAATTGTAATGTGCTCTAATTGGCGGTATACTAGTAAAAGAGATATTTTCTCCATTCCTTATTATAAGACATTTTGATTTGTCATAAACTCATAGGTTTCATCTAATATACTTTTTTAATTAAAAATAATCTTAAAAATACTTTTTAATAATTAAGAGAACATAGTGAACGTGAAACATGTAATTTTAAGAGTTTTTTTTTTTTTATCGAAAAAACATATTAGGTAAAACGAAAAACGCTTTATTATAAAGACCGGAGGAGTATACCACTAACATCAATTTAGAATAATCTAGTAGAAAATAGAAATGGACTTGTTTGCATGCAAACAAATCACTTGTATAGTTCCGAGAATGTTCAGTACTATTTGCCTCGTCTTGGGTGGTAATAGTATGGCAGTAAATTCTATATTTCTTTACTATTATTATTTAATTTTATTTCAGCAATTAGAGAAGCTAGCTGATGGCAGCAAGTCAAATAATATTATCCTGCCAAATGGCTTTAGGTACATATAGAAACTCTCTGGCCAAATTTGGATGTTCATTTTTAATAACAGAAGGGAGTAGGTTTTTCCGAGACAACAATTGTATCTTGTAGTGTTCAGAAACCGGAAAAAAAGAAGAGAGAGGGAGAAGAAAAAGGAAAATGGTTCAAATTAATTTCTTGTTAAGGAGAGATCACGTAGAAAAAAAATAAAACTAAAATAGCAAAAAGGTGTTGGTCCGATTGAGTAAGGCCCATCTAGCATGTGTGGCTAGAGAATGCACCAGCCCGTAATCCTTCCACTGCAGAGAGCGGGAAGTTTTCACTGCTCTGTGAAACCAGCCTTGTGCGATTCCCTCCTCTTTAGGAGCCCAGTGATCCAGGCCTTCGCCCAAACCACAGAGCCCAACTCTCCGCTTGGAACGGGCGGGCCAAGTAACAGCACCCTCAAGCCTACCATCTGGGCCAAACCAATGTTCCATCACCTCAAAGCCCCCACTTGGGTTACAAGCTTGCGCTACTAAGCTCGGCGACTGCAGATGCAAAATCGGAGTATTATATACTGATTACTATTGGCTTCATTTGTCGATGTGGGATTAAGATTAACCCCCCACTGGCTTCATTTGGCAAAGAGGTGAGAACGGAGGATTTGGTCTCTGGTGGACCTGAACCCTCATCTAAAGCTTGCAGAAAGGTTTCAAAGGCCAGAGTGATTAATCTTTTCACCCCTGAATTCCTCAAAGAGGGTGAACTCGAAAGTATGCTCTCGCGTGAACCCAAATCATCCTCTGAGTACTTTGAAAAGGATTTGAAGGACAGGAAGGTTGGATATTTCCCCTGAACTCTCCGTGAAGGGGTCCAGTGAAACCGGATCACTCTCTGAATACTTTAAGAAGGTGGAACCATTGCATATCAGTGAAGAGGCGCCGATGATGGATATATAGCATCTATGACCGATTGAAGCGCGCGAATCCATTTTACTCCTCGGAGAGTCAGTCTTGTGGACGATAAACATCAGTTTTTAGCTTTATTTTGGAAGGGGGGGGGGGTGATGATAGCTGCTGATCATTCATCGGAGTCGTCTGTCCCAAATGTTGTTCGGGTTAATTCGCGGATCATTGCCACTGTTTCTAATGGGAGTGAAGATTTGCTTGAGCATTTGCGGAGAAAGTGCTGAACATATGAAGATATGACGGGGAAAAAAGTTTGTGTTGCAGGAGCGGCAAAGTGTCTAGCTGGCATAAAATTGTATCTCCAGTTACTGGAGGTCTATTGATTGGAGGGTTGGATGAAAAGGGTAGTTTTGATTTGTATTACATTGACCGTGGCGGGAAACTGATGGACGTTAAAGAGAAAAAGAACCCTCGGGGAATAGCAATGGAATGGATGGGTTATGCCACTGGATGCTATTAGTATTAGGTTACCTGGACGCCAGGATGAGGCACGTATCGTCTGTGACTGAAGCGAAAGAGGTTGCAAAAGGAGCTACCTGCTTTGCTGCATTTTCCGCGACTGAGATTGGTGATTTTGTCAGTGTTTACCACATAGTAATTAATGATCAGAGGGGTGATTTTGTCATTGTCCCGATTCATCATCTGTGAAACCATCCATTTAGAGGGGTGATTGCAAGAGTTCAGAACTGTTCAGGAGTAATGATCTCGGAGGAGCGGTGAGTGTCTGCTTACAGGCATAATGGAACAATATTCTTTGGTTCAATACAACCATCTCATGACCATCTTAATCTCGTATTACAGATTAGACTTATCAAACTGTGATAAACCAAAATTCATCTTCACCCTTTTGAGCCTTTTTTAAATTGGCTTGGTGTAAAGAAAACCTGGGATACAACGAAAGGTACAAAACAATTTCTAGGAGGAGCAAAATTGGTTCTCATTGTATCAAGAAAAGAAGTACATACAACATCATTCGTGATCTCCAAGTGTATACATTTCCACTATATCTATTTACAATTCATTTGAAAAGGAATGAGTTACATACAAACAAATTTGTCCAGACATTAGACCCCCAAATTAGAAGGGGGAAATGGTTAACTCTAAGGAAACTGAGATGCCTAAAATAAGCAGATTTGAAGGGGTTTATAGCTATTTCAATATCAAAACTTCTCAAGCATATTTCACGTTCAACTATGTATCTTCAAGTTCCTAAATTGCAGCAGCAGCTTCAAGACAAGTTGAACATCCACCGAATGAGGGTGATACAGGCACAATCAGCAATAGCGGACGATGCAAAAGAAATAGAAATATGAACTACAAGGATTTGTTATTTTGCTTATCAGAAACTTCTAGCGGTGAAGGCAACAGATTCAAGAAGCTGCCTTGTGATGATCCATTGCTAGTGGTTTCTGATGATTCTGATTCATCCTCTGTTGAAGCATGCAACAAAGAGTGAGTAAAATGTGGAAAATCCTTAGAAGCTTACTATCTCCACTGTAAGCTCAGCATCGTTAATAAATGGTTTGAGAATTTTGAAGAAATTGCAACACTTTTTGCACTTAAAAAACTAAATACTCTAAGCCATTTGACCTGCTATGCTTATACTGTTATGCCACCCATTTATGCAAAATATTTACCGGCCAAAGAATTCAAGTTGAAAGGATAGGATAAAGCATACCAAAGAGTGACTTTATGGTTGGCCTCTTTGGCTTGGTGTTCTTCTTCTTGAGTTCAGCTGTCAAAAAAGCACATGACGACTCAAGTTGAATGCAATACATCAAGCACACAGACAGAGCAAGAGAAAGATTTTTATATACCCATTCCAGGAACTTGATAGTCGTTCACAATTTCAAAGTTCTTGTACGTGTATCCCACAAAGTTGATGTCTTTCGATGAAAGCATCTGTACAATAGATCGAGAAAAACCGGAATCAAAAAGATATGAGAAATTATCCCATACTGGTGCTCCTTCTAGAAGATCCAGCCAAAACTGTTAACTGTACCTTTCTCCATGGTCCTGATTTTGATGGATTCTCGGGTTGTTTGTCAGACTGCTCCCATCCCCCCCACAAAGAAGAAAAGGAAAAACCATAAAGAGAATAACTGTTAGTGAATACCAGTAATACTTGAAAAAGAAACTAAAGCAAACAAAAATATCAGCCAAACTTGCTCAAAATAAATAATACCTCATCAAACTTTTCAAAGTTTTGTGTATCAAGCTCATCATTGACCTCGGGAATGAATGCAGCTTCCATGTGGTATATCCTATCCCAATCGACTCCTTCAAACCAAGGATGTGCCTGGAACATTTTAGAGAAACAACTTAATCTACATATGTTCACACAAACATCTGGGAATTCCAATACAAAAGCATAGCACACACCATACAACACCTTTATTTCATCTGCGCCATTCGACCCAAGTCTCTGATTCACATTGCAAAGAAGTTTGCTGATGAGATCTTTAGCTTCCGCTGATAACTTTGCTTCTTCAGGAAACTTTAGATGTGATCTCCAGTTTACAATCTGCAGTCAGGAGAACAGCAAACTTTCATGGTATGAAAGTTGAAATGATAAGTGAAGATGTTCCGTGATCATATTGCATGAGGAACTCTATGTACAAAGTTATTTACAGTATTCAAATCCGATAACCATTGGCTTGTACTGCCAATTTTCTGATCAACCAACATTAACAACAAAACCTTTATCTTATGTGGGGATGGATCAAATTTCATCATCCAGTTCTATTACACCATTTCAGTCATGATCCATATAATAAGTGCAAGAAAGTTTACACTGGTAGTCAACCTAAAAAAAATCTCCTCCTCTATCCCTTACACGTCATAAATCAAATTGATTTTTAACACAAAATTAACTAACACTGAGATAAAACTTTTTTTTTTAATCAAACTAGTGTAAATAGATGACAAAGTTCCCAACAACATGGCAAGATGCAGTCTCCTGATGTAGAAAGAAAACTCGAGTCCAAGTAATATTTGAAACAGCTATATTTGGTCAATCAAGTAAGTAAATAAGTTGTCTCAAGAAATAGAAAAAGAATGAATAAGCTAGAGTTAGTAGACTGTCAAATAGCACAAGAGAAAAGAATATGTCATAAGTACCTTCCTACATGTTGACATAGGCTCATCAGAATAAAAAGGCGGGTAGCCGACAAGCATTTCAAACATAATAGCACCGAGAGACCACCTGAAGAGCAATAGCACATGTTATAAAAGTGTGGTGTCAACAGCTCAAGAAGTCACGGGCACCCATAAAAGCAGCCGGAAAAAGTAACTTTATTTCCTACTTTAGAAGATTTCTACAGACAGTTCAGCCCACACAAAAAAAAATTGAAACATAATAAATTTATTGTAGGCATGCAACTCAGGGTATAATGGCAAATCAAGCTAACAAATGAAGAAAAACTAACCAATCACATTCCATTCCATAACCTTTCTTCAGCAGAACTTCCGGAGCAATGTAGTCAGGTGTGCCTACAGTGGAATATGCCTGCAATAGTCCAATGTCAACCATACTGAATACCAAACAGATAAATAGGAATAAAGAGAACCAATGAAATAAAAAACGCAAAGCCCCTTCCATTATTCTTGAGGATAAACCCATGAGGTTCCAAAACTGGCCCAGAAGGAGTTCTTATGAAAGTAGCTAAGTACTTCAAAACATTTCAGGAAACTTTCATGTAAGCGGAATAAAAACATTGGACCCATAAGATCTAAGCAAACCAGGTGAACATAAATTTTAAAGTCTTATCTCCCATTAGAAATCAGAACTTTTCCAGGCACATTGAAAGCAAATGAAGAAAAGGGAAAATAATCATTCAAAAAATGGTAATTGTAACGAATCAGTAACAGTATAAACTTATACTGAATAGGGATCCCCAAAAGACTATTAATACAGAGAAAAACTTACAAGCATCCTTACAAAAAAAGAAAAAAAATACTTACAAGCATCCTTCTATTTTTCTGCCAATGCTGGAGTTGTTCTTGCTGTGTGCGTTTTGGAGCTCCAGGACGTTCATCAGCTCGTGATGCTCCATTCAAGCTTTCGACTCCGTTAAAATCCTTCTCTTGTAATGTACTGCAGTCTAATGGTTTACACAATCCAAAATCAGATAGTCTTAAGTGACCATATCTATCAAGCAGCAAGTTGTCAGGTTTAATGTCTCTGTAGTCAAAATCATGGAGAATGAGTCAGATATGTAAATTATTTAAAAGATACAAAAGAAGCATGACACCAGAATGTGCATTGAAATTCTGATACAAACCTGTGAATATAGTTATGTACATGAATAGATTCAATAGCCAAAACTGTCTCGGCGACATAGAACCTTGCCTCATCCTCAGTTAAGGTGTCCTTTCTCATTAATAATGTCATCATATCCCCCCCAGGAAGATATTCCATGATAAGATAGAGAAACTCTTCATCTTGGAAGGAACAATAAAGTTTGACAATGCAACTGCTGTCCACCTCTGCGAGCAGATTCCTTTCTGCTTTCACGTGCTCAACCTATAATCATCAACAAGCTAAGCATACATCGCAAAGAGAAACAGGGTGGTGTAATGAAGCGCAACTGATTAGTCAGTCACCTGGCCTCTACGAAGCATTTCCGATTTCTTAAGCTTTTTCATTGCATACACATGACCTGTTGTCTTTTCTCTACAAACTCTAACCTGCAAATAGAATGAATCAACACTAAGTATATTTTCCAGGTCATTTGAAAAATCTTCCAAAATATACACAAGAAGACCACATATCCTGATTCTTCGCACAACCAAAATGACAGGACCAAAGAGCGAGAATGGAAAAGCATTACACAAATGAAATTTACCATTAAAGTTTCAATTTTCTAATGCCATAACAAAGACCCAGCATTCACTTAAGCATTAAAAGTATCTATGTACATAGCATCTAATATGTGCAGATCTAATTGCACAAATCAGAAACAAGGTAATTAAGAGCTTGCACGTAAGACAATAATGCAACTGCATAGATAACTTGATTTATAAGAGAATCACTAAGGTAAAATTTTTCTCGGTAAGCATCCATACCTCCCCAAATGCACCCTTCCCAATCATTGTCAGTAATTCAAAGTCATCAGCACCCATTTTGTGCCTTTGAAGACGCATATACTCAGTTTCCTTCTTCTCCAGAAATTTTAGTAAATTATTTTGATCTTCCTCTGAAACATCAGCATCAGCCAACTTCTTTTCCAGCAATATTCGTCTGCATGAAGGATAAAAGGATTTCTATAGTAAATAACTTCACAGCAATGAATTCAAAAAAACAAAACAATAATGAAGTGAACTGGCAGCAGCAGCAGAAGAAGAATCACATGATACAATGTCAATCATCCTATTAGGATAACTCACAGAAACAGGAATTCCAAGTTGCAAGTTCTAAAGTCTACATTATACATGTTTTAATTTGTTTGTGTCTTTTGGATATGAGGCTTCATGAAACTAACTGGCAAATACATCCTGGCAATCAGTCAGTCAAGGACAATCAGATACTTAAAAAGTAAACCTGAATATTGAGCACATAAAGCCCCAAAAAAGGAAACACGGACCAAACATACTGGATAAAGAATAATGACAACTGACAAGAATGAACTTCATAATTCATCACTCGAAAACCTCAAAATACATGTAAACAAAAACTACTAAAGGAGTGGCTATCAGAAACTTCAAAGGAAAAAAGCATACCGCTCTCTTCTCTCCTGTAAATTTTTCTTCTGTGCCTTATAATGGTTCTCGATGTACTGCTTTGCAGCAGCGACTTTTTGCTTTGTTATATTTGAGGCTTCGTCAGCCGATAAGGATTTTGGATCTTCACTGTTGGCCATTGAATCTTTCTTCCTCTGTGATGACTTCAAACGACTGTGGAACCAACTTCTGGCTGAGTCCATGTACTTCTAATTTCAGCTCAAGCGGAAACCAAATTGACAGGCCCACATCATCTTAATTATCCAAACAATTGAAGGTTCAAGGATGGCAAACCTAAAAATGCCAAAACAGCAACATTAGATATAATCATTCTCCAAGGAAATTAGGAATAAAATGATGAAAATTTCCTAAACGAATCGAAAAAGAAACATTCAAAATTCCTCTATTAGTTTCTCTTTTGAGCTGCGCTGGAGATGAATTTGGTTCAAGAAAACTAGCTTTTACATCACCCCATTTATCCAGATTTCAAAATGACAAGCAGGGGAAGAAAAAACCAAGAGCACAACATTCTTATTTTCCCCATCCCACATTTCCGTGGCAAGCAAAATATACCTTAACCCAATGAAGAATCAAAACGTAACATATTTGGATACCCCTTTCCAAAGAAGGCAAAAAGAAACAGAAATCAAGATTGATCTAAACACTTCTCACCCATCCCATAAATTTGCAATAATGCTAGCGCAGAGCAATGAAATAGTGCTTAACAAAAAAAAAATCCCAGAATGCCAGAACAACATTAGGCTTCGGGGATGAGAAAACAAAATGAAACAATGCACTTACCACACAATACGATAAACAACAAAAGAAAGATAACCGTGATCCGCCAAAACGCAAGACCCCAAGATATATACGTGGTGGGGAAAAAAATGCAGGTAATGGGCAATAATAAATTTAATGTTGCAGTAGTGTAAGTATTATTAATGGAATAAAGAACGAATTTTTGGAATGATGGTAAGGCAATAACAACGTGGATGCGTGTAACTAGTGAAGACGGGGAAAAATGGGATTGAATCAATGTGGCTTTGGCGATTAAAAAATTCGGTGACGCATTTGGGAGACAAGGAAACAATGGGTTGATGATGATGATGGTAAGGATGAAGAGAAGAAGAAGAAGAAGGATGGATGATGGATGATGAGAGACAAAGGGGAAATTGAGAGGAAAGTACAGTTAATCCGGCATTCTCGCAGGTTGGCAGTATTTTGTTGTTTGTTCTTGTTTTCGGTTTGTGGGAGGATTCCAGGATCCGCAACTCTGCCCCCACTTCCCGACCTTTTTTATATATACCTTTCTTTTTTCCATTTTCAGCCATTTATTTTCCAAAAATTAATATGGGACTCACTGAAATAGTTACAGATTCGATAATAGTGGACTATATTAGCTTAAAAATACAATCCTCTAATCTTTATTATAACACATTTTAATTTGTTTTAAAATTTATTTAATATATTCTTCCAATTAAAAATAAAATGTTAAAGATATTTTATGATAATTCCATTGGCAGAGCCAAGAATCAACAAGAGTATGGGCGAAAAATTTCAATAAATTTTCAAAAAGAGAAAAAATGTGTATATGTACATATATATTTTTGCAGGGGCAAAAATAAAATTTTTCATAATCTTATACTAAAAAATTTAATAGCCCTTTAATTAAAAAAAAATTAAGGGAGGGGGGCGACCGCCCTTACTGATCTCCTCCCTCTGCCACTGGATAATCGGGAGAAAATAATTAATGTGAAAATATATTTTTATTCTCATAATCTGAAATGCCATTTATTAATTTTATTCTTACCAAGTCACTGCTGGTAAAGGTAAAAGACGGGTGAAGGTAAGTTTACTTTTTAATTTTGATTTTTTTCTACTGTAACAAAAAACAGGAGAAATTGACTGGCATGTAGGACCCACAAAGGTGGGAAGTGAAAAAAAAATTTGAAAATTTAAAATTTAAAATCATTTTAATTTTTTATTTTTATTTTTAAATTATTTAATTTTTTATTATAAAATAATAATTTTTAATATTTTATTCTATTTTATTATAAAAACATTTGTTATTTTGATCTTATACGTGTCATCCTGAAAATATCCCTGACTTGGTAGGGTCAACGGCCATCAAGACGGAAATAGTGATGGAACAGTAAAAAGAGACCAAAAAAGTTTCAAAATGAAATGTAAAGGCTCAATCCATATACATGTTGATGTAGGGGACCAAAATTTAAATTCGGACAAATGTAGAGGACCATTTATACAGTTTAGTCTTATTTACTACTACCAACGTCCCAAAAAAAAAAATCCACATCGAGTTTTCAAATTTGTACTAAAAACAGTACAAAACTCAAAACTTAATGTGGACTATTTTTTTGGGGATGAGATAGATAATGTCAACAAGCATATGGATTGTGGCAAAACTTTATCCCAGTGTTTGATTTTTTTTTATCCATATTGAACCTGTTTTGTTTGGTGTTCATGTTGCAAATCATTAACCTTTATTGAAGAAATAGGGCATACACCAATGCAATGATACCTCAATCAAACTAGTAAAAAGGTGTTGAATGATACACTCATTAAATTGAACTGCAAATATCGTTGCTTTAACAATCTAACAAAATCATTTTGTATTCTAAATGATTGCCTGCATTATAAAAAAAAAAAATGGGAATCTATCAAATTTAGTACCCCGAACCTTTTTTAACTAATGATGATTACGAAGAAGCTGCCCCTTGTTTTTGGAAAAAAGAATTGATCAACCCATTTCAAGTTTTGACTAATTAAGCAGACATCCCCACATGGACGTGCATGCATTTGTTATTAGTGTTTAAGATCACCGTTTATAATGATTGCACATTTGCTTTGTCTACTCTGATTAGCTACACAAGATTAGCAACTCTGACTTAATCATAATTATTCACTTATTTAAATCCCGTTTTAAAATGATTGTCGTCTTTGCTATCCTACTATTTTAGTAAAAGAGAGCATCAGTTCACCTGGGTTTATTTTATTTTATTTGAGGCATTCAACTAATCGTCAGGAAATGTGCCAAATGACCCAATTTTACATGTACAGCAAGGGGAGAATTCCGTCACTGTGTATAGGCAGTTGGATATATATTTCCAAGCAACAAAAACCAAAAAAAAAAATAATAATAATAATAAAAAAGAAGAAGAAAAAGAAAGAAAAACAGAAAGGACCACTTATTACATCAGTTTCAACCGTTTAATTAGGCACTCTCAAATGATTTAAAATTACGAAGTTTTGCTGGTATAATTTTGACAATGATGATCTAATCTCAAGTACCTCTTAAGAAAAACACATTCATTCAATATATAAACACAGATGTACTTATAAACTTGATTAACAAAATGTCGCATACATTCACGAAGAGCAATAAGAACCCGTTGAGTTGACGGTTAACGGTTTGCAGTTTATGAATTCATTATTGAAGTGTCCATTGTGTTAAACTTATACTCGAGAAGGTTTAATCATCGAATTTTTTCGTTACATATGTGATTTGGAGTTTATACAATGACATATTTAATTTTTTTTTTAACAAAACACAATTTTGATTTATAATGTGCCCACGAACTAATTTATGTTCCTTTTTGTGCCAAAAAATTCTCTACATTTGGATAAAGACAATATATTGGTTTTATCAATTGTACATTTCCCTACTTGTTTGATTCGTTCTCAACGGTTTACGGATATAGAATGCACACTATACAATTCATAGATTTAATACTGTGTAAAGAAACTTTTAGGGCTTTTTATTTATTTTAATGAATGAAAACATGCTGCCGCACATAAAATGACAAACCCTGTCTAAGGAGTTTGTTCATTTGTTGTTTTGGATCATATGGGATGTACTTCCGGGGAATTGATAAATTGAGAGCAGTTTTGTTATATTAAGAGTAAAAATTTATTGATTTCCTACATTACTCTTGCCTAGGATTTTAAGAAAATTATCATATTTATTTCCCTTAATAATCTCGCTTTATTCTCGGCCGTTCCTCTTCACCTTCGGAGATGGGGATGTTGTTCTTCCTGGTTTGTTTACCACATCAAATCATCTACGACGCCTTAATTTGCAGATTGGTCTCAATCCAAACAGTGTCAGACTTCTTTAAATGTATATCCTTCATCGAGTTCAGTTTTTTTTTCGTTTTTTGTTTTTTTTGTTTTGTTTTGTTTTGTTTTTTTTTTTTTTGATTCAGTGGCGCCCGTTACCGAAGCATTATCGTGAGTTTTCTGGGCAATTCTCCCACTTAATTCATGTACTTATTTGTTTAAAAAATTGGGTATGTAGAAATTGGAATCAATTGTAAGCATAATGGAATTTTTTTTTAGTAGAGGGTTGGAGGATGTGTTAAATTTGAAGGTGGTTTTGAACATGGCATCGGTGGAAAGAGAGGCTAGAAGGTTTGGGCGCTGAACTAAACTTTTTATGTTTTGAAATTGAACTACACGATTGCTTGTTACTTATTCGATCCTACTATCAAAGTCTTGATTATGTTAAAACTTAAAATGTTATTGTGGCTAAAAATCAGTTTTAAGGTCAAAATTGATGTTGCTCTGGTGGTGCTTTTCTGATGAAATAGTTTTCAAGAGGTCTATGAAACCATTTTTTCAGATGGGTTGGATTTGGTGATTTGAATTTTTAAAATAAAGGTGGACAAATTTAAATTTTTAAGAATATGTGTGGACATATTCTTATATCCCACGGATTTCTGAAATCCGAGGGTTAATTAAAATTAAATCTTCGGATTTCAGAAATTCGAATCTACATATAATATTAAAATAATAATTATACACATTTTGTGGAATAATAGTTTTAAAAAATCAGAAAATGAACAGTAATGTTCGGATTTGGGAAATCCGAATTCCAAAAAAAATAATAAATTGAGGCGCGAAATTTTTAAACTCAAATAAGGAGTCCAGGACCTGGACTCTTTAAATGAACAGTTCCATTCGGATTTACAAAATTCGACTTCAGTAAAATAAAAAAAAAAGAAGAGAAAATTGAGGCGCGAAATTTTTGAATCCAAAAACCGGAATTCCGTAATCCAAATACACATATTTGGATTTTAGAAATCCGGATGCTTTTAATTTTGGTTAGTGGAAGTAGGCATCTGCCATAAATAGGAGAACCAAAAAATAGAATAAAAAATCCGAAATTGACCAAACTCGGATTTCGGAAATCCGAGGCCACGGTGATTCGGATTTAGGGAATCCGAGTTACTTACAAATTCGGATTTCAGAAATTCGAGTTTAGCGTGCTATAAATGCAAAAAAAAAAAATCAGACAGTTCTCGTGAGAACTGAATTAGATTTTCTGTTTCTGCAGCTCTTGGTTGGCGAATTGGAGCTTTTGATGCAACCTTACCGTTAGATAAGTGAGAATCGTTATTTAAAAGAGGTTAAATTGCAAAACCATGTTATTTAGTTTAGTTTTGTGTTATGTATGATAGATTAGAGTTTTTATTTGTTAATTGTTTGGATGTTTTAGGTGTTGATTTTGATGTTAGAGATGATAAATCATAGTTGTTAATGGGATATGGAAGTTGATTTATAAGTATTTAGGATTTTATAGGTTTTTTGAATTATGAATGGAGTGTATATGGTGTATTTGTTGATTATGTTATTAAGAAATGATTAGATATTGATGTTTTTTTTAAAACAGTTATCAATGGCATATAATGTATCATACATGCTTAATTTGTTTCATACAAGCAAGTATGTGATAGAGAATGGTAGCATCAACACTTTTTCAAATATGCCGGATGATGGTTTGTTTGTTGAGGAAAGATTGTCATATGATGAATTGATTAGTAAGATCTGTATGACACTTGGTTGGGATCCAGCACACGTGAAACTCCACCTTTCTGTGATTTTCGATAGTCCCGGTGGTAGGCATGTAGTAAAGATCAAGAATGATTCGCATGTAAAGTTCACGAACCGTGTAGCTCCAATTGTCATGTTTGGATTTATACATAGATTTGGAAGATATCACTCACGAAGAAAAAGAAGCGAGTTCAGAAACGTGTCATTTAGTGATTTTTCAAGGGGGGAACGTGCTAGTACTTCTCGAAACCGTGATGAAGAGGAGACACCTTTATTTGCACAAGATGACTACAATGAAGAGTCGGATCCCGACTACATAGCTCCAAGCGAAAGCGAAGAAAACCGTGATGCGTCTGCATAGAGTGATTTTGTAGACAGTGATGATGAAGTATTGGAAAATTAGGAAAGGGATCTTAATCTATTGCCCCGACGCCATGTATATAGTAAGATGGGGAAATGGGATGCCTCGTGTATGGACAAGGATGAGTTTGCTCTTAAGACGTGGGATGAGACGGCCGAAGGAATGGACATCAGTGTTTGTTTCAAATCCCAATCAGAAGCAAAGCATGCTGTGAAATTATGGAACATCCATCATAAAAGAGAATATCCGGTCGCTGTGAGTAGTCCAAAGACGTGGGCTGTGCGGTGCAGAACATTAAATGTGGAAAGTGAGGATGGTGATCCACCATGTGAGTGGAAGATGCGTGTGTCTTTGAAATATCACAGACTTCATGAAATTGTGAGATGGCATGATGCACATAATTGCATGACTCCCGTGAATGATAATGACAATCGGTGTGTGGGCGCGTCTTTGATTGCTAGACTCATCAGGCAAAAGGTTGAGGACAATGTAGATTATACGGTGGTCTCAGCACAGAAAGATGTGAAGACCTTATTGAAAGTAGATGTGCCATACAAAAGGACGTGGCATGGGAGGAGGAAAGCCATAGAATCGGTCTATGGTGATTGGACCTCGAATTTCGAAGAACTTCCTAGGTAAATATCAACTTTTATCCGTATTGTTATGTGCATTATTTTTAGTTTTTTTTTTTGGTTGCATGTATTGAAATATTTTAACTATGACTTGCTTGTTGTGTAGGTATATCGCGGCGCTTAAGTTTACTAATCCTGAGACTGTAGTAGAGTGGGAATAGAAGGAGGGACAAGAAAGTTAGAACAAGGGAAATAGGACATTTAAATACGTCTTCTGGTCATTTACACCAGTGGCTGTGACGTTTCTTGAATGTCCACCGTTCATTTGTATTGATGGAACCTTCTTGCGTGGTGGATACAAGGGTAAATTGCTTGTTGCGGTGGTCTATACCGCAAATAAGCACATTTTCCCGGTTACATTTGCGATTGTGGATGAGGAGACAGTAGAGAGTTGGACATTTTTTATGAGGAATTTGAGGTTGTGGGTTGTGCAGGATAGAGTCGTAAGTGTGATATCTGACCGGAATGCAGGGTTGTTGAGCGCAATGTCACAGATGGATGAATGGCATGATTTAGGAAATGGTGGCCACTTTCTTTGCCTTCGCCACGTTCATAGTAATCTTGTGTCATGAAGCGGTTATGTTAGAAGATGGGCACGATGCATTCAAGAGAGAAATTCAACCGTATGAGGGCACAGCTTATTGAATTGAAACCTACTGCATGGGAGTATCTTCGAGGGATTGGAGGGAGTAACTGGGCTCGATTGAAAGCCAGTCTTCGCCTTTGGGGCATAGCGACAACCAACATTTCTGAGAGTTACAACAATGCGTTGAAAGGGATCCGATTTTTATCAATTAGAGCCTTGATCGATGCAACCTTTAACAAACTGTGAAATTCTACAGAGAAGAACAATTGCATGACATCAATCCCTCCTGAGTTATGGAAAAAATACGAGGAAATGAACGTCAAAGCAGCCAGTTTTGATGCTACCCCTTTTAATGGTGATGATGCTAGGTGGCAGGTTGTTACTCCCACACGACTAAGTGGCAAGGGTGAGTCTTTACATACGGAGAACTACGATGAACGTAGGTGTTCGTGCAGGAAGTGACAAAAGTACCGGATGCCTTATACGCACGCACTCCAAGTTTGCTGGAAAAAAGGGAATCGGCCTATTGATCTATACATAGTGTGTGGCGCCTTCCAGCATGGCATAGATAATTTGATTACACGGGTTTTATTCATGTTCCCGATGTGCAACAATGGCTAACGGTCAATTGGAATATCATTCCGAATTATGAGCATCCTGTTTTGAATGCGGGATCGGACGACGAGAAAAAAAGAGACATAGAATGCAAATGGATTACAGGGGACGCCGGAGCTGGGGGGAATGTTGGAGATGTGGACAACAAGGTCATGATGCCAATTCTTGTCCTAACTTGCACCCATGAATAGATAGAAGACATGTGAATGACAGCTGGAATTGAGAGACATTTAGTGTTCTTGCAAGTTATTTGGAATGACCATGTTATTTGAAGTTATTAGGAATGACCATGTTATTTGGAATGACAACTGTTTAATTAGATGTCCTCTAGATATTTGTATTCATAAATTCAGAATGTAATGTTAACAGTGTAATCGATACAGTTGGGGATCGACCCTGCTGGCTGGTTTGTACTCTAGACTGTGCGAGGCATCCCAGTACACCATGCACGATATCACTGGCTGTCTATATTTGCTACAGATACGTATTAGTTTTCAATATCTGTTATAATTGTTTTTGCTTTCGACGTTATAATTTCAAGTGTTAACATTATTATCTAAATTTACTAGGTATGGGCGTATGAGCGGATTGAGAGAATCGCGCCACACAGAAAAAGAGTAGACTATATAATTGATGAGACCGCTACATTAGCTCAGCGGTACTATTTTCATTTCAAAATAACTCAATGTTTATTTCAATTTGTTTATTATCCATCTTTTTTACTAATTCAAATGTATCACTTCGTGTTTGTTCATTAAGGTGGGAATGTAGGTATACCTACGGAGACGTCCCAAGGAGCAGCTTGCCACCTTTCAGAGATCAATTAACAAGCCTGCATGTTGAAGATGTAGTACTTAATTTGGTATTTATATTTATTTTGAATTTCTTTTTCTTCGGGTTATACTATTTAAATAAATTTTTTTCGTGCAGTTTCGGTGGCAACCTTATGCGAAGGTTCTTGATAGACTCCCTGATTTCTGTAAACAAGGCCAAGTCATTTGGATGACCAGGTGTTGGATGTTCTGTTGGGCAATAAGGGAACCCCACGAGTCGAGCAGAGTTGTGAGACAATTTGGATACATATAGGATGTTCCCAGTCGTCCTATGATTAAAGATAACGCAGCATTTCTTCTCGATCACGCCCACAGTATGTCTGGGTATCTTAGCAACAATTGGGTGGATCACCATTCCGCAGTACGTCTTCACTGGAGAAAGAGAGAAAAGTACGTTGTACAAGATTTGTAGGTTAGATACCCTGGCCAAGTATATGAGGGGTACTATGACTGGTTCATGATGAACACTGTCAAGCTGATATCTAATTCCAAAAATTATGAACCTCAAGGATACGAGACTTCTTCGAGCCGAGTAAAATTATATGTGAGTTTATTCTATATTTTTGGTTTTTTATTTCTTATATTTTCCTTTTATTTATTTTTTTTGTATTTTACTCTCTTAATTAACGTTCCAATTTCTTTTCAGGGTTAAGTATTGAACAATATTCGCGTGAGTGCCGAGCAGTTTAGAGATAAACGAGAAGATAACAATCTCCTAAACGAAGAACTCGATGAGCATTTGAACAAAATCATCGATCAAGCACATGATGCTTTAACCCTGGGTGCAAATGATGATATGGACGTGGAGGATACCCAAATCCTAGTCGATGAAGAATTATCTATGCCCTCACAACCTCCGCCGGGTAAAAAAGCGAAACCGTGGTCGAGAGATAAGATAGGAGGAGGAAGAAAGAGAAAGATAGTGATCCCCCCTCGGACATCACAAGAACAAAATGAGGGTCAACAAAATGAGGATCAAGCACATTATTCTCGAGGCTTGCACATCTAGGTCCAGACTCAATTTAAAGACATTGGTGGACCCGAGACTCAATTTGATGGAGAGTCGTAACCACAATCGGGAGTCCTACTTCTCACCATGGGAGAGTCCCAATCCGAACCCCAACCGCGTCAACAACAGGGTTCAATACTCATGTATCTTCGGAGGGAAGATATGAACCGGCAGGGGCCAAATAAATACACTCCGGATGCGTCTAAGAAAGGAAAAGGGAAAAAATCATCCATTTGATGTAATTTTACATTAAAAGTAGTTTTTGGATTGAATCTTGTTATGTTTCATTGCTAATCGAATGACGTTTATTGTTTTGTTGCCATTAGATTCTGTTTTTCTATGTTTTATTGTTGTTAGTGCTGAAAACAGGTTGGACTGTTTAAAACCAGTCCAATTTATTTTTTCAATTCTGACAAAGCTAAGGATTTAGAAAATCCGAATCCACTCAATTTGTAAAGGACTCGGATTTCCGAAATTCAAATAGGTAGCTAACTAGAAGTTCTCAGTTTCCAGAAAACAGAGCAGATTCAGATTTTGGGAATCCAACTGTAGCCAACTTCGGATTTCACGAATCCGTATTCAGCCGAATAGGAAATTCAGATTTACAAACTCTGTTTTTTGTTGATTCAAATTCCCGTAATCCGAATTCAGCCAAAATTTATATTCCAATACTTATATTTTTTTTATCTCTCCGAAAATTAATATTTTATTTGTATATTCGGATTTGTAAAATCTGTACTATGATTAATTATACTAATTTCTTTCATTAACTTAATATTTGATTTACATTACACAAATTCGGATTTTAATAATTCGATTTTATGGGGATTATTTCTGAAATCCGGGTGGACTCTGATTCGGATTTCGAAAATTCGTGACATATAATTTTGTCCATAAAATTTTTAGAAGACTTATTTTTGTCTAGGTCCTTAATGTACAAGTGTATTTAACAAAAAAACTCATGTACTTCCACCGTATATTTGTTAGGACATTTGGAAACTTGGGAGCAAAGAGGTCCCAGGTAGATAATGCATAGCTATCAGAAGTGATTGGCCGACTGAAACAGTTTGAAACGTAGATTCGTCAGCCGTCCCAACCATTTCTGTTGGTCTATTCCAATCAATCCAAATCACAGTAACCCTGAAATGAAATCCTGACTGCCTTGGCAATATTATACAGTATAAAGTAAATGCCAAGACCAAAAAAATTGTATTGATTACTAGAAGAAAGTAACTGTGTTGTGAAAATATTACAATATGAACCAAGTGACTGCACCTAGTTTTCCGTCATCTGTGTTTATTACAAAAATCGAATGTATAGTTCGTATTCTTTAAACTCTTGAAGACTGACTGGATTGCCTCCCGGATATTCAATCTTCACCAGTTTGAATACCTAGTACAGCAATCTTGTTCGATTCTGATAAAGTCCAGTAATTATAGTGGAACCTGCTAACTCGAAACACATGTTCTGAAATATACAAAAGGACACATATAGCTTCTCCTTACCAGTCTGCCCCCAGCTCTATAAATTCGCAAGGGAGACTTCCTAAGTGTGCTCAGTAACTGTAATTCGAAAAACTGCAACAGTTGTGCTGCAATAGTCCAAAGTGCTCCTTTCCTTTCGTTCAGAAGCGAACATGAAAATGAACTCTATTCCAACAAAAAATTCCACCTTGTACCCCCTGGAAGTTTACCTATAGTACGCCATATGTCTGGATGACCTAAATGGAGAGGCATCAAATGGAGAAGACTTTTGAACTTGAGCTGGATTATTTACAAGTTTCTTCTTCTCTATCTTAGTTTCAGACCGAAGCCAAGTTTCCACCACCGAGAGTAAATTTGGGGAAGCCTTCAATTCTGAAAGGTCAGATAACTTCTCGTGCTTCCTCAGTGTCCCCTCCTGGATGTATACAAGATCTGTTGCCCATGTCTCCAGTCCATCGAAGATGTGTGTTGCATAAACGATTGTAGCTCCTCTCTGTTGCAATGCATACAAAGATGAGAAGTCAATGGTAGTTATCCACAATTGTGCATTTAACTTCACAACAACAATATCCAAACAAGCAATTATTTTTGCCATTCAAGCATGATTTTGATCTTTCAATATTCTCAACCAACAAGATCCTACCCTCAAGTACCCATGATTTTGGGACATTGCACTTAGCCAATGAGGAAAAGGAATCTCAAAAAAGTTTCATAATGTAATATAATCCACCCATAGCACAGACAACAAAAAGAAGTAGCACCATGGTGACTGCAACCAATGAGCATAAAAAAAAATAAAAGTGCAAACCTCTTCACATTCTTCTTTAAAAAATTCAAGTAGATCCATCCTTGCAACAACATCCAGATCAACAGTAACCTCATCTAACAAAAGAACCTGGTGCATCAAAGTATGTCAGGTTAGTAAAAAACATAGCCATTTTTCTTCAAATCAACGATGACAGAAATATAATGTGGTTGTAAATGCCAACAACAGGTCACCATTAGGAGAACACAGTTATACTCTCTTAATGAAGAGCCTGGCTTAAAAGACATCTCATATGCACCACCCAGCTTCAGCTGGATAAGTTAAAATGAATAGATGAAGAATCTAAAGTACAAAGAAAAACACAACAAGCTTAAAAGTTCCATACAAGCAAATATTTCCAAAGGAATGTGGTAATCATTAGGACACGAGTTGCCCAAACAATTAGCAATTCATTGCAAAGAATAGGAAAAATTGAAGAGAGGAATTAAAAAGCACATCCAAACATGAAACAGATTGTGCCCAATTTCAAAAAGCTTATTTCAAAAGTCAGGGAAAAGGTACTACCTTGAACGGGTGAAGAAGGCCCATGCAAATCTGAACACGACGTCGCTGACCATCAGAAACCTTATGCATACGCCAATTGAGGTCAATATCTAGAAGTTCAATCAGCTTCTCTCGCCTAATAGGATCTACTCCTTCAACTGTAGAGGGAAAGAAGAGGTGACATTAAGTGAATCAAATCTCCATTTGCATCAAGGTGAATACAAGTTACTGACTGCCGAAGCTAGTAAATTTGAAGTGCTCAAAAATATTGGGCCAGCTCATATCACAGTTTATTCTATACAACATATCCTAGTCGCATCAGTATAAAAGTTATCGTGCCAGTTTATAAGGTACTAAGCCCGACATACAACTAAAGAGATCACTAGCAGACAACATAAAAAGGTAATCTGTAATCCTAGAAAACATTCTCCTCACCTCCAAAAATCATATGCTCAGCAGAAAAATCTCCCTGAAGTGGAATCTCTCCCTGAGTTGACCATAAAAGAATGAGATATTCAGTATGTTAAACAGGAAATGCAAGTGATTGTTTCACCTTCTTTTTCCAGCTCCAGAAAACATAATATAAGGAACAAAACACAAATGTCACTCGAGTCAAGACAACTTACAGCAGAACCGACAGTTCTACTCCAAGAATCTCCAAGATAAGCCAAATCACCACCGCAAACCAGATTCGTGTCGTGAAACGCTGACAAATTTAGCACTCGTACCACATCCCTTCCGCCAACCATATGTTTTCCAGCTAAAATCTTTAACAAAGTCGTCTTCCCTAAAAGAAAAAAAAAAATCATACAGAAAGAATGCCTGAAAACTAAACCGACATTCACAACAAAGGGCATACCAGCGAAATTCAGAACCGATTAACGAATGAGTGTATAAAGCACATACCGGAGCCGTTGGATCCGACAAGAAGGCAACGAGATCCGGAAGAGATGTTGATGGTGAAATCGAAAAACAACGGCGTCTGGATATCATACCCAAATTGCATTCCGTTCACTTGTACACTGCTCGATTCCGCCATTTTAATCTTCTCCGGCGTGAGTTTGGAGCTCCAAAATTTTTCTTCCCGAAGATATTCAAATCAACAATTCAGCAGAGCAGATCGGAGGCGCGACTCATGAGCTTTCATTTGGATCAATTTATAACCGTTAATTTTGGGCGCCACCTACCCGCTCCCTATTCGCTTTTCGAAACGGTGACGTTGCCAGTGTACAGTCACGAATCGCGACTCACAAGTTTTCATTTTTTATTTTTTCTTAATTTTTGATTTATTTTTATTTTAGTTAAATTAGTAGCATATTGACTCAAAAGGAAATTGGACTAATATGGAGCACGTATAAACTTGCTACGCACGGCTGGTTAGGATCTCTGGGCGGTCAGGATGCAGCCACGACTACTGATTACGAAATCTAATTTTATTCCGTGGTGGGACGTCAACTATTACGACCGTGGACTTCCACGTTCAACCGATCGTAACCGTCTAAAATACAAAATCAATTATTTTTACTCTTTTTTTTTTTTATGAAAATTAATATTTTCTTCATTAAGGGGAAAACAGCGGCACCGATTTCTTAACGACTCGGTTCCCGGAATTTGGAGGGGAAATAAGAAGGAGAAATATTATAAAAGAATTAAATTGTACAGAAATTTGCCGCAATTCTTCAGAGGGAGTAATCTGTAAATTCTAGGGTTTCTTAATTCAATGATCAATTAATTGGTGGTTCTTCATTCATTCAGAAGCTTAAACCCTCACTGCTCGCCTATTACCCGAAGTCGAAGATTGACTCCAGCCTCCGCTAATCAGATTATTCCAGAAGGTTGCAGAGTAAGCTTTGCTTGATGTCCGCTGTTTTTCCTTCTTCCTTTATATCACCTTGGGCCTAATCAGATTGAGAATTTTCCTGCATTTTTATCGCTATCTTGTTGACGTTATGTAGAGATGAAATTTATCAGTGCGTGTGCATGTTCATTGAAATGGTTTCGCTGTTATTTGGTTGATTAAGGTCCTGTTTTTGTTGCCGCATTATTCATAAATTGTATATAGAAAAAGAGAGTAAGCTTTCGACATTCTTGGATTGCAGTGATGTAGAAGCTCTGTCATTTTGGCAATTGAGGCTGTGACTTCCTCTGTGGCCGTTAATGCTGCCGAAATTTCTGGAAAAGTATTGTTAATGCTGCTTCGTTAGGGACGGAGCAATGGAGGATTGGCAGTTACTGGACAGTTTAGGGGTCACATCAGTGAAACCTGAAGACATAGAGCGGCATGTGTTGGAGAAGGTGTGTATAATGAATATGTATTTATCTTACAAAAAGAAAAGAAAAGAACAAGAACAAGAAACAATGATCTATCTGGAAGCTGCTGTCACTAAATTTTGACACGGCTGATCATCTGGTTATATTAACCTCTAAATGTTAGGTTAGTTTTGGCTATTTGTATCTATCTAGTTGATCGTAAAGTTCCAGGTGCATAAAGTTGGATAATGCAGGTGAAAGTCTCTTACTTTCCAATTGTTTTGCTGCTCATTGCTTCCGCAAACCTCCAGATTTTGAAATGTGTCTTCTTTGTCAACTCCAATCTTGTTTTGGTTAAGGTTGACAGTGATACTGTGAGTATATATAATTGCTTTGATATTTTTCCCCTGGTAAAGTTAGTGCCATATCTGCAGACTTCAACTGTTTGACAAATTGGATTTCAGTTGAATACACGGGAATAGTATGTCAGATTTTATTTGGAACAAAGTATCTTCAATGCTCTTTGATCTAGAATCTCCTTCATCCAGTGACTTGCTGTACAACAATTTGTCTTCTCTTTTATGCTGTGGATAGCCTGTCTTGAGCATCTATGGAATTCTGTCATACTGACTGTTATTGAACTGAGAAATCTCGGTTCTGTTCTCTTATGCTTTTTGAAATTAGATTCCTCTGAGATTTTTTGTGTTTGTCCATCCTCTATTAAACCTGACTTTTTGTAACAACAGCTGCTACATTTGTTATCATCTGTTTTTTGCAGGTCCAGAGTAATATTGTAGATGGTAGTGAGGCTGGTGAAAATGCACAGGAAGATGTACTTAATAGCACAGAAAGCAATGGAACGTGTTCTGCAAATCTTTCTGATCGGTATAATAAACTGCAAGCAGTGAAGGTTGAAATAGATGCTGTGAGATCTGCTCTTGAATCCGAAAATGATTTGGAAGCTGAGACAAGTCCGCCAGAAATTGATATCAAGGAAGAGCAGGAAGATGCAGAAGGAAAAGAAAATCAATCTCAAGCTCCAAAAAATGGTAAAGCACTTCAATATGCTCTTGCTTCTGATCGATTAAGGAGCTTGATGAAAAGAAAGGCCCAGCTTGAAAAAGAAATTTCAGAGGTGTCCAAGGACGGTGAATCTGGAAGTTTGATAAAGAGTATTATCCAGGATGATCACAATTCGAAAAGAAAACTGAAAGAAATTCAGAAATCGAGCAAACATCAAAACAAGAAGCTGAAAAGAGCTTCCTTAACCGAGGATGATGATTTTGATTCCATTTTAAACGCTGCATCGGCAGGATTTGTTGAAACAGTGAGTCTTTGCAATTTATTTGTTGTTACAATATCACATAAATTACTTTTGATATTTTTTCCCCTTCACCAGTGGATGTGGTAATTAGATTATGCCAGTTACTTAGTTTTTAATTTTTAATTGTTTAAGTAGCTTCGGCTGCTATTTTCATATCATATATTCCATTACTAAATCTAGTACTGGATACCAATCCATTTTCTTTCCTGGTCTCTTTATATTTTTCCAGTTTCTTAGAAAATGATCTTGTTGCTTAGGAAAGAGATGAGTTGGTGCGGAAGGGAATTTACACCCCTTTCCATAAGCTTAAAGGCTTTGAACGTCGGATCCAAGAACCTGGTTCTTCCAGCAGGCGCGATGTTTCAGATGATGCAGATAAGAGTGATGATTTTGCTACCTCCAGTGTAGATAGAGCTGCTCGGTCAATCTCAGAGGTTGCCCTGGCTCGTCCAACGACTAAGTTGCTGGATTCTCAAGAATTGCCAAAACTTGATGCACCCACACGTCCCTTCCAAAGGTTAAGAGCACCCTTAAGACTTCATGATTCTCTGAAGACTCATGCTCAAGAAAATAAAGATAGGAAAAGGAAAAAGAAGAGGCCTCTTCCTGCCAGAAGGTGGAGAAGATTATCTTCCCGTGAGGAAATGTCGAGTAGAGAAAATGGTATGTTTCTAATTTAGAAGTTTGTGCTTATATCAGAGTAAATAATGTTTTAAAATAATTGAGTTGTTTTTTTTCGAGTATTTATCTTTTTAATTTGCTATTTTTATGATGTGGCACATCCTTTCAAAGATCTCTATAATTTATTCTATATTGTTTTGGAGAGTTTATTCGGTGCGACATGGTTGGTTTGCTAAATGTTGTTTGAAGTTAGGCATTTATTGTTATCACAATTCAGCAGACTCAGATTCTCTTCCTTTACAGTAAGTGTTTCTGAAATTTGTTTTTCCTTTCAAGATGGCAGGACATTTGGTGACGAAGGCGCCAATGGAGAAGATGAAGATGCGGTTGTAGACGAAACTACTTTTGTCTCACTAGAAGGAGGGCTGAAGATTCCAGAAGAAATTTTTGACAAACTTTTTGATTATCAAAAGGTTGGTGTTCAATGGCTTTGGGAACTTCACTGTCAAAGAGCTGGTGGAATAATTGGGGATGAGATGGGACTGGGTAAAACCATCCAAGTGATATCATTCCTAGCATCACTGCATTTCAGTTGTATGTATAAGCCAAGCATTGTTATCTGCCCTGTCACACTCTTGCGGCAGTGGAAAAGAGAAGTTCAAAAGTGGTATCCTCGGTTTCATGTGGAAATATTGCATGATTCTGCTCAGGATGTGTCTGGTAGAAAAACGCAAGAGAATCGCAGTGAGAGTGATTGTGACAGTGAAGATATGTTAGATAATGATGTCGAAGGAAGTTCACACTTTAGGAATGGCGGAAAATGGGATGCCTTGATCAATCGCATTGTAAGGTCACAGTCTGGCCTGCTGATCACCACATACGAGCAACTTAGGTTGCTGGGTGAAAAGTTACTTGATTTTGAATGGGGATATGCAGTTCTGGATGAAGGCCACCGGATTCGGAACCCAAATGCAGAAATTACTCTTGTTTGCAAACAGTTGCAGACTGTGCACCGGATAATCATGACTGGTGCACCTATTCAGAACAAGCTCAGTGAATTGTGGTCTTTGTTTGACTTTGTTTTCCCAGGAAAGTTGGGAGTGTTACCTGTATTCGAAGCAGAATTTGCAGTTCCCATATCGGTTGGTGGCTATGCTAATGCGACCCCTTTGCAAGTTTCCACAGCTTACAGGTTTGAATTTTGTTGCTGTGAATATTATTGCAGCTTTTGTTTATTGCTCTGGCTTGTTATATTTACATACAAAGTGTCTGTGGGCTACAGAAAGCTAAGCTAGTAATAATTAGATTAAGTTTGCTTGTCATCTGAAACATACTGGTATAGTTTAGATGAAATTTTGTAACTTTAAGAATGTTCATACTTCTCTTTTGAAGCATTGGGGCTAGATGTTGGTTCTGTCCTATATATTCTTGTGTATTACTTCTCCAGTTGATTCGGTTATTGGTAGGCTTGGCAGTGATAATGTCCTTTTGCAGATGTGCTGTGGTTCTCCGTGATTTGATCATGCCCTACCTTTTGCGACGCATGAAGGCTGATGTCAATGCTCAGCTCCCAAAAAAGACTGAACATGTACTCTTCTGCAGCCTTACCGAAGAGCAAAGATCTGTTTACCGGGCATTTCTAGCTAGCTCTGAGGTGGAGCAAATTTTGGACGGTAGCCGAAACTCACTTTCTGGTATCGATGTCATGAGGAAGATTTGTAACCATCCTGATCTACTTGAGAGGGAACATTCCCTAAATAATCCGGACTATGGAAATCCTGAGAGGAGTGGCAAACTGAAAGTTGTTGCTCAAGTGCTTAAGGTGTGGAAGGAACAGGGTCACCGGGTTCTTCTTTTCGCTCAGACACAGCAGATGCTCGATATTGTTGAGAGTTTCTTAATTGCTGCAGGTTATAGTTATAGGAGGATGGATGGCTCTACTCCTATAAAACAAAGAATGGCTCTGATAGATGAATTTAATAATTCAAATGATGTTTTCGTATTTGCTTTGACAACAAAAGTAGGAGGTCTTGGGACAAATTTAACTGGTGCTGATAGAGTCATCATTTTTGACCCAGATTGGAATCCTTCCACGGACATGCAGGTTTGTCTTGTGATGAGTTATTGTTCTAAACTCTTATGCTTCAAGGGGTGAGTGCATTGTGATGTATTTTGAAAAAATCAACCGCATGTCTCCTTTTTTGCATCTTTCTCAAACCCCCTTGCATTCGACAAATTTCCCTTTTGTGGTAGTTAGGTGGTCTTGAATTTGGTTTAACATTTTAAAGTCTTGACTCTGATTTCACATTTTAAATCACATGACCGGATTGTTGCTGATTATAAGTTGGAACACATGTTGGTGGCAGGCCAGGGAGCGTGCTTGGCGTATTGGCCAGAAAAAGGATGTGACTGTATATAGATTGATTACACGTGGTACCATTGAGGAGAAGGTTTACCACAGACAAATTTACAAACACTTCCTTACTAATAAAATATTGAGCAATCCACAGCAGAGAAGATTCTTCAAAGCAAGAGACTTGAAAGATCTTTTCACCTTGGCTGATGATGTAAATGGTCACTCTACTGAAACGTCAAGTATATTCAGTCAGTTACCTGAAGATGTAAATGTTCTCGGCACTCACGGTGATAATCACATTAGATCATCTCCTGTGGACACTGTCAATTGCAGTGAAAGCGATGAACCGAATTGTCCAGAAGCTGAAAATGATGGCGAAAAGATCGATGATCACAATCAGGGGGGAATTGATGAAGAGACGAACATTCTGCGGAGTCTTTTTGATGCAAATGGTATTCATGTGAGTCACTGACTGTTCTCTGTTTTTTCCCTTTAATACGATACTCCAGATGCACGGCTTTGTTTGCCAACTGCTATGCTTCTTAGTAGGGTACTTGAATCTTAGTGCATGAACTTGATATCTGGCAGTAGGTCAAACTTACAAAGACTTTGTCAGTTTAGCTGAAGTGAGAGGTGCATATCTTAGACGATAGAGAATTACAAGATTTCATGTTCTTACTGGTTACATGGGTTTCATATGGTTTTATCTAGCATCACGCAAGTCAGACTCATAATCTCCTTCAAAGAATTCTCTTTTTTAAAAAATTTGGATGATGGTAGTTAATGGACAATCATTACAAATGCTATAAAATCCGGGCACTAATCTTTTTCTATGAAAATTACTACTAGATATTATGCTTTCTTTATTCAGGTCTTCTTTTCTTTAGCTAAGCCTTGTGTTCATTGATATTGTTGGTGTGAAGTGTAACATTTTCTGCTTTTTTAGAGCGCCATGAATCACGATGCTATCATGAATGCTCATGATGAGGAGAAGCAGAAGATGGATGCACAAGCCTCTCAAGTGGCACAGAGAGCTGCAGAAGCCTTGAGACAATCACGGATGCTTCGAAGCCGTGAAAATGTAGCTGTCCCTACATGGACTGGTAGATCTGGAGCTGCTGGCGGACCATCTGCTGTTGGAAGAAAATTTGGTTCTTCTGTAAATTCTCAACTGACTAGAAGCTCAAGTTCATCGGATGATCTGATTAATCGAGAGGCAAAGAGACCCAACGGATTTGCTGCTGGGGCCTCTTCTGGTAAAGCTTTATCTTCAGCTGAGTTATTGGCTAGGATCAGAGGGAACCAAGAGAGTGCTGTAAGTCAAGGGCTAGAACATCAGTTTGGTAGATCCATTGAGAAGAAACCTTCTGGGCCATCAAAAAACTCAGCTGTCCAGCCAGAAGTATTAATTCGTCAACTCTGTACATTTATTCAAAGGAATGGTGGAAGATCTGATTCTGGCAGTATTGTCAACCACTTCAAGGAGAGAATACCGGCAAAGGATTTGCCACTGTTCAAAAATCTTCTGAAGGAGATTGCTACTTTGGAGAAACAACCTGGTGGCTCCTTCTGGGTTTTGAAGCCAGAGTATCAATGATAGTTAATTTTTCTAACACCGGATAAAGATCCCTTGTATAGTTTTGGGCAATGGCAATTCGGCCAACTATTTCTCACAATTTTGTTGATTCTTTTGTTTCTCATTTGAGAGGAACAGAGCTAAAGTTTTACTCCATTTAGTTACTAACTGGTTCAGACTTGTAAGCCCATTCCCAATTTTCCTATCAGCTCCATAATTTTTGTTGTGTAGACAACATAATGATGGAAGTTAATTGCAATCATTCATCGCATATCCAATTTAGACTACCTTTTTACTTCTCCAATTGTGCTGTTTCAATTGTTCCCTTGTCAATGACAAACAACTGAAAGTGTTCTCAGATGATGCAAGAGAAATACTAATTGCACATGAAGAGGGTTTTCCCTGTCGTATACTTATATAAATATTAGACAAATAGTCCAAAAATGGCAAAGTAGATACATCATCAAATTCTCCAAAATGGAGCAGATAGTGAATTTCTAAACTTTTCAATTTCTTTTCTAAAATGGTTTCATCTTTTCTAATACAACAGCAAAGGGAGATCCCACACGGTGCACTAGCATAATCAAAAGGCAGCCCATCCAGCTGCAGTGGACTTACTAGATCCTGATTCCGTGGCTGATGGAAGATTCTTCTGCAGAAAGGTAGCGAGTTTTTAAAGAACACAGTTACCTTCATCTCATTGCTGCAATTCCACAAAGTAACTCACAAGAAGTATAAAACCTTTATACAAAAATCACACTCAACTCAACATGCCCAAACAGAAAAGTTTGCACATAAATGTATCCTTCCGACACTACAATGTTCTTTTTCAATGCAAGAATAAGCAATGAAAGCAGTCAAGTCTACATCAAAAGAATGATTATACAGCAATCCTCACTGGCTCACTCTCCTGCTAAAATGTAGAGTTGAAGGCTCTTATCCTTTAGTGCATTCAGCAATTCTCCAACTGTTTCTATTCTACCCGAGTTCTTATCGCATATGATCTTACTAGCTCGTTCCATTAACAGTTTTCTACTATGATTCCAATCCCAAACTTTCCCTCCCAGACCTATTTCACATCACTTGAAATAACCTCCATCTCTGGGGGAGAAAAAAAAAAAAAGAAATCAAAAAACAACACCATAGGGTTAGCCAATCTTCCCACCAGGATGATGTTTGATTTTGGGTATCATAACATAAATGATGGCAACACAGTTCAGGATACCCTCTATCTAATGGACTCAAAACAAGAAGCAGCAACCAAAATTTTTCAGTAACAGCATAGTGATAATGGTCAAATCCTAAAACAGATGCATGGAACCTCCCAATAGCATGAACCATGCATAAGTTGTTTATCCAATTGCACTCTTCGTCAACCAAAAAGGCATTTTGTAAGCCTCTAAACAGGAAACTACTTGTTAATATCAAGTGCTTAGATGTGTGGATAAAATTACAAATGGAACTATAGTATAATATTCCAGATTCACAATTTCAACTTTGGACTACCTAAAAAATAGATCAATTGTAAAATTAAGCCTCAAAATAAATGGATACCTCAAGTTGTGAAAGATCTGTTAAAGGGTCAACAGGACGTTTAGCATTCTCTTTAGTCACCTTTGGAGGTCCATGGCTACTAGAAGTCATCCTAGCAGCTACAGGATCATTGGGAGGGGGCGGAAGAGGAGATCTAATCTTCGCTGCCCCGCTGGGTGGTGGAGCAAGGCCCAGAGGTTTAGGCTTCACAGATCCAGGTAGTGCATTTGACAATCCTGCGGCCGAAAGCATGCCTGCTCCACCGGATGGTTTATTCTTCACATTGATCCGGATAGTTTCACCTTCCTGAAAATTAAACACAAATGTCAAGCCTGGATGCCGATCAATGAGCAACCAAGACCATTCTAAACTCCTCACTTTGCTAAATAACAGGTATAAGACTACTTTAATATTACTCGTTCATCCCATTCATTTTCATGCAATAGTTAGCAGAGATATCTGGTAGCAACAAATGCAGAAACGGATTCCACTCTTGGCTGAGCATAGAGATAGCTTTAGATACACAACAAAGAATAGTTCTAAAGTCCAGCAAGTTCTTACACACTTGCAGGTAATCGTAATTAAATATGTTCAGAATGTGATCTACCATCTCTGATTCGTATTTACAATGAAAAAAAAAATTAAAAAGTGATCAATTAGGCTACTCCATTACATCCAGAAAAAAACTCCCTGCATTTGGTAGTGACTAGTGAGTATAGAAATTACCTTTAACCTGTGATTAACAGCTGGGTGGATATCGATATGACTGTCATCACTGCCCTCGCCATTGGCACCGACGGAATCTTTATCGTGCTCTCTCCTAACATACTTTTCGTGATCGGATAAAGCCACATTGAAATCAAAAGCCTCGTTCCTCTCATTGAATCCTAGCCCAATAAAAGCGTGCTTCCCAGCACCATCCTCAATTTTCAACACGAAGTACCTGGACGAGTCAAGGGCAGGCTCCACGGAGCTCTCCCGCTGACCCGGGTTGATAAAACAAGCAGCGAAGAGCTCCCCGGAGTTAGGATCCTCGAGCCGGATCTCGCATCGGGTGTTGCACGACACGACTCTGAGCCGACCCGACCAGATCTTGTCGGACTGCAACCACTCCCCGCACTTGTAACCGCCGCTGGTGGACCGAGGCGGGATTTTGTAAACGGCGACCTCACGCACCACCAGGAGCGTGTGCTCGAACGATTCGTCGTCGTCCTCAAACGACATCGGGAATAGAAATGGAATTGTTTTTCGCTGAGTGTTTCGTGAAGCAGAGAAGAAAATGACAATAAAGATTTGAGGGGGGGAAAGAGCGAAAACTTATAAGGAAAAAGGAATGCGAAGGGTTGCAATCAATGGGGGGTGAATTTTTGATTAGGTAGCGTAGGAGTAAAGATAAAGGCGGCGACAGGTGGTGGTGGTGGTCAGGTGGTGATAGTGGTGGTGGTGGAATGTGGGGGAATCGGATATTTTTTGGGTGGTTTTTTTAAAACAATATGGGTTGACGGGTTACCGGAATCTCATTGCCGCGTTTCGGATTTGTTAAAAGTGAAAAAAATATAAAATGTCAACTCCGCTTTTGCAACGCAATTAACGTACCAATGACTGCTAAGCATAGTAGTAATTCTGATTTCATATGAGAGCAAACGGTAAATAAGGTATCGTGACTTTTTTCTTTTCTTTTCTTTTTTTTGTGTGCATCATCAACTTTGTCACTTTTGTTTTTTTTCTTTTTTTTTCCGAGGAAAATCCCACTTATTACACACCATTGATCAAATTGTCATTTCTCAACATTTACTTAGTGGAGTTCTCAAATACTTTTTTATCCCAAAATTATTGAAAATACAAGCTAGACAATGATCTTGGAATCGAAGGAATGCCATCATTAATATTGTTCTTGAATATGATATACTGACTTAACGGCTGATGGATCTTGTCCTACGTAGGATAATATATTTTGGTGATGAAATTGCGATATCATATTGAGTACACAGGACAGGAACATCAGGGACTAATGAGATTCATTACCCTAAACTCCAATTTCACCATTTTCATAACTCTTACAAATCCATATGGGATCATATATGCATGCATACTCTATAATTTTAATTTATTCAAGTATACATAAAACTTAACATGCATCTGAATTTGAACTCCCAATTCTACTGAAATCGGAACCAAAGGTCTATTGCTTTGAGTCTGTATTATCTGATGATATATAATTTCGTAAGCATTCATGTTCAGAAATGAAATCCTCAGATATGATTCAAATGAGATGCAAATCAATCTCTTGATAAACATACATTATGGACATATGAAAGTAAAATCTTTAGGGATGACATTAAACTTCTAACTGATGATATTAACATCTTTCCATTCGAAAAGAATACCCACGAGACTAATGTCATAATACAAAATTTTATTAACGATGAGTACAAATCTCAAAATATATTATCGAAAATTTTTTTTCTGGATAATCGGAGTGTAAATGTAATATGGATGCACGAATATGATCATTGTTCAGTTTTTAATATAAACATACAAAGCAGACAATCATATCTGAACATAAAGGGTATATCGATTTGGATGCACGTCGGTGCATGCAGTTTGGTCTAGGCCTAGTAGTTAATTAAGGGGGGTAATATTGAGTTAAACATTGAAATTAAGCTAAAATTACACGTCACTAACCGTTTGATTTGCTAAAACATACCTTCCATCCCAATACAGATGTCTTGATCGTTAGGTAAACAAATAATGTTTGGAAATAAAAACACTCTTATTTTGAAAAAAATTACTCGATCCAAAAAATAATCCATATTAAGATTTTAGTACTAATCTTAAAACTTATAGTGGAATTTTTTTTTTCTTGGACAGAGAGTAATATAATGTGAGATACAACATTACAAGTCTATAAAATCGTTGTGTTACGATGACTATACACACCTGAAATCTGAAGGCAAAATCTCGAGTTTGATTCATTGACTGTGTGACTGTGTGTTTTCGGCAAACCAGATTCATTAACCTTAAAAAACTATGATTATTCATTGATAGGCCAAAACTTGCCTCTCATAAGATGTTGGCTCCTGTTTAGTTGGGGAAAGATGAAAAGAAATAGTAGCTTAAAAAATAAAATTAATGATGCTTTTGTACTCAATTTTGAAAATAAAGTAAACAGAACCAGACTTCAGAATATAAATATGGAGAGGAAAGGAAATAGACGAGAAAAAAAAGGAGGGAACCAGCAAAATCCCATGCAAATGATTACAGTTGTCAAAATCATCCTTATCCCCTCTGCAATTCTTAACGACTCACAAAATGAAAAAAAAATAAATAAATAAAGGAAGGAAAATGGTTGAAAATAGATTAAAAAAAAAAAAAAAAAACCAAGGCAACTTCTCCGCTTGTGCTCTTTAATTACAGTTGGGAGAATGAAAAACTACACTTTTTAATTAGGACATTCATGAATTGTTTAAAAAAGTCATTTTGATTCGTTATAAATTTCATTTGGTATGTTTTTTTTAATTACAAATAAAGTTGTAAAACTATTCTATACTAATTGAGAGAACACAATAAATATGAAAATGTATTTTTAAGGTTTTATTTTTAATTAAAAGAACTTATAAAATAAAATTTATGAATATTAAAATTTTTTTTAATAATAAAAACCGGAGGAAATACTAAATATTCTCCGCAATTAACCCTACATTTTAGTCATCAAACAAGGGTATAGTAGTTTATAAAAAATCATTATAAAACTAACAATTTAAGTTGTAGATTATCGATGGCCTTATTTTGGCGGGAAGGAGTTGAATCCGTAAAACGCCTCATTTACTCATAACTTGTGAGTGTTACTCTTTTAAAAAATAGGACTTCCATTTATAAGTATATCATTACTTTAGTCATATAATACACTCAATATGTAAAGCTACTATTTATTGAATTGATTTGCTACAATAAACAATTAAAGAAATTTTGAAATGCAAAACATATTTGTTACGGGAAAAAAAAAAAAAAACCAAGTCCTACATCCCGATCATTTGTCATCATTTATTTGGGTTTAAAATAAAATTTAAAAAAAAAACATTTTGGCCTTTTGGTACTAAACTGAATGTATTGTAGTATTGTTTTGGGGTAGAATCTAAATTGACCATATCCCACACAAATTTGTTGGGAGGAGAGGGACCCATCAACCCACGACTCCCTATAAAAACCAACCTGTTGTCGCCTGTGCTCTGAACTGTCCTCACTCTCCCGTTTCCATTTTTCTTCCTCCCCACACAATCCATTCTCCTCTCCTCGTTTCTGCTCCTTTTTTTTTTCTGTTTTAATTATTTTTGAAGAACTTTCTTCGGATGGAAGAGTATGAAGAAGGAGGTATTTATAATGGAGGTCGATAAGTTTTTTTTTTTTTTTAACGTGGTAGCTCACCGCTGATAAATCAATATTCATGCTTGTTGATATATGTTTGATTGTTTTGGGACTCAGGGGAAGGCTTATTGGATGACAAGGACGAACAAGTTGAATTTGGGTCTGTTGATCAGATAGATGAGGTTGATGATGTTGGTGAATTTGGGTCTTCTTTTTCTTTTATTTGGTTCTGGTTTATTATTAATTCTTATTAGTATTTGTTAATTTTTACAGTTTCATGGAATTTCTAAGACAAGTGAAGGGACTACCATCTTGTCTTTTGTGACTAAGCAAGGAATAATGGTTGGTGCCGATACTCAGCGAAGCTCCCATAAAACCGGTGAATGTAAGTCCTCTCCTCATTTGTTTTTAAAAAAAAAAAAAAAAAATTTGTTGATTTGTTTTTCTCTATTTTGATTATAGCCACAGGAACTAAGAACAAAATTTACTCACTCGGCAATCGAATTCTAGCTGTAGCAGCGGGATGTGTTGATCGTAGTACCCGTCTTCTCAGACGCCTCCAACACGAGGTTTTTTTTTTTTTTTTTGAAAAACTCAATACCGCTGAAAGAAAAGATAAAAAAGAAAAAGCCATGATCTCTTGATATTTTTTTTGTTGGTGACTAGTTCGAAGCCGCAGAAAATGGGGACAAGCCGATGTCTTTCCGGGATGTTTATGATTGGATTAAGAATGAGTTTTCCCATGGCCCTCTGTCTGCTTCTTGGTATGAAAAATGGAAGGGAAGGAACGTGAATATATTGTTGGTAGGGTGGACGTTGGAGCCCAAAACAAAGCGTCATGTCAGTAGTATACTCTATTTCGATTGGTTTCCAATCTTTTTTTGGTATTAGTTTCAAGTTTGGAATGTTTTGTTTTGTGTGAATAAAATTAATAATTAGTCTTTGGTTTGTTTGTGAAGAAATGCAACATAGTGGTGATGGACGATCTGGGGCACTCCATTAGAAAGAATTCGATCTGCGTTGGATCTGGGAAATCATTTGCTGCCCCTCTTCTCATCCTTGAGTATGCGCCTCTATGCTTCTTAAATATATATATGTACATATAATTTCATTGTTTTTAGAGTTTAGATTATCTTAACTTTTCTGGGGTGGTCGATCTGCACAGCTATGAACCAAATATGGAGTTTGAGGCTTCCGAAGACTTAGCCAAGAGGTGTATTTGTCTTGCTTCACTGCTGGACAACAAAACTGGTGGTGATATCCATCGTATGTCAATTTTCCTTTCTCTTGGCTTTCTTAAAAATACCACGGAGTTGTATTATATAATGTTGTTCCCCTTTTTTCTTTTTTTTCTTTCAAAGTTGGCATCCTACAGCCTGACCGGTGGATGGAAATCCCTATTCACAAAAGTATAGACGAATTGTTGGAGACTGAATACCCTTGGATGACGCGGGACTACTATGATTTGGTTTTGGAAAGACTTAAGCAGAAGATAGCATCAACGTCCAAAAAACAAGAGACTTGTCGCCCCCCATCCCCAGTGCATGTGTGTCAGCTCGCATGCGCGTACGCCTCCCTCATCCTTCTTGACCTTGGCATTTCCATCACTGCCGAGAAGATCGCCACGCTGCTCAAGGCTTCTAATTTGGCCGTCCCGTCCTACTGGCCGATCCTTTTCGCCGAGCTGTGTGAGAAAAAGAATGTGTTAGATCTCATCTTGAACGTCGGGGGCCCCGTTTCTCCGGTGGCTGAGGAGAATACGTAAGAGACTAAGGTAGGTGAAGGATGATGAACTGATGATGATCGCAGCAGCAATTCCAAATTTCAATCCTACAGTAGGCAAAACAAAACGAATTTTGCTCCCTGTGTCAGACATTTAGCTTTTTCTCCACCCTCCTAGATCGGTTTATAGCACAAGAAACTTCGTTATATATATGCATAATACATGCTACTACCACTAAATAGTCAATTCACCATATGGCATCCCGTTTTATTTTATACTTTATTTATTTCTTTGTGTGTGTGTTTTCAACCTATGTCATTGATGGAAGCAATGGATTAGAGTATATTACTCAATTGAGCATCATTGTTCCGTTTACACAAATTCTCAACCGGAACGTGCAACTACTACGTAATTTTGGTGCAAGTTTTATTCATGTCATTTTGGTGCAAGTTTTACTACTACGTAAACCTCCTATTTATAGCCATCATCTAATGACAATTTTATAAATAAATACTCCTTCCGTTCCATAATTATTGTCCACTTTTACTAAAATGAAATATTTTATTTTTAGTCAAACTTAACTATATTTTACCTTGAACAACCGGATATACCCCTACATAATTAATTTTTTAACCACAAAGATTTTATGGATAATGTTTTTTACTTAGGACAAATGTGTAACTTGATCCATAAAAAGTCAAATTGGACAATAATTTTGGGACAAAATTTTTTGGGCAAAGTGGACAATAATTATGGGACGGAGGGAGTAATAGTTATCAAATCAAAATACTATACATGGATAGTTTTCCCTGCTGTGTACATGCTCATATTTTAACTAAAATTTTGTCATTTACACTATTCATAACAAATATGAAATTGTAGATAGTTGTGTATAGCTTATATACTCTTGCCTAAATGGTTATCCAATTTAAATTTTTATTTTTAATTAGAAATGTCTGGCAAGTAAAATGTGAACTAAATAATTATTTTCAGATCAAATGAGTATTTAATACTATCTCTGTCCTAAAAAAGAAAACTCCATGTTTGAAAATTCAACGTAAATTATTTTGTTAGGACGTAAGGAGTACATAAGTTTTAGTAGACTTCAAAATAAAATATTATTGAATTGAAAATCTTGATTGTAAAACTTTTTTTATAGAAAAAAAAAAATCAATTCTATGGACCCTGCTGACTAAAACGCGTCTTTAGAAACCTTTTGTGGGAATTGAATTCTGATCTAAAACCATGAAATACAGCATCTCAACCAATAAGCAATTATTCAACTCCTATCTTTATTGTAAGACTCTTCTTAAGGAATAAAGGAAATAATATAAATAATCTTGGCATATTATAAATGCTTCAACTTATATCTTTTTTCGGGGAACAACATCAACAGAAGGCTAACGCCTCATAGTATAACTAGACGATCCTGTTCTATCATTTTTTAATAATATAATAATACAATTTAGAAAACATCAAAAGAATATAACCCTCCATCTATATCGAGTGTCGCCTTAGCAAGGATAGCGACACAGGAATGCCCTTATCTTATATTAATATAAGGTCCAAATGAATCTTGTTGATAAGCTTATTCACTCTTCTCAACCGACTGAATTTCAATCTATGCTTCAACTTATATCACTATAAGGTCCAAGCGAATCTTGTTGATGAGCTTATTCGCTCTTCTCCACCGACAAAATTTCAAATAAATTTATCCTTGCGAAGTGCAAAGCATTTGGATACGTTCACTTCCGATAGTAAATGGTCATTTTAGTCCAAAGCTTCAAGTAGGCCAATGTTAACCCTAATGATTTTCAGAGAGTTATATAGAACGTATTATTTTTTCACAAAATGTTAAACCTGCACGATGTGCGAGGTAGATTATATATCTCTGTCCTGAAATTATTGTAAAACCTAAAGTTGTATATTACATATTTATAAATCATAATTTGTGAAATATTATTAAAAGTGTCGTGACATGAAGTCATGAATATATATACATATATATATATATATATCTATCTTAAACACCATGTAATAATACAAAAAAAAAATTGCCACTTGAAGGACAAAAAAAAAAAAAAACATGATCCATGATTTTATTTGGAAAAATGTTACCATTTTTATTAACATATTTTATTCTGTGCAAGTTTGGCAAAGTAATTAAAACATTTGGCACAATAACACACATAGTACAAAGTGAAATATGTTTGTCAATCGGAATATTAATCTTCACCCAACTCAAGTTGTTAGAACTTGATTGGTGACAAATTAAATTAGCTAACTAAGTTGGTAACTCCTTATGTTTAAAAAAACACTTTGTATTGATCTTCTTATGCTTAGGGACTATCCAAATGACAAAAGGCTCTACTTTTTCTATATGAAGCGCAAAAAAATTTAAGGAGTACTAAGAAAAATTTAAATAGAAAAATATCTATTATCGTGATTTTTAGTTTTGTTTGTTTTTGTTTCTTTCGTCAATTGATTTCCATATGTGTGTTGTCTTAGTAATTAGGCACCACTGACCGTTGTCATCATCTCCAGTCTATTTGTTGGCACTTAACGTCATGGTAGCTGATAATTACAAAAGAGTAAATTAAGATACGTATATACATGATGATCATAAAACTCAAGTTAATATGGTTTTACACGATTTATTTGATGGTGATATCAATTTAACAAATTAAAATTACATGGACAGAGCATAGAAAATGCTTCCTACCCAATTTTGTAAAGTGAAAATTGCTAATAATTCTCTGATCCTATTATAAAGGGAGTTGATATCTCATAGAATCTTTTAAATTCTTTCCTTTATAGAAAATGTTATTGTAGAAAAAAACTTATTTAAACTGCAAATTGCCAATAATTCTCCGATTATAAAGTGCGCTGGTATCTCATTAATTTTTTTTCAATTCACTGCATAGAAGATATTGTTATTCCTTATTTAAACAAAGGTGTCACTAGATTTTGTAGATAAAATTAGAGAAAGCGCGAGAAAGCACGAGAAATTATCACATAGGATTTTGTCGTATGTTTTTTTCATATATTTCACTTTTATTTACATTCAACTTTAGTTATATTAATTTAAGTGATTTCATTTTTTTCTCCATATTCTCTCTATTCTCTAAACCCTAGTCGTCTCTTTCTCTCTCTCTCAAAAAAAATAAATTCTTCCTTCATCTTCCCTCATGGATTGATGGAGGGAGGGGGGAATTGATTCGAATCTTCTAGTTTCTTGTGTTTTTTCTTCGTTTAATAAGTATGATTTATCCACAAAATATTATTCCTTCAATAAATTAATGAAAATCTTATTTGGTACTTGGCGAAAATTATGTAACCGTAGTTAATGTTCACAATATAAGAATGATGACTTAAAAAAAAAAAAAAAAACAGAACCAACCGCTTCCTTTTTTTCATTTTTTGAAAGAAGAACCAAAAGCTCTTGGTTGCTCCACCTTTCGAACCAATTTTTAAATTTTCTTTTGAGGGTATACATCCATCATCTTCACTTTTTATTCACAATATTTGATTAAATTATTATCTCGAATCTACTAAAAACATGGCACGTCAATGTATACCATGAAAGGAAATATGACAAAAATTTTTGAACAAATTGATCCATGAACATACATGCCATAAACTCTTAACTTATGTTTGGGAGAAAATGGACAATTACGTGTAAAAAAAACAAGAAGAAGAAAGAATTGGTACTGAACGTACGTCAATTATCTTCATCGTTTTGTTTTTCGGTTGCTCCTGAAGAGGCCATCTCACTCTAGAACAGAAAAAAAAAACATTTTTCCAAAAAATAAACATCATGATACTTACAAAATAAGATAAATAGTAAGCAATCTCCATTAATTATGCAGAAGAGCAAATCAACATGAACGTGCAATGATATTCTAATGTACAAAAAAATGAACTACTATAATGCACAAAAAAATGTATACAACCAACATCAAACTCTATGAAACTATTATTTTATAAAAATCAGAACCAAGAAGTTTTCTAAAAAAACATATGTTTAACTTAAATTGGATAGGTGAGATTGATTAAACAGATTACTACATAGTCGACCTTTTAAAAAAAAATCAACCTTTCTATCCAAATCAGTTTTGTGACAGCACTTGCTTCAAGAATGTTGCTTATGCCATAACCTATAAAAGCTGAAAAAAAAATCAGAGAAATGATAATAATAATTTTAGGAAGAAAATCAATACGAGGGTTAATAATTCTGGTATTCCACAGTTTCCACTTAGTGAATATGCCGTTGAAGAAATTGTTGATGGTGAACTCAACAAAAGAGTGGCGGATTACACAACTGTTGAGGGGAACTGGGATTGGGATAAATTAGCTCACTACTTTCCAATCCAAATGCTGGAGAAGATCATAGCCATTCCCAGTCCTAGCCGTGAAGCAGGGGTAGACAGGCCTGTATGGAGGTTGACACAATCGGGGAAATTTACCACGACATCGGCATACAACCTCTTGATGGAAGAAGTCTGGGACAATGAGGAAAGAGACTGGGAAGTAGTGTGGAAGTGGATGGGCCCGGAGAGGATCAAGATCTTCTTATGGTTATCTTTTAAGGGGGGTGTTGATGACAAATGCCGAAAGAATGAGACGACATCTCACTGATGACGAAGGATGCCACTTTTGTGGAAACAAGGAAGACTTATTCCATGTCTTTAGCGACTGTTTCAGAAGCTGAGAGGTGTGGCGTAGCATCTGACCAACTCTGGATATGGAATTCTGGTATGTTAATGAATGGAAACCATGGTTTATCTCTAACTGAAATTCTTCGGTCAGATTGGTTTGCTGTCGCCTGCTGGAGGCTTTAGATAACAAGGAATGAACAAGTTTTCAACGGGACATCACGTCTCAGAGGGTTCTGAGATTTTCCACTGTAGCCTTAGTCAAGGAAATCTATCGCCCCGACACCATTTTTGCCTAAGCGAGCGAGAAATCCAGACAGAGCCCTACGCAACAGGATTGGGAGCCTCCAATGGGAACCACCATCAAAATAATTTCTGATGGAGCAGTGGCAGCCAATGGAAAGGCTGCTGCAGGAGGTGTTCTACGAAATGGTGACGGTGATTGGATAACGGGGTATGCTGCCAATCTGGGATGCTGCAGCGTACTTAAGGCAGAGCTCGGGGGGGGTTCTTTTAAGGCCTCCGAATTCCTTGGGAATTAGGATTCCAGAATGTACACGTAGATCTAGACTCCCTAGGGGAATTCGGCCTATCATGCCCAGTTGGGCACCACATATTACCAATCCAATTCAGATTGCGGACCAAAACATATCAATTTTGCCTCAAACAATCAACAATCATGGAAAGCGTGCTTAGTTAAGCTCCAGTATCCACTCCTACATGAACCTGCTTTTTTAGTTTTTTCTCCAAGCTCCCACATTGAAGGATCTCGACAAGAGAGATCCTCCTTTGAGTATATCCTGTTACCATTTCTCCCCTTTGTTTGAGACATAGCTGCTAAATACAATTAGTCCCAAGCCTCACCTTCACGACCCCGTATTACCAAGAACTTGGCGCAGGAATTTGACATTTTATACTTTTTAGATAGAAGAACAGAGCCTCCCCTTCAAATCTCATGATTGGCACCTCACCAGGTTTGAACTTGGGGTACTGGCAGATCCCAACATCGTTAGTAACTAATGACTGAATAGCACAACTCAAGATATGGTACTACTGTCTAGCAAACCAATTTTCTACTTGCTGCAATTGAACGTTGTTATAAAGGTCAATATTCTTCATGTTCCTACTTTCAGTACTGACCATAACCTTAGTCAAGAAACATGAAAAATCCACCAGGAAGCATGTTCACGTAACAGTAAATTCTCTGCCAAATATTTTCACTAACAATACTTTTCCAAAATAAAGAAATGTACGATTATGTTCTCAATTTACAAACATGGGAACTGAACATTTTCCCTTAAACAAAAAAACTACAAAACCCCTTCAACAGGAACAGAGTTGCTGTGAAGATTTCCTTCATGTCGCATAAAGTACTTAGTTTGATCAATTATCAACAAGCTCGAAATTTGTTGAGCAGGTATCCTAAAATTAAAAAATCATCATATCATACCACACATGAAAATTATCAATAACAACATCCGTAGATAAATTTCGCCCCTCGTGAGACATAATTCAAGAGCATTTAGGAACAAGAATTGCAAAAGACAAGACCCTTGTAACCAAAATCACATGCATATATAAGATGAACCAGAAGGACAAAATGCAGAAACTATGTCTTTTTTTTGTTGTTTTCTTTTTTTTTTTTGGTTTTGATAAGAGTAGTTATGTGTTCAATTTAAAGCAAAAGACAACTCACAACTAGATTCACAGTCTTCCTCCACAGGCTTCTGATGAAGCTATCAACAGACACCATACCTAAATAGAACTTCCTTATTTTCCTATTTGCCATGTTTTTGGCTTTAAAAATCCAGCATTCAAAATCCTCAAAAGAATACTCACTCGTTCAATAAAAAGGAAAAAGAAAAAACGAAGACAAATCAAATTTATCATTGAGACATTTTAACGACAAAAACCACAGGAATCAGAACAAGCAGGAATTATCATGATGCTCGTTCAGATATAGGTTCTAATAAAGGAAAATAAGAAGGGGACGATAACTCCAAGTTGAGAATGTTGCAGGCACCGATCAGTTCATCTTGTATCCAAGGCATGTCCGGGAGACAACGTGAAATGAACCTCAGTAGCTAAAGCAGATGCTTCAGCAGCGCCAGAAAGTTACAGTGATCAATCAAGTGATTAAAAGTTAAACCTCTGAAGCAAAATCCTTAGTGATTATACTCCAGAATTGTTAAGTACTATAAAGTGGAAATGACATCATCCATGTCAATCCCCAAATTGTACATTACCAATATTCTATCAGTAATTTTTGTTTATAGGGATTGAAAATATCCAAATATCCGTGGTGCATAAGTACTTAAAGACAGAACAGCCATATGAGAAAAAAGTTACATCCAGAAACCTATCAAAGTAACGGGAAACCAGAAAGACATTTGCAACCAAATACTCCCAAAGTACTGATGCTGTTTCAGACAAAACCAAAGTACGTACATATTTGTGAATTTACAATCTTTGATAGTCTTGGCAAAATAGTAAAATTCAGGAAGCTATTGAATTATGTATTATTCTGTCATTGCTTCTCCCGACATCTTCATTACCAAACACCATTTTCCCAGTAGCCTTCATAAGCAACAAAAACCACCATCCTACCTACATGTTCAATTTTTCCAGAAGTCTTCATCACCCACAAGAGCTCACTGCATGTTTCCATATCAAACAAATGACCCAAATCACTAAACAGAATTTCCAAACCTAAAACATGCCAAACTGAATTCTCCGATCGAAATGAGTCCTAGAATTCAAAGAACAAATTGGAATATCAAAAGCGGCAAATTTTACCTTCTTCCCTGAAGTTAGAGTATTCTTCCTTAGATAAAACTTCTTCTTAGCAGCCTCCTCCTCCTCCGTTCCCTTTTCTTCTCCCTTCATAACTTTGGCGTAAAATGTTTCATCATCATCCGAATCAGAGAAGTAGACATCACAATAGAGGAATTCATTGCCCATGACAGGGTCATTGGTAAACACGCTAGGGCCGACGTCAGCTTGTGCTGCAGCAACCGCTGCAAGGTAATCCTCCTCCTCCTCCTCCTCCTCCTCGTCGATGCCGGTAGCCTGGGACGACTCCGATGATCCGCCGCTTAAATCAGATTCATTAACGGTCCTCCGCTGCAAAGATAGACAAAGTTAAATTAATAAAATCGGATAACTAATTTGACCTGTTTAATCAAAACTACAATTTCAACAAAAAAAGGAACTAACGGCAGCTTCAGTATCAGAATCACGGAGGTTATTCTCCCCAGGCTGAAGGTCGTTGTCATTGTTGATAATCGGGGAATTTGATAGGCCGGCGGTGGCAGAACGGCGTTGAACATCAGATTCAGGTTTGGTTTCAATCTCATTCATGATTCTCGACCCTTTTTATTCACAAGAAACCTAGAGGACAACAAGAGTTAGATGATGGGATATATGCTGTATTATTATTAGTCCTAATAATTTGTTCATCCCCATGCTGCTAAAAGAGTCCAATCTCGAAAGACGAATTAGATTCAGATAAACTGGGTCAAGTAGGCCCAAAACAAAAATCTCCGCTTTTTGGTCCAATCGAATTACATACTATATATGGGAAGACATTCCAGTCGGTGTCAAATTTCATAATCCACTAGCTAGCGGCGTCGTTTTGTGTAAATTAGGTGGAAAATTCTAAATTCTACTGGCTTTGAATCGCAGTTTTCCCAGTCGAATTCGGGAATGCTGATGGTTTGAAGGTGATGTTTGCAGTTTGGATTTGTACTTTTAGTTCAAAATTTGTACAGAAAAAATTAAAATTCAAACTAGATAATAATTTTGGGATAAAAGAAATACAAATTTATCATTGAGTCAAATCAACGAGAAAAAATCATACTAAGTTGGAGTTATCGTGATGCTCGATTGCTTGTCAAGACATAGGTTCTTATAAAGGAAGTTAAAAAGGGGAAAATACCTCCAAGTTGAGGATGTTACAGGCATCGCTCAGTTCATCTTGTATCCTGTCTGGGCATGTCCAGGAAGTAACTTAAAAAATGAAGTTATGTGATACAAGGCTTTAAGCAGAAGCTTCACCAGTGTTGGAATATTATTACAGTTACCAATCAGCTGATTAAAAGTAAACTCTGAAGCAAATTCCGAATTAAGAAGACCCTCCAAAATTGTTTTTAAGTACTATATAAGTGGAAATGACAATATCATTCCCCAAATTGTATACATTCTATCCATAACTTTTTGTTAATATAGGGTTTGAAGATAATCCAGCCGCCCGGTACAACATTAGTAAAGACAGAACAACAATATGAAAGGAAAGGTGACATTTAGAAAACCTGTCAAACAGTGATGGGAAACCAGAAACACATTTTCAGCCAAATACCTCTTTCAGACAAAACCAAACTACATACTTGCGAATTTACTATCTTTGATAGTCTTCACAAAACACAATTCAGGAAGCTAGGGATCCGATCAACAAAATGAGTCCCACAACTTAATAAACAAAATGGAAATCCAAAAGTGACGGGTCATTTTTCAATTACCTTCTGCCCCGAATGGAGACAAGTATTCTTCTTCTTTGTGGGGGAAACACCTCCAGCAGCCTCCTCCTCCTTGGTAGCCGCTACAGAAGAAGAAGATTGGGTGGTTTCTTTTCTTCAACCTCACCCAAATCTAGATTGGCGAAAAATTCGTGATCAACCTCAGAATCAGAGAATTCAACTTCACAATCGAGGAACTCACTGGGGTACTCAAAAGTGAACGTGCCAATGCGACGACCCGCGTCAGCTTGCGCTGCAGCAGCAAGGAGGTATTCCTCGTCGTCGTCGATATCGGTAACCTGGGACGACTCTGATGATCCGCCGCCACCGCGAACAGGCAGTTGATCATCATCATCAACGCTTAGATCAGATTCAATCACGATTCTCTTACGCTGAAATCCATTTTAAAGATAAACTCAGTCAAATTAATTAATTTAATCGGATACCAATTCGACCTTATTTAATCAAACTAAGATAGAACTAACGGCAGCTTCAGTATCAGAATTACTGGGGTTAATCTCGCCAGGGTGAATATTCTGGTCGTTGTTGTTGTTGATAATATGGGAATTTGATGGGGGCGGCGGTCAATTGAACATCAGATTCAGGCATGATTCTCCACCTTCACTCAGTCAACCCTTTCAATTCACAAGAAACCTATAAGATAAAAAGAGGTCGATTTTATTTATGAACGAGGAAATTTTTTTTTTTTTTTCCGAAGTAAATTGACTCGTTTGGATTTGATCAGGTAAACTGGGTCCAAAACTTCTCCACAATGTCATGAACGCTCATTTTTTTTGTTATTCTTTATAGTTTGAGTAAGAGTTCCAAAAGCTTTCTTTTTAATTATTCCTTGTATTGTATGAGTCGTGTCGAAACGTCATAGGACCAAACACGTCTGAGCTGTCACGTGTATAAAATAGGATACGCAAAGGTAAATACTTCAGGAAGTTGTGGGTATTTTCGGTAATCCTCGCTTGTCAAGTCGTCACTCTCGCTCGAGTAAAAACTGAAGCCGCTTCCGTCCGTGGTTTCTGAGTGGGGTTAAAGTCACAGTGGCGCAAAAGACTCCGTGGACTTCCAATTTCTCCGATCAAACCTCTCAAAGTCAACTCTTCACGTACTGGAGTATACATTTCCATGGGTTTTTTTTTCTTGTTCAATTGGTTTCGATTCATGAAAATGGGTTTTGGATTTCTTATCCGGTGTGACTGATCTCTTTTCAATCGTTGATTTCTTACTAGGGATGGCCAGAAATCTAGGATTTCTGGTTCTAGCTTTGTTTGTTGCATCGATCTGTGAGGCCGCAGTTTTTACTCCGATCTCCGATTCTCACCGATCTGCTGCATTGGAATTGTTCGCCGCAACCGATGGATCTCTTCAGAGGTCGGCTTTCTAAACCCTTGTTAAACCCGACATTTTCCCTTGCTTCGTTTGTTTTATGTATGTTTTCATAAATTGTGTTGGATTTCTTTTTGTCTTCCTCTATATCAGTTAGTTGGAGCAATATATATTGAAGTGTTGAATGTGGATGGAAATTGAACTTAGCGTTTCAATTTGTTTACCTTTTATCTTTCTTTTTTTTTTTTTCAGCTTGGAAGAAACATATGAGGCCCTGAGAACATTTGAGGTTCTTGGGATTGATAAGAAGTCTGAGATAAAGACTTCCACTTGTAAAACTGTGGATGATACTCTTTGGTCTGCTTCTTCTGCTCCCAAGGATTTGTTTCAGGCGTTAAGAGTAAATGGGATACTGAAATGTGATCTCAACGATGAAGCCTTTACGGTATCTTTACTCTTTCTTGGAAGCAATATCTTTGCTTTTGGAATTTTAACTGTGTTTGTTTGCTTCATAGAAATGTCTACTGATTATACTAATGTTTTGTTGTTTTTTCCTGCTTGACTCTTCAGGGTATTGCTTCGCGACTTAAAGATTCTGTTCGTGATGCGAGCACTCTTCTCGACTTTTACTACTCAATTAGTAGTCTGATGCTTATTAAGGTAAAAGCTTCAATTTCTGTGCTTTTATTATTTATGTTATAGCTCTCTCAAGGTTGTACTCTGAGTTTCTGACGCAATTATGTATGTTTTATTTTCCAGGGTCAGACGTCTGAAGTTGATGTAAAGCTTGAAGATGCTGATGGGGTATTCCGTGCAATAAAGGTCCGATTCGATTACTGTTAGTCTGTCAAACTAGTTACTATGAAAAAGCCATTTCTGTCTTAACTTCTGTGATACATATTCAACACGAGAAGAAAGCTAAATTTCGAATGGCTTGGGAAATTCTTGTCAGGCTCTTAGTCAGAGTGATGGAAGGTGGCGTTTTAGTACCAACAACCCAGAATCTAGCACTTATGCTGCAGGTAACTTCTACTGCTGTATCATGTACTTGCTATTGCTTTCAAGATGTTTGATCTTTTTCCATTATAAAAATTAGTTTTTTTTTTTTCATATTCTGGATTATCTTTGAAGGAGATTCACTTTCTTGAACGTGTCTTCATTTGATTTTAGCCGATTACTTAAGAAGTTAAGTAATTTGAAGAAGGAAAAAATCAATGATAACCTGAAGTCCACACTAGATGCTCAAATTACTATTATTTTTTTCTTTGAGCATTGCTTATTATTTTTTTATTCTACTACCTTGGGGTTGTTTAGGCTTTTGTTTGATTATAAAACTGAATAATTCCTTGACATGAATGAAAATCTTCTGGCAGGATTAGCTCTTGAAACACTGGCTGGAGTTATTTCGTTGGCTTCTCAAGAAATCGATCAGTCTCTGGTTGGTTGACTTTATCACTGTTAATGCATTCGCTAGAGTAGTTGCATGGATTAGCTTGACACAAACATTAATTTCTTCCCAGAATGATTCCTTCCTTTTTGGGTACTGGGTTGCTCTCTTTCTTTCTACCCGTGGAGGGGAAAGGCTATGAGAATCTCTTTTTTTTTTTCTGCTATAATGTTTTTTTCGTAGCTATTTCCTTTTTGATTTGCTTCTGCACTTCTCAGGGTTACCTTATGCACCCGTATAGTTGGTGAAGCTATATTCGGAGTTTATCAGATATTAAATGCACACGCTTCTGTATTAATTTTTCTTGTTTCCAAATATTATTTTTCATACTGGTGTTTCTTACAGCTTCTGAATTTCTTGGATGGAATATCGAGAATTCTTGCTTCCCCATCATATATTTATTCTTGACCCTAAAGTTGAGGGATAAAACAAAAAGTGAAATCCACAAACCTTTAACTTCTACTTTGAGCTAGAATTTAAAGTTGTGCTGTTTTTGACTCCTTGACTTGGATTTGTTTTTCAAGTTTCTGAAGCTGTTCTTGAAAAGGATTCAACAGAATTCTCACTATTAGTTTTGGGAGTGTTGTCATATGGAAAAGCAAAATTGCTGCTATAAAGCAGCTCTAGCACTGGTTTCAAACACTTCTCATTTTAAACACTTTGAGTTGACTAATTCTCAGAGTGGGAGTTTGTAGTTTTAGCTTGGATGAATTTTTCTTTGCAATTCTGATATTAGTAAATGTTTAAATCCTATTGAAGTATATGAGCATGTGATGATTGAGGAGTTTGACTTATTGGCAGATTGAGTCTGTGAAGAAAGATGTACTAAAGCTCTTTGATGCCACCGAAAAATATGGTATGTGTAACTACTTCATTCACTACCTTAGTTCAATGTTATTAGAGTTATCTCCATAATGAGTTATCTCCATAATGTACATCGCCCTTAGTTCACTACCACCTTAAGTCATTGTTATACCCAGTTTGACTTCGTATTGCGCATTCTTATGGGATTTCAGTTCTCTTGATTGAGTAGTTACCTTGTTGTGTGATTGGTTCTCAACTGATTTGGTTTTTTTGTTGTAACCAGTGGCTTTAATAGGCTAGCATATATATGAATTTTAATATGTTTGTCTTGGTTGTAACTATAAGTTGGAATATGTTGCTTCAAATGGGTGTTATTTATTTGTAAATGTATGATCTCATGCACAAAGTGATGCTGAATGCATCTGACATGTTGGAGTGTCATGGTGCGAATCTTTGCCTTCTAGTAATGGGTTTTGGATAATTTTTTAGATGTACAAGAATAAGGAAACTTCACTCTCTTCTGAATTTTTGAGTTCCTCTCTTTGAGGATGGTTATTCAAACTTTTCATCTTTTTTGTTAGATGACGGGTCGTGCTACTTTGTTGATGCTCAAGGAAGTGAGGGTCCTATTTCAGCTTCCTCTGCAGTTATCCGCGGAATAACATCACTTGCAAGCTCTACTTCTGAAAGCCTAAATGTTTGTTGACTCCCTCTTGTTATGTTTAACTTCTTCCTTGGTCAAACATTAATTTTGTGGCTATTTTGTTCTGCCGTGGCAGCTTTCTGGTGACAAAATAATGTGTCTTGCAAAATTTTTCCTCGGTATCGGAATCCCTGGAAGTTTCAAAGACTTGTATTACCAAGTTGATGCACTGGCTTGCTTGGACAAAAATGGGTAATTATTTATCTTTTGCACTTTTTTCCATTTTGATTGTCCTGTTTTGGTTTTGATCTGATCGGAATTTGTTTTCTGTTTCTGGTGCTGGTATGTCCTCGTGCGCTATGGGCTTTTCCTGGCAATTGTAGCGTTTCCGTACCTTTGATATTGTCGCTTCCAGCGTCTGTGCTTTCAGTGACTCAAAAGGACCAACTTAAGGTGCGCTACCAGGCCTAAATCCCAATGCTCTGTTTAATTAGGTTGCCGGTTTCTCTATTATTAGGGTATATGCTTCGTGAAGTTTTGTTTTAGAGCAGGTTTTTGTATATTTAACTACAGTTGAAGAGTTGGATTGTGGTGTACTTTTAAGGTTTCATATGATGATATTGACTAGTTGCATTTTATGTCGTCGCAAATTGACACCACTGGGTCATTACTTTTCTACCAACCGCAAATTCATTTTTGCTTGCATATGGTAATGAGTTTTCAAGAGCTGGCTTCTTGTGCTCTTATTCCCTTCACCTGATTTTGCAGGTTCGAGTGAACACTGTTCTTGGATCACCGGCGCCACCTCTATCAGTTAAGCTCATGCAGATCTTTACCTCCGGTTCAAAGGATGCTTCCATCATTGACCAGGTTTTGATAATATTTCTTCCTAGCTGGGAAATTTTTGCACAATTTATTTTCCTTAAAGTTTTGGTTCTTATCTCTTCCTACTCCATCTCATATCTTTGGTGATTACTTCTTTCATATGACGCAGGAATTAAAGTTTGATCCAGCAACTGGGTTGCATGTCTTGGAGACTTTGCCAGAGAGCATAGATATTGGGTCCTATACTTTCAGTTTTGAGGTGATTTTTATTACCATTCTAGTAGTCCCCTTCTGCCTCCCCTGCTTATTTTCTCAGCAGAATTCCTGCTTTCTCTGATCCTTTGTGATGTTAACTTGACATTTTGAATGGTAGATTTTGCTTCGTGACCCCGAACATAAAAAAACCTATGCAACTGGAGGTCGAACAAAACTGCCAGTGTATGTAACAGGTGTTGTTGATGTTGATCAAGCAGAAATCATCATACTTGACAGCGATCTTGGGAGTGCAGAGACTAAGAAAAAGTTTGTAACTTCGAACCAAACTGATGTGTTCATTTTCCTCTTGTTTTCATTTAAAAGTTTAGTTTAGTATTTTTGTCCTTGATTTGTTCTTAACGTGGGTTAAGTTAAGAGTAAGTTTAGTCCTTCTATTATCATTGTAGCTTGTCTTTGGCTTGCTGGTTGTACTAACATGTTTTTCTTTTCTTGCCGACAAATTTCCAGAATAAATGTGAACGGTGAAAATTCTTTTGCGTTATCAGCTAATCATCTTCAGAAGCTAAGATTGACATTTCAGCTGACAACTCCTTCTGGAAACGCTTTTAAGCCTCACCAGGTTGGCAAAAAGTTTTCATTTTTGTGCCTGGCGTTGTCTGTGTTGGTTTGCTTTTTTAATGCCTTGAGGAATTTCAGGCATTTCTCAGATTGAAGCATGAGAGTGGAGTCGAGCATCTTTTCCTCGTCGGGAACTCTGGGAAAAAGTTTGAGATAATATTGGTTAGATCCCTAATTATCACTATATTTGTCTGTGTGTGTATAATTATCCTTGTATAGTATATGCTCCAACTTATGGTAGACAGGCTATTCGGTTTAAAGAGCTCAAAGGTTGGGGCTCAAATGGGGCATATGTATTGCTTAAGGGATTCACATTATCTGAAACATCACAATGACATCAATTTTCATGTATTTTGTCTTGTAGGATTTTCTGGGACTTGTGGAGAAGTTCTTCTATTTGTCAGGAAGATATGACATTCAACTCACAGTTGGTGATTCCGTCATGGTAAATTTCTCTTGATTTGATTTCCCCTGCCAAACAGTTGATCACTTTTAACCTATGCATCTTCCTTTTTCAGGAGAACTCATTCTTTCAGCCTCTTGGCCATGTTGAACTAGATCTACCAGAAGCACCAGAAAAGGCAGCTCGTCCTCCTCCTCCACCTGTTGATCCTATCTCAAAATATGGTCCCAAAGCTGAGATCACTCACATTTTCAGGTCTCCAGAGAAGAGACCACCTATGGAGTTGTCATTTACATTCTTGGGACTTGTTCTTTTGCCATTTTTAGGGTTCTTGATTGGGGTGAGCTATCTCATTCATGCATCCTTTTATTTATTTTCTGAAAAGTTGTGGATTTCTGAAAGGCGGGATATTTGAGGATCCTTTTTGGCTGTTGCTCTGTCATGTGTCGAGCCTGTGGTGAATTTATTATCTTAGAATGCTTTTTCCTTTGTGCCACATGTGAGCGAAATGAACAAAGTATTTTCATTGTCTTTCTTGCTTTTTGTGGCTCTATCCAGCTATATAATTTAATAAGGTTTTCCACATTGAAAATCTTACTTTTGATGGCTGTTTCTAATTGTTGGTTTTATATCTGCAGCTTCTTGTGTTAAGGGTGAATCTGAAGAACTTCCCCTCAGCGGCATTGCCTGCAGTCTTTGCAATTGCTTTCCACTTGGGAATTGGAGCAGTTCTTTCCCTGTACTTTGTCTTTTGGTTGAAGGTTTGTTCTATTTTCACTTGTGTGTTTCTCAGTAGCAATGCCCCTCTAGTTTTCCAGCTCACACAACTCATTCATTTTCTCCATGTTTGCAGTTGGATCTGTTTACAACACTAAAAGCCCTTGGGATCTTGGGAATCTTCTTGTTGTTTACTGGACATAGGACCCTTTCCCACCTTGCCTCCACATCGGCAAAGTTGAAATCCTCTTGATGAATCCAAGTATCAAATCTTCAGCTATTTGGAGGACCGGACCGGTAGTTTCCTTATATAGTAAGAATGAGGAGAGTTCGATGCTTAGACCCAGTTTTGTTGTAGGATAAATTAAAGTAGTTATGTAGCCTCATCCAGAGTTTTGTCACAGTGATTTCTGAAAAGAAGGGGATAGTCATCACTATATAATATATCGGAGATTTAGTGCTGAGAATTGTGTTTTTTTTTTTTTCTTTTTAATTTTTTTGGTTTAATTATGTTTTTAGTTCCTCACATACGAGTATTTTGTTATAGGGTTATTTTAGCCCTTTGAATTTGAACAATTACAGTTCTTTCCATAAGGTAGAAAAGACATCCTCAACAAATTTACCTTACCACGTACTTTCTCGTTTCAAATGGAGGGGTTTTGTTTTGACGCAAGCAGTAGATTGTATAGTCTAGGTTATACAGAAATAGATTATATACACTTTCTTTAAGGTAAAACACTTTGTAAAGAAAATACTAGATTATACAGAAATTTTGCTCATTTTTATTTAGCACGAGGCAAAAAGTCTATACAGGCCCAAAGTTCAGTTCTAACTGGCCCATTAAATGTGAGTATAGGTCCACTACCAAAGGATCCAGCCCAATATATAATTAGTTGGTGACGCTGGCAAAAAGAACAGAAAACGCAGAAAAAACTCCGACTCTGTCAGAATTGTAGCTCGTTCAGACGTCATAATTCCGATGGAACCATCGACATCAAAGCCATCAACAGGCAGGAAACGTCAGCGAGAGCAGGAGGTTTCTTCACCGGAAAATCATACTGCCGGTCAATCTCCATCACTTCGTCCGTTCCGGTTTCTGTTTTTTTTTTTTTTTTTTTTTGGCAGCTTCCTCTTTTTTCCTTCTTTCTTTTTGTTTTTGAATTACGTAAATTGATGGACGGACATTCTTTTCTAAGATTTAATTTCCCAATACTGCAGGCGATAATCTCATTTTCAGCGATACATCGGTGGCACTTCAGATGATGCGTTCTCAATTCCCTCGCATTGATAAGGTTCCAGCTCTTCTTTCTCAATCTTTGATGTCTGTTAATGTTGTGCTTATCCATTGAATACGCAGCTTCTTCTCTAATTTATACTAGGAGCTGTTCTTTGTAATGAACTCATCTTTCTTGGAGCGAATTTTCAGTCTCACAGTATTTAATTTCATGATTTGAAATTCTCGTTAGTATGTGACTATTTGGTACCAATGCCTTATAATCATTATTAATATGTTTTGTATTCGTAAACTCAAGTATGTTAAGATGATGCTCCGATTTAAGTAGCATTTGTTTTGCTACTTTTGTCTATATATGTACAACTTTTATGACCCAAGTGCTCCTGCGCATCTTCAGGTTTCAATTCAGCCTTTTATTTTAAGATCACAGTTATACAGCAGCATCAAGGATAGGACACAAGTAGATAGGGAGCTCGAGGTATTAGGCAGACTGGGGAAGTTTTATGCTCCCTCTGCTTTACGTTTTTTGTCTATATAAGTGTCTTGTTCACGCTTATTGGGTTTATTGTTTTGCAGAATTTGAAGAGAGAGATGGTAATACGCATTTTTAAGTTAAGTACTGGACAAGATGATCATGCCATAATGTTCCTCGATGACTACCACAGTCAGGTTGGTCACTTCAGTCTTCCTATTTTTTATTTTTTTTTTCCTTTTTTTGGTATTGGTGTTTTTGTATTGTTTCCCTTACATTGTTACTAAAGTTTTTGGTTAGAATGAGCTTGTATGGCTTTACGTTCCTGTTTCATTCTTGTATTCTGGAGACTAGCCTTCACATTCTGGAAGCAATAATCTACGAAACACTTATTATTTCACTTTTAGATTGAACGAGCTGTCAAGAGACTTAATGCAAAGAAGCAAGATGATCTGGTAGTTTTTGAATGGTTTAAAACACACGTCCTTCCATCCAAACCAGATCCCAGTATTGGACATCAAGAACTCGTATGTTCTCGTTTATGTTTCAGTGAAATATATGATCCTCTCTCTCTCTCTCTCTCTCTCTCTCTCTCTCTCTCTCTCTCTCTCCCCTTTTGAAGTCAAGTTGTAAGTTTATGTCCACTCAAGATCATGTTCTTTGCTTTAAAACCAACCTCTGATTAATTTTTTTATGGCTTTTTGGTAGCATTCACTCCTCTCAGTAGCAGGAAAGGTAAAAGAGGAACACATCTCTCTTATAATTAATGCTGGCCTCCTGGTGAGTTTATCTGAAATCCTTTTTCCTTTCGGACTTGGACCCTTCAGTGGTGAAAAATTCTTTTTAAAAGTTTTGCAGCAATTAATTTGCTTTTCTGTTGTGTGGTCTCGTTTTCTTCTTATATCTCTATTACATTGGTTCATATTGATTGATGATGGCTGTTGGTACATCTCTCTTGCTAATTGGTTTTAGTACAAGTTCAGTTTAATGCCATATCTAAATTGCTGCTTGAGGATCAAAGGTTATACAAATCAATTTGCTTCAATGCATCTTAGTATATGGCTTATTTTTTTATGTGAGACAAAATTAAACCTCATCTTTTTTGAAGTCATTTCAAGTTCATTTTATTAACTCAAGTCTGGTTTTTTTTTTTTTTTTTTTTTTAAAAAAATAATTAGAAAATTAACTATCTAAGCATTATGACACGGTTAAAACTTATTCATTGGCGCACTTGGTATCGGATTGGGAATTTTCATGTGTGGTTTTGCATCCTATTCTACTCGATTACCCATTTCTCTCTGAACTAGTCTTTTCCCTGCAAGTCCACCATTGGTATATTAGCTATTTCCTGTTTCTACCTGGGTCACATTCTACTGTTGCTCATTTCTGTTCTTCCTTCTGATGCTGCTGCTTTCAATACAAGACTCGGCAACTTATTGACCCCAACATGTATTGGTTTGCCATTCCGAATATTGGTTCAATCCTTAAGGGTCTTACTCAGGTGAGCATTGTATCGATGTCATAGTTTCTTATATTTATGATTCATGTAAAAATTCTTCTACACATCTCCACTACATTAAAGTCAATATTTCAACATTTTTTTCCAAAAAAAAAAAATAAAAAAAATTCAAATTTCATCATCCACAATTTACTATTCTAATGAAAGCAAAATGCTGCCGCTGATTACTAAATACATTTAATCATGATATATTCCAGACATAGGTAATTTGATGTATTCCATACATAACAGCAGTTGTTTTCTAATTTTCTGGAGAAGGTAAAATGATATATTGATGCTTGTTTTTCCTCTTTCTACTTTTATTAGCTTTCTGAAAATATAAGAAAGCTGTTAATATTGCTTTTGAAAACTGGTATCTTTTAAGTGCATATACGGTTGGGTAATTTCTAATTTTGGACATTTTGGAACTTTTCTCTAGTATCAGGTTGTGGGAACTGGGGGAATTTAGGTATATCTGCCATCTCTTTATGATGCCATATTTTATGCTATGGAAATAACATCAGTCTGACTTTTTTTTTTTTAATTATTTTTTTTAGGGAAGAAAGGAGCTTTTGTCTTTTCTGAATCGTAGGAAGTACAAAGAGATGATGCTGTCTCTGTTAGAAAAGAAACGCCTACGCTTTTCTCTGCTGGATATGAGATTTCACCTCAGGGATCTGATTGGTTCAGGTCACCTCAAAACTGTCCAAACTCCGACTGGATTATTCATTAGGGTAGCTAAGGATTAAATGCTGTTCAGACACCTAATAACTCTGGGGCGTCCTCCGGGTAAATCTTATGGACATTATGCATATCTAAGTGGACTCTGTATACTTCCTGAGATTCCTTTTGGATTAAAAAGTTATATTGCTTCCACAGGATTGGAAAACCAAAGCGAGCTGCACAAATTGATTGCCAAAGTGTGATAAGGTAGTTACCGTAGTTTAACTTGTCAGGTAGTTTTGTATTGCTGTTCAATCATTTTTCCTAGATTCTGATATTAATTTTCACGAGGAGCATTACTTAAAAGGTTTAGGGCATCTTTTCTTCCATGTTTTCTTACCATTAGTGTAACTGGGAGAATCAATGAAATCCTGGTAAATTATCACTTAGCAGCAATTCAGCATAACTTGTGTTCACGATGTGAATGAAACAGTCATCAATTTAGATATTGGTACTCAGAAAGGCTTCAAACTCATAATCATTAAGTGTGATATTGTATTGAAGCTCGCATTGTGATGTTACGAGTAAATATTAAACTAATGAAATATGTGTAGGTAAAGGTTGAATAAAAACGACGTATTTGTTTTTTCTGGCCATATCTGTGAGACTGACTTCCTATCAAGGTTGCAATTTTGATAATCACGATTGATAAGAAACTGGACTTTATGGAGGATGAACGTATAACAGGTCTAGGATAAATTTTAGGTGGCCCAGTGCTTTTGCTTAACCCTGTTCTCAAGTTTGGTCTCAGAATTTCCAACTAATTATCATTACACCTTATGAATTGCAACTTAGTACTTTCTTTTTGCCCTTTACTTTCCATGCTTTGGTTAGAGTACCTTCATTGTCAGGCTAATTATCGGTAATTGTAATTTTCAGGTGGGATGATTGGTTACGGTGAATTCGTCGCTATTATTTACAAAGGCAATGGTGGCATTTGGATGGTGGTCAATGCGAAACATTCTCAATAACAGCAAGGGTAAGGATTCATGTGCTCCTTCATGAGTTGGCGACTTCGAAGACCCCCCATTTATTGTTCTGATTAACTTGCGTTTTTACAAGCACCCCATTCACTGTTCATGTTCGGAAGAAAAAAAAGGTTTTGGTGCTATTGGTCTACGCATTGGTAGGACCCTTCCCTGCAAGTCAGTTGAAAAACAGTGTTTGTTGCTTGTATCCTGTTTAGCGTTACGCTGCCAGTCTCCGAGCACCAGCCGCCCACAGTTTTTCGGTGTTTTGAAGATGAGCAGCCTTATTTCACAATGCCTTGAAATGACTTGACAGTAATTTGGTAGAACTGCTTTAAGCTTTTGATGTATCGTCTTTGGATTTGTTCGGCTGTTCTCTTCTGCTATCTTATTCCATGTTGATTAGTGCAAAGCTCTGCGCTTATTTCTGCGCTTATTTCTGCGCTTAATGTAAAGTTTCAGATAAAAGCTGTTTTGGTAGTCGGTAGTTTCAGGTAAAAGCTAGCCTCGGGTGGCAAATGGAAAAGTTAGAGAACTAAAGGCGTAGGTTAAAAAATAGGAGGGCCAACTTGGTTACATTGTCAAAGTTTAATTCAAAGGACCCCATTTCTCTCTCTTTCAATCAACTCTTACAGGAATTCTGCAATGGAAGGGCATCTGTGCTAATTTGGCCTATCCACGGTCCAGTTAACGGCCGCATTCTCGTTCTGACATCTGTTTTTGAAGCCAAAATAATCAGTTGTAATATAATTCCAATGTAGAGTAAAAATTTGGGTGGTCCCCTATTTGATGATATTGAAGATTATCAGCATCTCCGCGGAATCTGAGTTCTTGGCGTGTATCTCTTTTGATTGTGTAATAATTTATTTGTTATTCTAGGAAAGACTTGCAAGAAAGTCATTTTTATTTCCAGAGATATAGTTTCTTCATGTTTGTGCTATTGTCTGTGAAAATTTTACTTGATTCTACAATGCCCATCCTCCACCCCCACATCCCAACAAGTATGTACAAGTGTATTAAGCGGACATGAACCCTGAACCCTAAATTCACTTATAGGTTAATCATCATTCGAGCCTCTTTAAAATTGATTTTCTGTACAAACATCGATCCAAACTCTCTAATTATCACTTGGACAGACAAGTGTTGATTATAATTGTAGTAGATTTTATCAGTGACGAAATCATGAAAGTACAAATTAAATAATTATTATGCAAACAAGACAAAAAAATGAAGGCTCCTATTTCTTCTTCTCATACGTCTCTCTGTCTCTGTGCACTAAATTGTATGATGATGAAGGATGGGTGTGTTGAAATGGGGATACTGGACCCCGTTCAATGATGCAGCTAAAGTCACAATCACAGCTTAATCCACATGGGTTTCTTCAATCTAAGTATAGGAAAAAGAAAAAAAAAAAAAAAGGGTCTAGAGCTAGCCTAATTCAATTCAGAGGTCGCTGGAGATCGGGTGAAAGAAAGAATGAAAGAAAGGTGACACACTATGTTGTAGATTTCTTGCACCACACACTAAAATGACGCATGCACTCTCTACGTACGTTTACATAGCTACTTCTACAATGATAAATTTGGAATTTGGTGTAAGAAAATTTGATAAATATATATACTCATTTTCTTTCAAAATGATTGTCTTGTTTATTAAGATGTACAAAGGAAAAAATAGCTAGCTAAATAATGTTTCATCACTTCTGTTTAGTGAAGGTGATCGAGATCTGAATTATTATTAATTATAATTTTTTCTTCAATCAGTTTTCAAGGTAGAAATTTAAGCGTAAATGCCGCACTGATCCTCATGCTATATATGTATCCATCCATGTCAAGGTGGTCCTAAGCTCATAATACATCATTATCATTCGCTATTATTGATCCAATTTTTATTGGAAGGGATTCCTTTTGTATCCTGCAATATTTATGGCATTGATGCCTCCATGCCCTGGTGGACAAATGGTTTATTCTGAGTTTCGAATGTGGACGTGACAGAGAGGTATAGACTATAGAGATAGTATACGTCCAATCAAAAGTTTCTGATTAGGGCTTTCATTGCATTATTTCACCAGCTCAAACATTAAAATATGGTCTATATATACATAAATGTTGACACTATTATATGATTCGGTTATATCGGGTTAGTCTGCATGTGATGTGTAAAACATACTTAATTTTCGAACGCTTTATTTATTTATTTTTATTTTTTTGTTTTGGTGGCGATCGAGTGGGAGCGGGAAGAAATTAATAGAGTTTTGTTAGCCATATTCTTGGGGTTTGGTGAATCAACTTCTTGTTCATGCATTTAATTTGACATTTGATCTCTAGGCAATGGGCAAAATCAAACGACAGATCGACATATACAGATTTATTTGTCTAAACTTCGATCAGAAAATTAAGCTAAGAAGTAAGAACTGTGATGAAATTTATTAAGTTTTTCTTATGATGAAATTATACTCATTATTATTAAAAGAAAAATTACTTCAAAGCATATATTTGTCTCTCCTGAACGTCATATTCACCTCAGTAGTTGAACCGTCATTTTCACTAGAAAACAGCATGATGCATCCCCTTCTATTATCATCATTCACTGGTTAACATAAAAATAAAAAAATAAAAAAATAAAGTTTAAGGTTACTTTGCACAGCAGCTGCCTTCTTTTCTTGTAGCTCACGGACTTCTTCCATCCCAAGCAGCCCAAATGGTCTCTATAACCCACTCTAATGTAATAATTTGTCACACAAAGACAAAATACGACTTGAGTGAGTTTAACTTGAATAAATTACCCGTCAGGATAGAGAGGATTCGTAAATTTTGTAATTAACACGAATCGCGAATTAGTTATCCAGTCAGTTGATTTTTCCAGTAAATCAATGATTAAGTAGTTTCGAACGTGTGTATCCCGGGACATAAGGCTGAAAAACGCACACTGATTTGTTAGCGATTGATCTGACCACACAAGCAACACATATCATAAGTGTCAGTTTCAGATTTTCTTTTGGTTTCATTCAGAAAATGAGGCGGAGATAAGGGCTTTCGAGAAAGATTTTACTGCAAAATGATCGGTTAGGTTAAATAGAGCTTTCAGTAAAATTGCCATAGCAACAGTACTACTACTGCAGTACTGCCTAATCTAAAATAAATCAGCTAAGCTTGAGGCGTGGCAAGAGTTAATGCTTGTCTAAGTACACCTATGCCCATATTAGGGAGATATGATCAAAGCTCTTAAACCTTGTTTGAAGCAATTATCTAAGCCACCAAATATTGGGCATTCCATTATTAGGTAATTTTCTTTTGGTACAAACGAGGAGACTAAAGTCTAACAGAGATTAAATCAAAACACATTTCGCCAATGAAAAACTCCGATAATATCCTTCTTCAATTACGGTTTTACTCCGGAAGATGGATTATAAATCCATTGTAAGTCATCAGAAAGGCTGAAACTAACAATGTCATGTAATTAGCTGCAAAATTCGACTCTGGAAAGATATGTCTTATCTCCCCTATAAGGTACATTTGCCTCAAATTATACGGTCGTTCCATGATTCTATTAATACTTTTGACTTTAGGTTCAGCATCCAAAAAAATCTTACTATTATCAGCATAGATCGAACCCTCTATTTGTCTCGCTTCTAGGCGCTCTCCAATTAAAAAGATTTTTTTTTTTTATCATACCGATCTCTTAAAAATTATTACATATATGGATCCAAAGATCAGCGTCTAAAGCCAGCAGTGGTTTGGCCTTGTGGTACTGTTTTGGTGCATGAGATTGGCTTCTGTGTAGCCCTGTTGTGTTTTCTCCTGTTCCATCTATTTCATGCATGCTGGGGTTGAGAACACTGAATAATGTTGCTATTATTTTGTACAAATAGCCAACTTGTATACGTTGTGATCGATTTCTTGACCCATTGAGTACTATTTTTGTGTCAAAATGTGGAATAGGGTTTTGTTAGACAGTTTCTTTCCTACATATACATTCCCTGTCACAGCTATAGAACACGGACAGTACTGGATTTGTAAGCATTGTAATATGGAAAAATAATTAGGTATACACAAATTCATATATATCGAAGCTATACAAAAATCCATGATGATTATGAAGATTGTGATGATGGTCAAGTGATCGTGATTCATCCGCGTGTCAATCTCATCATCCCTTGATCATTTACGTTTTTTTCAACGTTTATTGCTGTCAACTTTTATGTTCTAACGTATAGTAGAATGCAGCTGTGTCACACAAAATTACATTGTCACCTTAAATTAGACTAACGAACTCCTCCACAATTAAGCTAAGACGAATATTGTGCTTAAAAATATATGACTCTTTTTAGGGACGGAAGAATATTATTTACTATTTAGATTTGAGATCCATTGGATATTCGATCTTGATCTGAGCGATCCTGAATGCATCACAACACACGTTGGATGATCGCTACTTAATTCGACGATTAAACCAAGTTTGCTTGTGGTTATGGTTAACAACCCACAAGTTTCCGTGTTCAGACATCCATCATCAGAGCCCAGAGAATCTTCCGATGTAATTTCTTCCTCCATTTTGAAAATGACCCTTCTCCCTTTTGTCACTCAGCTTCATGTTTGGCCACGTGCCAACAATTTGGGACATACAGTGGGATGAATCCAAAAATCAAAATTTAAGTCGTGGATCGGTTCCAAATTACTACTACTATATATGATTAAGGTGCATGTACATAACCCAAATCTATGAACTTAATTATAACTAAACTATTAATCAATCATGAAGCATCCCCCGAAGAAAGACATTATCTTGAGTATACAAAAAAAAATAGTTGTTATTGGCCTGTTCAATCGTCAATGAGTGTCTATATTATGATTGGATAGGATAGAACTGATGCACTTTTGAATAGAAGGTAGCAAGAAAATATGATTTGAAAGCTTTGAATGCCTCTTGTCCGAGAAAATCATATCGTTAATTAGGTATGATTTGTTTAATTATCTTTATCCATTATAAACCCATTTTTCTTT